TAGAAACGGATTCGTCTCTTAGGAAACGAATTCTCCTCTTAATTAATTAATTATTATCTATAATTAGAAGTACTTACTTAATAAAACTATTTATTAATTTAAATTCTAGGTTGTAATTGACTGTGGTTCTTTAAGTAGAATCCGTTACGTTTATTATAACGATTTCGCTACGCATTAATCCCTTTAATAAATCCGTTATTACTAGATTCTTCTCTCTAAGAAGAATCTGTTAATTAAAGGAATATTATAATTATAAGGATTCTTACTTTTTAAGTACCTAAAATAGTAAATCAAATATAATATAATAATGATTTTCGAAATTTATAATATAATACATAATTATTTTATCCTCTTCGTTGAATTCTACTTCTTCCTATAATAATTATACGAAATTTTAAATATTAGTATAATTAATTTACTGCTTTTTACAGGTACAAAAGCGTATATTGGAATAGTCTTTAATAGTAAGGAGGAGCTTTAGATACTTACGTTTTGCGAACTATTTGACGGTACGGATCGATAACTCCCTTTGGGCGAAAAGGTCGTAGATATATTCTATTTGGTCGTTTGTAATAGCGAGACGAATTTTGGTAAAGGTAATTATCAAGGCCGTTAGAGAATAATTGCGGTACTTAAGATTTATAGCCGTAATAATATAAAAGAGTCCGCCGTCGTCGCTAGTAACCTTAGGTACGTACTTAAATTTGAACTTAAAAGGGTAGTATTATACAATCTTCTTATAATTACGACGAAAGCGAGTATTCTCCTTAGGTATAGGGTATTCGCAGTATTTAATATATATATATTATAGTCAGCTAGAAACGAGTTTGCTATTTTAAATACGAAAGCATTATTTCGTTACCCCTATTCGATAGTAGTAATAGAATTCGAGAACCGCCTTAGTGAGTATAATAGGCTAGCGCTCAGATATAGTGCCTGGGCCTGTAGGCCCAAGTATGCTCTAGTTGGCTAGTGCTAGTTAGGCCACCTGTTTATTCCAGTATATAGTTGTGTCTCTGCAGACCTGTTTAGGCCTGTAGACCTTTTCCTCCTTATTAATAATTTTAAGCTCTGTTCCACCCCTACTACCGTATATAACCTAGTAGACCCGTAATATATTATTGACCTTCTTTTTAATCCTTCTAGACACTTTGTTCCGTCTGCCTAGAAGAGTCCCTTTTCGACCGTCTATACGACCTTTTTTCTTGTCTATAGAAACCGCCGCTTCTTCGCTCTTTGTACGACCTTTTTTTCTTCTCGTATATAAAACCCTTACTGCTACTTCGATTATAATTTCTATTCCCTAGGCCTAGACGGCTAATAAACGTTAATAATAATTCGCTGTGGCTATTTAAATTCTTATTTCTAAGTTCGCCGTTGTTAAGACTTTTGCAACCCCGAAGCTTATTCTTTCCTATTTCGATAAATTTACGGGGACCGTTAAAGAAATCGACGCTTAGATTTATAGTGCTAAAATTAAGTTGTATACCGACGGTTACGTTATTGGCGATTTGGAGGCCTAATTTTACTACTTCTACTCTAACCTTTCGCTCTCTATTAAAATCGAGCTTCTTCCCTTTGTAAAGTAATTTTCTATAGCTAACTATACCTCCGACCGTCTTTTATAGAAGATCCGCCTCGATTACGGTAATTCGAACGTAAATAAGCGTATTGGTTTGGAGTTCTTTGAAACCCTTTAGGGAATTAGAGAATTAATTATTAAATATATCCTTCGATTTGATAACTTTATTTATAGGGCCAGAGCTTCTATGTAGCTAGACGATACTAAAATAATAATATTAAAGGGTAGTTTTGACGACGAGTGGAAGAATTATATTAAAGAACACCCAGACGCTCTAGAATAATATTTAGCGTTCTTGGAATTTTTCTGTCGTTTTAATAGTAATAATTATTTTTCTAGGGCTAGAAGCTCTTTTAAGAGCGACCCAATATGCATTGGCGCTATAAGAATAATAAGAAGGAAACGTAGTAGTAGTTCATCTTCCGGGGTTAGAGCTATTATTCTTAAATAATGATAACGGTAGAAGAAGGAGAACCGTTATATAGGCTATAGTTCTTCCTAGCATTAGGTAAGAAAATATTCCGCTAATAAGAATAAAAGTAAGGGTAAAGCCACTATACGGCTATAATTTACCAAGATTGAGCTGGATAGAGATTTGTTAAAGGATAATGAAATTTATAATAAAGACGAATATTAAGTATAGAATTAGATTCTATTTCTATAGACCCGGAGAAGTTAAGAATCGGCTTAGAAATATTACGTTCAATATTTTATTGAGGTAGTATATATAGTACGCCGTTCGTCTGGCTCCCGGTCGGCCAATTATAGTATAGGCTTTGCGGTTACCTTTAGATGTAAATGATAATTTTATAGTAACCTATATAGGGTTATAATAGGTTGTAGTATAGTTATAATTACCAAAAAGGGAGGTAGTCTAATACTACCCTATAAATATAGACGGTTGAAACTATACTAAAGATATATTAAGGCCTCGTTACTTATTCGAAAAGAGAAGAGGTTGCAGATTAGCGGCCGGATAGCGTTAATTACCGGCAACGCTCTAAGTAAGTATTAAACGATGATTAGTCCGGCTGGGTTAGTGTATATTAGGACTAGATTATGCCGGATTCGGTATATCCTAATCCCGATATAGTATTAAATAACCGTAGATAGTTAGAAACGGATTCGTCTCTTAGGAAACGAATTCTCCTCTTAATTAATTAATTATTATCTATAATTAGAAGTACTTACTTAATAAAACTATTTATTAATTTAAATTCTAGGTTGTAATTGACTGTGGTTCTTTAAGTAGAATCCGTTACGTTTATTATAACGATTTCGCTACGCATTAATCCCTTTAATAAATCCGTTATTACTAGATTCTTCTCTCTAAGAAGAATCTGTTAATTAACGATTTTATTAGTAAGTAGAATAATAATTACGAACACAGCTTTCCCTAATTCGTAGTAAGTAGTTTTAATAGTTTAGAATCGAATAAGATTTTTTACTTTTATTATTATTTTGTAAATACTTTTATTCTATTACACTTATTTTTTCGTCCCCCCGGAGTTGCGTTCTATATTATTAAGATAATTCCTAATATTTAAACCGAAGCCGATATTAAAAGAACTAATAACTTGTATAGATTTTATAAACGTTACTTTAATTACCCTTTATAGGCGAGCGTTAACGTTTATAACCTAATAGCTTTTAATTACTATAGGAGAATTCAGCCTAAGTCTAGTAAAAGTACGTTTTATATAATTAATAATAAATTATATAATAATAGTAATATACTTATACGTTATTTATATTAGATTATTAACTTCGATATTCTAAAAAGATATTTTATTTTTATTTTCGCTAAATTTAACGAATTCGTTAAGAATTATTAAATTAATTAAATTCTTATTATTTAAGAAATAAGAGTAAAAATAATTAGAATAATTGAAGAGGAGATAACTTTAACTTTATATAACGCTAAATCTTCTTCGTTAACTATTCTAATTCTTTATTACGCCATCGATCCGTCCTCCTTAATTATAGTCCTATACTACGCAAGTAAATCCGATTCTAAAGGTAAAAGTAAGGCGGTCGATCGGATTTGGATAGGAATTAATCTTTTCTCTAAAGACGGCTTAATTTATTTAAATACCGAAGAGCGGCTTTATATCGACTTTATATGAGTAAGTAGGCTAATTAGTCTTCGAACGTCGGATTTTATACGTACTTATAATTATATTAATACTATAAAAATTATTTGGAGAGCTTTCTTCGATATTATTCCCGCCAAGGACGATACAATGGTTATATTAAGTTTCCGTTCGTTTATATTACCTTTGTTTTTATTAATTGCTTCTTTATTTTGTATACTAGTATTAATACTAATTTCCTATTCTATTATTAATATTATATTCGGTATAGTTAGCTTTAAATATAAATTAATAATTTAATTAACGGGTTTTACATGTCAGCTGTCATCGGCTGACATGTGGAGAAAAAAGGGTGCGCGAAGTCATTTTAGGGTGCGCGAGGACATCGACTACGGTGCGGTAAGTCAAGCTCTTTTATTGATGATGTAGTCATGGTATAGTGTGATATATATCTGCTCCCCTTCCCTTTTCACTCACTCTCCCATAGCTTCTCTTCTCAAAACCCTTCCGGCTAATGACCTGTCTCATCATCCTCTCCCACCCACTTTTATAGAACAACATCCAGGCAATGCAAAAGCAGAAAATGTAAGGTGATGCGAGAAAAAAACGAGGATAAAAAAAAAAGAATTTCTCCGGTCAAGGACACAGATACAAGAAGTGTAAGACGAAACCAAACACAAGCTTTCCCTGAATGGTGAATGTGATACGCCAACCCAACTCGACCAACGGCCACATCCATTTAGGGATATGTGTAGAAGGTAGACAAAGTATGTACAACAACAGAAGCAGCATAACAACGCGAACCAATGTACGAATGAGCGAAGAAACAAGCAAGAAAGAAAGAAAGATACCAAGAAGGAAGCCAAGAAAAGGGGGAATGGTGAAGAGCAAATAAAAATAATCAAACACTAGAGATAAACATTACGTTAGAGAGACAGAGGTGGATGGATGTAGACAGAGGTAGTAGACCTCTAGAGAACTTTGTACATGCACCTCTATCAGTCCACATCTCTCTTCTCCCTCGCTTCCCACTCTCCTCTTCTTGCTCTCCTCGCGCTTCCAACATGCCAGTATCCCAACATTCCTGGCCGGCTCTACTTCAAACATGAACGAACCACAACCGACAACAATCCAGTTATACAACCGCCTGAACGTATCCATCTGTCGATCTATCTATCCGTCCATGCATCCAAGGCATACACCAAAAAGCGGTGATGATAATGATGGGTATCAAGACGCAAGGCGTGCGACACAAGAAACTTTTCAAAGTCACGGACAACTGCTACCCCAGCTCGACCGGAAGAAAGAGAACAAAATGTGAGAAGAGGAGGAAGTAAAAAGAAGAAGACGAAGAAGCTGTCGCAATTCTTGCCTTCGTGTCAAATCGAGCCATGGATGCGTTGCGTTGTCTTGAGTTTTGTTATGTTTGTTCGGTATCATGCAAAGTCATCAGCGCCATCATTCATACCGGCAGCCACCAACCGATCCACCTGCTGCACGAGCTCCTTGGTCTCCCTGGCGAGCTCGAACGCGATGGGCGGCAGCGTCTGCGTCCACATGCGCCACTCGCGGCTCGTGGGGTTGCTGCCCTGGGCGTCGAGCTCGATGCCGCGCTGGCCGGCCTCGTTGAGCCGGTCGCGGCAGTTGCCCAGCCTGCGCACGAGGTCGACGACGGTGCTGCTCGTGCCGCCGAGGCACGAGTCCGTCTCGGCAACCACCTTGTTGACCACGTCGGTGATCATGGCGATCTCGCCGCTCACTTGGTTGATGTTGGCGTCGCTGCGGATCAGCTGGACCAGGTTCTGGATGGTTTCCACCATGACCGAGGTCCGGTCCTGGAGATAGAACTTGAGGTCCTCAACCCGGCGGGGGTCCGGAGCGGTAGGTTTGCTGTTGGCGTACGATTCGCGCGGCGAGTTGGCGCTGCTGTAGGCAGACGAGTCGACACTAATCCTGCTGCCTGCTCCTCCTGGCCCTTGGAAGGCCGTGGGTTGAGCTAGCACCTCGTGGGCAGAGCCAACACTTGAGGTCTGGCTTTGGCCATTGCGCGGAGAAAAGAAGCTGGCCGAGCCGACGGGAGTTACTGTGCCATCGTCATCGTCCTCCAACTCACCCGCAGGCGTGGTGCGGATTTTGGCGGCCCGAAGCAGCTCAATGACTGCTGCAACCAAGTGAGATGCAGCTGCGTCAAGCAGAGATACAGGAGAGATACCCGCGGAACTGGCAAAGTTCTTGGATGCAGTGATCAGGTTGTTGGCAGTCGATGATACCCGAGCCTTTAGCTTGGCCTTCTCTTGGAGAATGCTCTCGTTTTGTGGATTCTCGTCGATATCCTTGGCGATCCGACGGACACTGACCACGACTGCTTTCATAGAGTCAATCACGCGCTCAGGGTTGTCGTTGCGAGCGCGCTGTAGGAGCTCGTCTATCGCGATTTGGAACTTGGTAACGTGAAGGTCCTTCACAAGTCCAGAGTCTTCGACGAAACCCTTTTCCCGTATGAATTTGCCGGCGTTCTGCTCCAGTGGTACGCCCTCTGACGAATCACGCATGGTGCGTAGCTGCGTCTGGGTGCGTGCATACCGACTTCTCCATTCCTTGACCTCCTTCTCCTTTTCTTCGATTGTCCTCTCCAGCTCCGTTTGCCTCTCCCAAGCAGCCCCGCTTTGCTGGGACAGCGCCCTCATCTCACGCAAAAACTCCTGAGCCTCGCGCCGGACCTCGTCCGTTATTTGCTGCTGTTCTTGCAAAGACTGCCGCAATTCCTCGTTCTCTCGCGCCAGATCGCCATCTCCTCTCGGGCCAGAGCCGCCTGATTGTCGAACATCCTCGAGTTCTTCGCGGAGCTTCCTCGTCTCGTCTTCGTGCTCCTCCCTTATGCGGTCGAGTTCCCTTTGCAACGAGTCGTTCAGTTCCTGGGCCTCTGCTAGTTTCGTCTCCAAGCTTTGCCTGGTTTCGTCCCACTCTCTCTTGTCGCCATCTCCGGATTGCATGTTGTTCAGCTCTTCGTCCTTCTTCCTCATTTCCATCTCCATGTTGTCGACCTTCTCCTGAAGCTCCCTAACCTGGGTTTCGTAGTCCTGTATAAGCTTCCTGTCGGCCTGTGTTGAGTTAGCACATGATATTCCCCTCCCCCCCTGGAGCCAAAGAGAGTACTAACCTCGGACGCCGGGCCCATAGACCTCCTGCCGTTGCCATACATACCACCACCCTGACTGGGGCTCATCGGGTTGCCCTCGTCGTCCTCCTCGACCATGGTACTCTTGTTCGGAACGATCGTGTTGCTCTGGAACTGTTTCGGCATCGGACGCCCATAGTCGCCATTCGGCGGCAGCCCAGGAGATGGGGGAACACCGTATCCACCGTTCATCATAGGTGGCATCGGAGGACCGCTCCGTGCACTTCGTACCGAGCTCGCCTCCGAAGGGCGTCTGTGACTTTGACCTCTGGGAGGGAAGCCGCCCATTCCGTTGACTGGTGTTCCCGAGCGGCTTGACGGGCCACGCATCGCAATCGGGCTGGCATTGAGAGGCATCTCCAGATTGGCGAAGTTAGGATACCGCCTCTCCAACTCGATGAAGACATCGGTGGCGAGATCGCGAAACCTAGGAGGACCTAGGGACGACAGTTTTTGACGAGCTTGGTTCCGTTTGGGATGGAAGTTATCCTCGGGCAAGAGATAATCTGGCGGAGCAGTCTCGGGAGGAGCATTAGGTCCTCTTCGGGCCACCTGTTCGCGGCGCTTCAATTCGTCGTAAACATCGGTACTGAGCTCAAGAAACTGCACCTCAGTAAGGCGTTGCAGCTTATCGCGGGCCTTGTTCGGCGGCGGTTTCGGATTGCCGTCGCGTGAGGTGGCTGAAAGATAGCGCTTGAGCGAGATGTAGTGGTCAGCAAGAACCAACTCCTGGTTTCCCGCATGTTGACTCTGACTCTTTTCACTCCTCGCATACATGCCGGTGCTGGATCGGCCAACGGACGGTGGAGGAGAGGGTGCCCCGTTCGGGCTCTGAGGCATCGGGGAGAAGCCGCCGTTCATAGCGCCGGCAGGGTTCGCAGAGTCCGGAGGAGTGTTGTTGTATTGTCCGAGATTGTTGTCGTTCGGCGGATAGTTCCAGTCGCTTGGGGCGCCTTGGGAAATTGGTGACAATGGTGCATTGCGAACATTCATGGTATTCGTTCACCGCCCGCTTCCAATCGACCAGTCGGACGCAGTAGGAAAGACAGGCGTTGCGCGCAGTTAACAACGGAGGCTTGATGCAATGGTTGTCGTCGACCCGTGTGTGTCCCTAAGGAAGGCGCAGGTAACCGGTTCCTGGATGATTCGCGGTGTCTCAGCAAGTAGAGGTACAGGCTCCCAAGAGACGCGGACTGTCGCAGAGCCGGTATTGAGACGAATGGAGCATATGCTGTGCGCCCTCGACAGGAGAAGGGTCTCGCGGGTGTTTCTCGTGCAGGACTATGTGTTACTGTGGGAGCGCATGAAACGCATATTGGTCAACTTTTTGGATTCCCCTTTTGGAGGCGCGAAAGGGAAGGAGGACAAAGGGAGCGGGAACATGAACAGGGGGTGGTGGTACACTACACTTTATGCGATGCCCTGCGCGATGTCGCCAAAGAGTGGCTGTTCCGGTTGCCGAGAGCAGACTGGGAGTTGGAATGATGGGAGAGGTTCGCCTCAGAATGGATGGACTGGACGACGGCTTGACTCGTTCGGTGCTTCCAGATGCCCTTTCTTTGGATGATAGATCGTGGGGATCTTTTGGGGGGGGACCTTCGCTTCAGACGTTTTACTGAGTAGAGGCTAGAGGTAGCCCTCAAGGTTAACGTTCGGCTTGGCGGGGGGTCTACCGAATGTGTGGACAGCGAGTGGACGGCGTCTTGGCTTTTCTTATTGGTGCCACTCGAATCAGAGCAGCAAGACGCCTAGGCGAAGAGACGTAGCGTCGGGTAGGGTACCTAGATGGCGTCCAGATCCAAGATGACGGGAACCTCAATGGCGGAATTGTTGCAGTCGCAGGACGGGAGATGGAAACGAGAGACAGGACGGGACTGTTGCTCGCTCGCCGTGCTCATTCCCTTTTCGCTTTTCGCTGGCCGGTTCCTCACGACGCAGGTGACCACGGATCTTGGGAGAACGGCTCCTCCACTGTGTTCCGGGGCGCGCAATGGGTTGGAAATGAAGAATCCACTGATCATTCAAGGCCCCAAAAGTGGACGATGTCCTCTGAGAAGCAGTGGGAGGCACAGTGGATGGTTTGAGTGTGAGCGCCGGGGGCTCTGAGCGCAATGGGAATGGGGTGGCCGTTCAGCCAATCAGAACCAACCTTGACCCATTACTGCAGCCGTCAGGGGTGAGGTTTCCCAGCTCTCCAGTTATTAGTCGCGCGCTACGGCAGGTACGGATTCCCAGACAAGCTGGCGCAATTAGCTTCGACAGAGGTGCTTGGGCCGCTGACAGTGAAGTTCCTCCTCCTACACGTGCCAGTCCATGCCTCTACGTAATTGCAACTAATGTCAGGTGGGAGAGCGCGGAGAGTCATTTCCAGAGCCAAGTTGGAAGTCAAACACCAACGAGAGTGAGTGATATTTTACATCTCGGGGCGTCATGTTGTTACGGGGACGATGGGAGTTGGCTCGTTGGTATCTGACGGCAGTGACCACGATGAACGGGTCGGCACTCCACCATTGTCCACATTACCACGGACTGTCATTACACTTCTTTATATACATTGAGGTTTGAGATTATATATGTCGAAGCACAAAGAAGGAGCCGGGCACTGTTGGATAACAAGCACAACAACCACACACGAAGCTATGAGAGGCGATTCCCGAACGGACCGGGACCGGGACAAAGAAACCGAGCCACCATGGCCTAAATGGAAAGGCAACTGGACCCAGATCCATTCTTCGTCGGTCTCGGGTCCCCTCATTTTCGCGTCTCGATGCCGGGAATTTACAGTGGGAAGTGGGAAGTGGGAAGTGGGAAGTGGGAAGTGGGAACAAAGGCCTGATATCAATCTCGGCCTGGCACTTCGTAGGCGAGCGGGCAGGTGTTGTTACCTTTTCCCCATGGGAGCAATTTAAACCATCTAGCGAGACACCCCGACGACCCCCTTTCTCACATGGCATCCCGGGACCCGGGGAGGGAGTGTGTCTTCATCTCTGACGGGATCGCCAACTTCGAGCCCCCTTCGTATCTCTGGTATGGTAGATCTCATGTTAGCCAACGGTGATCAACTCTAAGCCGTTGCTGTGGTTCATTACTCAACCAAGTTGTCTCGGTGTGAAACAACCTGGGACTAGGTACACATTAAGAGCGGCAATCTTCCGCCCAGATAAGATACAATACTTAAAGATATCAATGCCAACCATGAGATTTCATCTATATATGTACATAAGTAGGCACATCGACATCACATCAAATGCCACCTCGGCCTCGGGCACTCCCGCCCAACACTCCAACATGACAGTGACAACATGCATTAGCAGCAACCTTAATGGCCTTTTTTTCTTCGAGGTGTGTCCAATGACCACAGCCCAATTTCCATCTTGGACCCTCGCGTTTGGTTGCATTGTTACAAGTAGGCCTGCTCACTGCTGGGGCACGGCCGGTTGTGCATGATCCGATATGTTCTAGACGCCGGTAACCGTTCGGTACCCCAGATACCAAGGCAAGCAAGGTCTCCAAAGTTCTTCTAGGTTTCCTTCTTCGTATCCAGATTGTTTGTACTTTGTAATGAACCGTGCGGCAAACCGTCATCTCAAGATGCTTTTGGGGTACCATGCAGGGTAGTCTGGTGGGCCGATGAGCTCCCATCTCCGAGTATGCATGCAACATTATTGAGTTTGTGATAGAAGTAAGCAGATGGGTAGGGAATACTTGAATGGCGGTTTGGTTGGAAGAAGAGGAAATGGTCTGCCAAACCATGGAGGTCGACATATCTGGGGTGCAACTTCACAAAATAGCAAAGTTGGAGCCAGTCATGACAGGAGAGCTCATAAATCCCGGACACCGCCACGAGTCCGAATCATCATTATGCTGTGACGGCTAAAACGTCTTGCTCATCTGCGTTGTCTGGTCATCAATCATGAACCCAAGAGATGTATCCCTGTCCGTAACCGCAATTACGCCCGCCAGGCAAAAAAAGAACGTCCAACGCCTTACGATGCACCATGCACGAGCCCAAACAATACGCCAATTCAATGCTTAGAACCAAGCCAAAGTCCACGTCGCAGGAAGATTCGGCCACCTCTCCTGCCACTCGGCCAGGACGTCCGGTACGCGCTCATCGAATCCTGACCTGGCGCCTACGCTTCCCGAGTCAAAGGCAGAAGCGCCAACCTTCTCCCGCTCCTCGGCAGCAATCTTGTTGAGCGAGTCTGCCAAATCGACAATGGCTCGCCCTCCAACGGATGCCTCTTCATGGTTATCCTTGATATCGATGTTGATGACGTGAACAGGCCTGTTAAGTGGCGAGCCACGGGCGAGGAGATCATCAATCACGGCATCCCAACAGCGTTCCTCACAGGTGATGACAACATCAGCTACGCCGCCCTCCATGCCATCGGCGCCCTTGTCTTCCTTATGCTTGGTTCTAGGCATTCCAATCTGCCAGTCCTGCCATCGTTCAGGGCCCCACTTGACTTGGCGGTTTCTTCCAAGCATGTTCAGCAGTCCGTTTGCGCGATATAACCGAGGGTCTTTGGCTTCCAGCTCCCGATATATACTATCGTATGATGTTTCGTTGAACTTGTAGACATTGGGCTGTGTAATAGACGGCCCGGGCAGTCGGACAAGAGAACCTGTACCAAACGAAATCACGGGGTAATTTGCAAGAGAGAGTCGCAAGTGGCCTTCCATGGAGCTGGTGAGGGTTAGACGGGGTCATCCAGTTGCGTTGCGATGCGATGCGTAATATTGCTCACCGATTCTGGTTACTGGCGCAGACGGTGCAAAACTTTAGCTTGAAGCCGCCAGGATCTTCACGCCCACCGTTTTGACCGTTCTGCCCATTTTGGTCCGGCTTCGAGGAGCTCGCAGCACCACTTGCGGTGTCTACAGCAGACATAACCGGCAGCTACAGAGATGACCTATTATTGTGGCAGATGTGGCATGCTTGACTGGAGAGACCTAGAAAGCGCAGGATACCAGTGTTAGTTATCCATTCCCTTCTGCGATACAGACATGGCAAGTGCAAAAGTGTAGGTTGTCCTCGGTACATATCAGATAAAAAAGCGTATGTAAAATTTTGTCATCAAACGCCAGACATAGCAGGCTACAGACAGCTCCAATAAAGAGATCATCATAAAGAAAAGAGAATTGAGGGGGAAGAGGGGGAAAAGAGCGCATCAATTACCTTTCAAGCTTCGGCAGGGCGCAAAGCGCAAACAGATGACGATTAAATTAGTCGAGGTAGCCTGCTACCACACGTGTATGACTTGATAAAATGGATGTGGTTGAAGTCCAGACCGGTTCGCCAGTTGTTGCTGGTTCGGAGGTTTTGGACGGTGAAAGTGGGATGTGGAATTAGGAACAAATCTGTTTGGTTACCGACTGCGAGGGACAAGTGGTGGTCATACGCGGATAGTGCCCAATCTGACCGCTTTCCAAAATTAGAACTGTTTCAGTGTTTCAGAGTGAAATGGTGGGTGGCTCGTGCGTCCTGCAGCCCTTTGCCCTCTTTCCGTTCTCGTCAGCTTCCCCACCTCGAGAGTCTGCAGCGGTCCGCAGATGTGCACTGCAGAATCACAGACGATCCCTAGGAACGCTTTTACAGGACCCTCGAGCCTCGGTCATGGGTTTCGATTAATTCTGAGCTCCAGCTGCCCGCTCGTCAGCGCATGTCATTCACACGGACATGGAATTCAACATTTATCACAAGTTCTCCTCGTCAAAGTCCCACATGGAGAATAACGCAACTCATAGCTACCTTACCTTAATGCCTTGAGAAATTCCATGGGTACCACGTTGCTGTTCGGGACGCACTCACGGAGCCAATCACTCACATAGAAGGCATCGAGAACATCCAATGGTGGACACAGACATGATAGACATCCCTGCTGGGACGGGAGGTTCTGAAGAGTTTCGCGTGAAGTTTTTCTTGGTTGAAATATGATAACCAACAATAGAGGCACACGTATGATGATATACATTTGCAATGGACGCTTTTACCCGCGTGGTATATTGCATGCCCTTTGAATCTTAAACGTCCTGTTTCAGAGTATGTGTTAGTGAGTATTTTGGCTGCAAGTCAGATTGAAGTGTTGAGCTCCGATGGTTGACGCACAGGAAAAACTGTGTTCTGCAGGTTGCCCATCGAATTGTCAACGAGAGGTGCCCTCTGAGCCGGAGGTGGACTTTTGGCCCCCCGTAACCCCGTTTCGTTTCCCACCTCCAAATAATTTGCCATCCCGTTGTCTCTAGGTACGGGATAGCGCAGCTCGCGCAGCAAAGAGGTCATGTTGGTCGAAGGCGACCGAGTCCTCAGAGGTTCGACTGACTGGCCAGCGGTTGCTATTTGCCAATGAGAGGAGCAGGGCCTGGACCTGGAGTACTCCTGCGGCAGCGCGCTTAACTTTGCTGAAGTTGTACTATCCCGTCGTAGTAACTTGATGCGGCGCTCCCCCCCCAATCTACTCCTGCCCAAGATTCTGCTTCTTTTTCTTCTCCTCTTCTCTTCGTTTTCCCCCCTCTCCTCCATCACACCTGTCTAAATCGACAGCTCGCAATCGTTCATCTTGCTGACCAAACAAGGGCTTTCCATGTCTATACAAACTCTTTAACTAGATAATTGCCCACCTAGCTGCCCTAGTGTGCCCCTTCGCACACCTCCACCTCTTTTTCTGCCCTGCGCCCTTCACACGGGATCCCTCAGCGAATCCGACCCAACACCGAAACACCCCAAGTCCAGAGCCCTTGCATTTCCGAGACTTCAGACGACGAACAAGCGAACTTGCTCTAAACTCGCCGTTGGTACCTGTGGCCGCTTTGCAAGCATCACACATCTGCAAATTGACGCCCGTAGTCCACACAGCTGCATACCTCTACATAATCGGACGCTACAAGTCTACCGTCTCCCTAGCTCTACGACAGACGGACCTCAAAAACCACACCCATCCCCCGCCTCGACAGCACAACTAAAGCAAAGCATTCCCGCCCGTCCAAGACAGTCCGGCCAGCCCTTCCCTTCGCTGCCTAGTGCTCCAACCAGACTCGAACCCTGGTCAAAACACACCCTGGTTCCCACGCTCAGGCTCAAGCGGTGACGGCCCGGCGCCCTGGAAAGGATCCACAACAACAATTGATTGTCCGGGCAGCGCATACCAGGCACGCCAGGCACTGCTAGGCTATAGGCTCTGCTACCCCCTATCTTTTCCTTTACCTCGAGCCATGACGGCGATCATGTCGCCAGCCTCGTCTCCAGCGACCTCTCCGCCCGCCATCACCTCGGCCTCGACTTCAGCCGCTCATCCCCCGCTTCCTCCGCTCATAACCTCGCCGCCCGCTCGCAGGAGCACGCTACCGCGGCCAATGTCGCACGCGTCCAAGAACCGCCTGTCGCAGTACTCGACTGTGAGCTCGATTCCCTCCCGCTCCCGGCCGCCCTCCCAGCTGTTCCCCATCTACCCATCCAGTCTGCCCTATACGCTGGTGCGAGACTTTGCCTACCCCGTGGGCCATCCCATGCACTATGGTCCTCCACCGGAACCTTCTCGGCCACCCTCGGGCATGACTACTCCAGCCAGCGAGCAACGGCGCCTATCCGACCCCCCGACATCTTGGGATCGTCATAGCTGGGATAACTCATGGAGCAGCGACGGCTGGGGAAGGGCGAACGATCTTCCCCCAATGCAGTTCGCTGATGGCCCTCCGTGGAGCGAGGATGAAGACCTTCAGAGCCCTGTGGTCAGTTCGAGACACAAGAAGCACAAGTCAGCTGGCGGCAGTGGCGGCGGCGGCTATGGTGCGGGAAGGAGTGGCGGTGGTGGTTCGGTCATGAACCCGAGCAACTACGACCGGGAACGGGGTTACTACGTTGGCACCAGTGGTGATGGCAGCGAGCGCTACTACGTGAACCAGGGAGGCGAGGCCAACGGGCCGGGCGGCGAGTACGTGACGTATCCGGCCGACCAGGCGCGTCACAGCGCATATCAGGTTGCCGACCAGCAGCCACGCCAGTACGAAGACGATTACCCATCCGACTTGGACGACTCCAGCCCTGGCGGCTATCACGAGACGGACGAATCGCGTTATTCGCGCGACTACCAGTTTACAATCACCTCTCCCGATGAGGAGATGCACGGTAAGGCCGTGGCGCTGTACGACTTCCAGCGGGAAGACGAGAACGAGTTGCCTCTGGTGGAGGGTCAGATCATCTGGGTGTCGTACCGACACGGACAAGGCTGGCTGGTTGCGGAGGACCCCAAGACGCAAGAGAGCGGTCTTGTGCCGGAGGAATACGTGCGGCTGCTACGCGATATTGAAGGAGGTATGAATAGTCTCACCGGCCAGCTTGCCGAAAGCCCTGTTAGCCCGGTGGAAGCGGGAACACCAACTCAGGCGGAACATACAGCTACTGCCTCTGGCGCATCATTTGGCCACACTCCCACACAAAGCCAAAGCTCCAACAGTGGTGGCGGATCTGGTATGAATGGCAACAACACCAGCTCGACACCAAGCTCAAGCTCCAATACGAATGGGTACGGGCACAGCCACTCTGGGTCTGATTACAAGTACCATCAGCCGGTCCTATCAACCTTCTCAACGTCAAGCAAGGACCTCGATCCCTATCCGCAGCACCTTTTGGGAACACAGGCTGGCCAAGCCCCACCGCAGGTCGTCCACTATCATGGACAACGGGGCGGCAGTCAAGCGAACACGCCCACGAATCTATTTCATGATGCCGGTTTGATGCGCCGCGGCAGTCAGGACACTGTCGGCAGAAACGAGAGGAAGAGTGGTGAGCAGGGGACATTGGAGACTCTGCCTGGCGCAAGACTGGAAAAGACATCGAAAGAAGGTGCAATGGAAAACCAGAGTATCAGCGAAGAGGCTGAGCCAGAGGTTGAGACGGATACCAAGGCCCAAAAGACAGGGGAAGCGGAAGCGGAAGCGGACAGGTGATGAAGGTGGAATATGAAAGGGGTGTGGTGATGATGATGATTGCTATATGCGACACGATGCAATGTCTTGTTGAAAACTGACGCAGAAGCGGGCTCAGTCATTTAAAGCGAAGGGAGCATCAAGTTGGAGAGGAAACCGTGATGATGATCGAATAATCCCCATGTAATGGACGATAGGAAGAAGCTGCTGACAGGAGCATGCTTTATGAGGGAGCGATTGTAAAATGGAATACTACGGGCTAATGGCGTCTACTTTCTTGCATACTCATCGTTCCTGTTCTCCCTCTCTTTGCTCTTTCGTCTAGACTTTTGCGTTCTTTTTTCTTCCTACCGTTTTCCGTCGCCATCTGAATTGAGCAGAAGAAGCAGAATCAAGACAATCAAGGGCTGAGGAGGAGCAAGAATGGGAGAGGCAGGAAACGAGGAGCTAAAGCGAGCCTGGACATCACATATTATCCTAGCAGTTGTTCTGTGTACAAGTTGGAGAGACTAACAACATGATCTGGTCAAACAAAAGAATTAATACGCTGCTACGGATGCTCTACGTGATGGACAACTTCAAAAGTTATTTGTCATATTCCTTGACTACTTACTCCCTTCGGCCTCAGCAGATGATGAGTGAGCCAAGATGCTAGGAGCAAGCGTCAAAACAAGAATCAGGACTTCACTAGAGACTAGGACATTAGCATGTTAAGGTAGTCCAGTCCCCGAACTGCACCGATATCTCCGCATCCTTTTGTTGGCAGCCCAAGATGGTAACCATACCCAGAAAATCCCCTGTATTTACACAAGGTGTCAAGACGCGGATTTCAAATAGTAACGGTTGCGGAGCTGGTGAAGCTGACAAACGTGACAAACCCGTTTCTCTCGTCGGCGGAAAAAGACCCGATTGACGGGATTGGAACTTGGGGTTTCAATCACGCCTGGAGATCGCTGCATGACGTAAGACCCACCGGGCCACCCGAACCAAGCTCCCCACGCTCCCCAACGGAACCCGCGATTGAAAAAGGTACGGGGACCTCTATGCACTGCACTGACTGCACTGACTACAGCCTAAAACACGGGCGTACCTGAACCTCGTCCGATCTTCCCGTCCCCTCCTTCCTCCAATTCTTGCTTTCCAGACACTGCATGTCAAAATGAGTCTGTTCGTTGCTAGCACCAGGTCCGCCTTCCGGGCTGTCGCCCCCATCAAGAGGGTAAGCCACCACTCTTCTCTTCTTTCGAATTTGCTTTTGCTCCGGGAAGTGTTGCTGAGTCGAGGTACACAATCCTGCCGTCACGGGCAGTTCTGGTGGTCGGGCGCATACGGCATCGAGAATGCGCCTCGAGCAGAATTGGGGTAGGCGTGCAGCGCAAGCATATGCGACAGCTTCACGCAACGCTTGCCATTGACCCCAAGGACAAGCAGCAGCCTTTCTAGAAGTCACTAAACTAACACTCATCCCTATCGCAGTCTTTCCAGACCCGCCGCTCCTATGCGACCGAGCCCTCCAAGGGCGGCAGCAGCAGCACCATCCTCCTCGGCGCCGCCGCTGTTGGTATTGCCGGCGCCGGCGCCTACTTCTTCTCCGGCTCTGGTGCCGCCAAGAAGGCTGAGGCCAGCGTTAAGGAGGTGACCGAGAAGCTCACCCCCGGCGAGATCAAGAAGGCCTTCGTCGGCGGCGACCAGGGCTGGGTTAGCCTCAAGCTCGACGAGGTTGAGCTGGTCAACCACAACACCAAGCGCCTGCGCTTCAGACTTCCCGAGGATGACATGGTGTCTGGCCTCCACGTTGCCAGCGCTATCCTCACCAAGTTCAAGCCTCTCGATGCCGAGAAGGCTGTCCTCAGGCCTTACACTCCCATCAGCGACGAGAGTAAGCATTTTCGCATTGACTCACTGGTTCCTTCGATGATACATTGACCTAACGTCTGAGCAACAGGTGCCCAGGGCTACATTGACCTCCTGGTCAAGAAGTACGAGGGTGGTCCCATGAGCACCCACCTCCATGATATGGCTCCCGGCCAGCGCCTCGACATCAAGGGCCCTCTTCCCAAGTACCCCTGGGAGGCTAACAAGCACAAGCACATCGCCCTCGTTGCTGGCGGCACCGGTATCGCCCCCATGTACCAGCTCATCCGCGCCATCTTCAACAACCCCGACGACAAGACCAAGGTTACTCTCGTCTTCGGCAACGTCAGCGAGGAGGACGTTCTCCTCAAGCACGAGCTCGCCACCATCGAGAACCACTACCCCCAGCGCTTCCGCGCTTTCTACGTCCTCGACAACCCTCCCAAAGAGTGGACCGGTGCTAAGGGCTACATCAACAAGGACCTCCTCAAGACTGTCCTTCCTGAGCCCAAGAACGAGGATATCAAGGTCTTCGTCTGCGGCCCTCCTGGCATGATGACCTCCATCTCCGGCAACAAGAAGAGCCCCAGGGACCAGGGCGAGCTGTCCGGTATCCTCAAGGAGCTCGGCTACTCTGCCGATCAGGTGTACAAGTTCTAAGCGACTTGGGACTTTCTGATGCATCTTGCGTATTATAATATCACCATCTTGATTAGCTAGAATAGCGCGGCGTCACTTGAGTTGGGCAATGTGGGATTGGCTTGGTCTACGATACTTATGCTTGACGAGCACACGCGGCGCACATCCTGCTGTGTATAGATAGAGGATAATAGAAGGCAGAAAAACAGCCAGATATGAAAGACCAAAAGCGATATGATGATCATGCGAAAATTCTTGCTTTTCTGAAACGATGCTCGGTTTCAATTGCAGTCGACATCCAAGTAAACAAAGAGACTTGCGATGGCATCATCCGCCAAGGGTGCCCCCGGCGTGGCTGAGGTGATACCAGCGTGGCTGAAACCGACGTGGCTGATAGCTTCTCGGCCATTCTGAAGGTGCACGTGACGACGTGTCTGCAACTTGCCGGCCGGCAAAGCTGAAGCTCCAGCATTTCTTGGCTTGAGCTTCCAATTGATTTCCATTCCCCATTTCCTGTCCCTCCGTCGTTCGCTCTGATTTCCACCGAACAAGCACCACCAAGGCAAAGCAGCTAAACAGGCCGTTTGGCCTGCGCCTGTAATAATGGCAGCGCTTTTGCCCTTCAAGGTGCCTCAAATCAGCGAGGTATGTTTCCTTTTCTTTCATGATTCCTATTGTCGGTGATGATCAGACATTAACGCGTTACATCATCAATCTTGCAGGCTGATATGTTTGCTTTCCATGAAGCCCACTTCTCCAACCTGTCTACGGGTCATTTCGAGTCTCACTTCCTTCGTCCAGATGACTCGGTTGTCGCTGCAAGCGCCGCAACTGAGGGGCTGGAAAGCGGCAATGCCGAAGAGGAGTATTACTACGAAGAGTACGAAGAAGGTTACGACGAGGACGATGACGGCCTGGGCTATTACCCCGACGGCGTCAAACGGACTCTGACAGATGAGCAAATCGCCATCTTCCGGCACTCGGAACTCGAAGCCATGCGTCGTGTGAGGGAGTCTGCCAAGATCAAGAAGGTCATGGATCCCGCGGCGGACGGCGTCGTTGTTATCGAGGGTGCTATAGGGGAGCAGCTCTCGGAGGGCGAGGTCGATTCTTCTCCAAGAGAAGCGGTGGCGGGGGCGGGACCTTCGCAGCAGCAACAGCAGCAGCAGCAGAAGAAAAAGAAGAGCACCAACAACAAGAGCAAGAACAAGCGTCGCGGAGGCAAGAAGAACAACAACAACAACAGGCCTGACGGAGGTGAGCAGATCGATTTGCGCAAGCGAACGTGGGATGTTGTCGACAAGGGACTTGCTTCTTTGGACTATGGAGAGGAAGAACATGGTCAGCCTTCCGATGAGAGAGCGATGCAGAGACGTCGGATTTCGTATGATGATTGAAGAGCTAGATGGAATAGCTTCAGCACTCTCTTGATACAGCATGCGCTGGCGGGGTAACTCACACAACGCAGTCTACGACAGGCCACCAGGGCAACTAGTTAGGTGTCCCTGCGTGCTCATACGTGGGACTTGGTCAATGATACAGTAAGTTCCTCCTCTATCATAACTGCCCCCATCAGCATGCTTTCACATGATGAAAAACCATATCGTATCGTCATCCTTAGTCGGAAATCCGGGCAGAGATGCTGTGACCCCTCAAAAGGTCTGCAGTGTCTTGATAGCTGGAACATGTCGAGTTACAATCTTCTCTCTGAAGCTCAAGCATCAGTCATGGACCTTTTTGTATTCAGACCCCTGTTGAGAACTTCGCTGACTGATCGGTTAGACAGATGTTTGACATGTCGAACACGAAAGTTCTCACGAAACATTTGGTTCAGTAACGGTTACGACATCGCCGCGGGTTTGCGCCATAGCTCTAACGTGATGCCTGTAAAATTGCATCGAGTGAGATTGACGCCGTCCATGGTCATTGGATCCTAAACAAAGTGTATGTGTCTTGATGAACATACATCAGTCTGGAGGAAATGGTCTTTGCGCCCGTATGGAAAGTAAATATCTCGGGGCATTACTACTACTGTCCGTATTCTCGTTTAAGTAGATGACCAGCCCGTCAACGGCATAATACCAGTGTCTTATACCATCGTTTGTGGAACGTATTTCGTGCATGCTCTGGACCCCCAAATGGATGCCTAATTTGATCACACCATACCCGCTCCCTAGACGAATATGTTGTCGGGTGGGTTCATGTCCCCACCCCTCCCTTGTCTTGTCGAACTTTGCATAGAGTTCTTAGTCAGCATGTCATCCCTGACTCGCTATAGACTTACCGTTCCCACACTGAAGCGCCTTGACAGTTGCCAAGACTTCCCGAGAATTGAGCTGACCACAACTTTTTGACAAACAGACTATCGAAACGAAAGACGAATATCAAGAAACTCAATTATATCATGAAAAAGGGTGCTCTCTTGATAGTTTCAAGCACGCTGATGTTGAATCCACAATTATTTTTCTTTTATCTCCTCATTTGGTGGAGGTATGGGCAAATGAAGACTTGTCCTTTTCGTTTCAAAGGTCCGTTTGCCAAAAAGTTGTCGTCAGCTCAATTCTCGGGAAGTCTTGGCAACTGTCAAGGCGCTTGAGTGTGGGAACGTCCCTGACCCCTGACGGTTCTGATAGATGGATCACTACTATAGACATCTCATACACAGGCGAGACATGCTTTAGCACTCTTTTATTTGAGGCTTGTCTTATCAACTTGCTGCAAAGATGCAAATCTCTTACATTCACTTTTACAATTACTGATCATTGCTTCCTTAAGTTTATCCCAAGGACTTGCTCAGGTCCATCATGGCTTTAAATCTACAGCCGCGGGAAGACGGACTGGTAAGCTTACAAGTGCCCAAAGCCAGCCAAGCGTGCATCAACTGTCGTAAGCAAAAGTACGAATGATACTTGCCCTCATCCACCATCACACAAGCCCGATTTCGAAGATATCACCATTCATACCATTCATCGTCTCTGAATTTTTAAGCTTTTTCCCTGCATCGGACCACTCACACAGCCACAATTCACTTACTGACTTCATTCAAAGGAGGAAATGCGACAAATCGGTCCCAACATGTGGCCTTTGTGCCAGGATGAACCGTCAATGCGACTACAGCGACTCACCATCCGCACCCACCGCAAGTGATGTAGCCGCATTACAAGCCCGTCTCGCCGAGCTCGAGAATCGACTCGCCTTAGCTGGCAAGGAAACCACCACCACGAGCTCATCATCCCCCAACAACAACATCTTCACCCCAGAGACCAACAACAACAATGTCAACACCCAGCAACACCAGATAACACCACCCGTCATCAACTCCCGCGGCCCCCTCTGGCTCCCAGCCGGCGGCTCCGCCAACCGCTTCCCCTCCGCCCTCCTCCTCGACACCGACGTCTTCAAATGGGCCCAACTCTCCATCCCCGCTCCACCCGTCGCCGTCCCGCGCGACGTCTACGACATCCTCAGCCGCGGCAACACCGTCCAAGACTGCGCAGCCGAATACTTCGACACCGTGCATCGCTGGTTCCCCTTCATCTCCAAGAAGCGCATGACGCTGGGGCATACTCTATGGGAAGCGGGGCCGGACTTGGCCATGTTGTTCTTGGGGATGAAGCTCATCGTTACGCTGCCGCGGGAGGGGATGGAAAGTGCGGATAACCCGCTGTATACGGCGGCTAAGGGGTTGTTGGCGTTGTTGGAGAGTGGAGGGTGTGTGAGTTTGTTGTGTTTGCAGGGGATGGTGTTGGTTGCGTTGTATGAATATGGGCAGGGGATATATCCGGCGGCGTGGATGAGTGTGGCGGGCTGTGCAAGGTATGCGGAGATGTGTGGGTTGCCGGGGTTTAAGGAGAGTTGGGCGGTTTTGGGGGCTGTGGTTAGTCTTTCTTTTTTTTCTTATCTTGTTTTGTTTGAGGGAATCTATCTGTTCTGTCGTGGAATTACACTTTACAAGTGTTTTGCTGACTTTTTATGATGGGGCGGGATAACACCTGCCCTTTTTGATTTAGGGATAGACGACTTGGACCGAGTCTGAGGAAAGGAGAAGGGTCTGGTGGGCTATTTACATCCTGGATAGGGTGATCTGTCTTGGAAACAAGAAGCGGTTTGTGATGCCAGAGCCGGAGAAGCACTACCTTTTGCCTGTGGACGATGACGCTTGGGCAAGTACTTTCATTTTCTATCTATTCTTCATCCAATGCCTAACTAACGCTTTTTATTTACCTGACACAGGACAACGGAGACCCAGGCCGCGCCCTCAGCGCAGGAATCACCACCCCTCTCGAGCAGCCACAAGGTCGATTCGCTCGCCTAGTCCAATCATCCATGCTCGTCAGCAGAACCATAACCCACATCCGAACCACCCTACGCAACCAGCAATTAGGAGGCGACACCGACCCCTTCGACATCAACGAAGTCGACGACCTCATCAACACCCTCACCTCCTTCAGCACTTTAATCCAACAAGAACTCCTCCCCAGCCTCGGCAGCTTAACACGCACCCAGTCCAACAACACATCAACATCATCAACCTCATCAACATCCCCACCCCCGCCGAACTGGCACTTCCTAACCTCCAACTCCGTTCCTCTCAACCCCCCTTACCACAACCCTTCCTCCCCCTCCCTCCTCACCTCCCCTTTCGATTTCTCTTCTTCCCTAATATCTCCCCAACCCCAACCTCTAAACCCCCTCTCCCTGCCCCCTCTAAGTCTTACCCACTCCGCCCTCTTCCTCCTCTACGACATCCACTGCTGTCCGGAAAACCTTCTCGACGGGTCCGGCGCCCGGGGATTCGAAAACTTACAACCCAAGACAGCCAACCAGCATGCCCTGCAGGTGCGGTCCGTGGCGGGCTTGCGCTCGCTTTCGAGTGGTGCCGTCCGCGAGCTGTGCATGGAGTTGTTGGATGCGGTCATGTTGCCGCAGGGTTTGGCGAAGGTTAGTCCGCTTTGTTTGGATGAGATGTATAACGGGTTGGCGACGTTGAGGTGGTTGTGGAAGGAGGGGGGTGATAATGGTGGGACTGGTGGGTCAGGGGAGGACGGATCCCCGGGGGATGGATGTACAGGAGGAGGTTTGGGAGTGATGCAGGCGGCGGAAGATGTGGGGAGGTGTTTGAGTAGATTGTCGAGTAGGTGGAGGTTGGCGGAGGAGTATTTGGGCTTGGTTGGGTTTCATGATGTGGGCGGGGTTTGTTAATTGCTAACTGCTACTGGCAGAGGAGAAGACGACTGAGAGCAGTGGACGGGAAGGGGAGGGGGCTGGGCTCAGGCTCATGCTCAGGCTCATGCTCGTGGTCAGGACCAGGACATTGTCTGCGTGTCTCTCGTGGCATTTAGGAACATGAAGTGTCTCCCATCATGTACAAATAGGTAATGGGCGGATGCTAAATGCGGAAATTGGCATGTATAGTTGCTGGGTCGTGGGCGGTTTGGTGAAGCGCATACCGGGAGTTTTGCTTCCACAGCCACAGTTACACGAGACCAACAGAGACGAGTCACTCAAGTGAGTATGGTACTGGGAGTAGGTACACACGGGAGGTGAAAGGTATGGTGTGCAGAGGTATGCTCCCAAGCTAAACTGACAGCGAACGAGAAAGTTAACAGACAAGGAAGACCCGAAGTTTGTTCAGCTATCCAGAACAACTCTACTCGACATATCACTCACTCTACTTATCGACCACCCCGGCATATACAAAGAGTGCATCATTTTCGCGATATATACCTGATTTATTACCCCTGTTCCCCTGAATACTCCCTGCAGCTACCCGCCGGACTTCTTCTTTTTCTCACTCATATTGGTCCGCCGTTGAAACCATCCCGCAGCTGGACATCTTCGGGACCCTTGGGGCCGGCTCTCCATCTTCAGCCGCACCACTGCAATGCTTAATCGGACGTGACGGGACTTACACACCCACACTCTCTTTGGGCGGCGAATCAACTGGCTGTCTGTCTAGCTGTTGGTGTACACAAAATTCCTTTTTCTCGAGATCTGCCTGTCCTCTTCTGGGTACTATTTTGTCTCGTAAGGCAGACTTTGGTTCATCCTCTTGTTCTGGCATGGATGTGCCCGGAAGCGGAAATGCCACATATATCGGAGCGGTAGACATGTATTATATCATGTTGGATACAGCAGGAAGGATATCGAGGAGCTGAGTAAGTAGGGTAGAGCCAGAAAAGGTGGAGGAGAGGCTTGGGCGGTGATTTGAAAAGGGGGTGATTACCTTCAAGTCTGGGTGTTTCTCTGTCTTGGGGTTTCGGATGCTTTTTTCTTCTTTTTTTCTTTTCTTTGGGGCATCAGGACGGTAGTTTTGTAGACTGTTGAGCATCCTCACCTCCATCGTCATCACTAGAAGCTATTGACGGGCATCATCTATCTCGTGTCTTTCTGGTAGTTCCGACTTCGCCATCATCAACAATACGAACAATACCAACAGGCTTAACAAGTCACCCCCGAAAGCCCACCCAACAACAACGATGGCATACTCCAAATACTCCTCCGACCGCGCTCCCGGACGAGAGCACATCCCTCTCTACCCCAAAGGTTTCATCGCCATCCGCATCGTCCAACTGATCATCGCCATTCTCATCGCCGGTCTCTCTGCTTACGGTGTTCACATCTTCGCCTTTGATGGGGACGTCTTTATCCTCGCAGTTGTACGTCTTTCCTCCTCAACTTGTTCATCCATCCCCATACCCATACCCACGTCTAAACCATCCAAAAGTCCTCCCCCTTTCCACCCTTATCTCAACTCACCACTAACCCATCCATCCCCCTCCCTTTCGTGGAATAAAAACAGGCCATTATAACCCTCCTATCATCAACCTACCACCTCGTCTGCCGCTTCAGCACCCCCGGCCCAAAAGCCTACAATTACTGGGCCGTCCTCGCCCTCGACATTTTTGTTTTGGTGCTATGGCTCGCCTCCTTCGCGCTGCTGGCTTCGGAGATCATTTGGTTCTTCACGCTTTGGACGTCTAGTTCAGAATCGATTCCGACTGTTGATCCTTATTATGACGATTTCACCCCTGAAGACTCATATGACTCTTATGACTATGGGGTTTTGGCTGCTGCTTTTGCTGGAGGGAAGAAGGCACTGAATGGGAGGAGTGCGATCAGTGGTCGTGGATATGAGGACGAGGTTGTGGCGACGTTGGTGGCGCCTATTTGTGTTATTGCTGCTGCTGCTTTGGGGGGGGTTGAGTTGTGAGTTTTCTCGTTGTATCCGTTCTTCACCTCCGTTGTTCTTCCTTTCCCATTCCTGACAAATCACACCACCACCCCGTTCGTCACAAACTCTTCCCGCTAACAGATAAAACCAAACACAGCATCCTCCACCTCATCTCCCTCATCATCCACTCCGTCTTCCTCCACCGCCACCGCGCCGCCGGGTTACACAGCAAACCCGTCAAATCCTCGCCATCCAGTGGCAGCGGCAACAGTAACACTGTCCTCTTTTCTTCTCCCGTCCCCGCTGTCACTCCCGCCGCCGCCGCCGCCGCCATCCCCAACGTCAACGAGAAACTCCCCTACCACCACCACCAAGAAATCGACTCAACACCGATTCCCGTCCCTCATCACAGCCAGAACCAGCAGTCGCCAGTCCCAAGCCCAGCGCCGGCTTACACCCCGGTATCTAGCAGTCCGCAACAGCAACCGTACGTCCCGCAACAGCCGTACCCCCAGCAACAGCACCAACAGCACCAACAGCAACAGAGACAGTACCAAGCGTATCAGCCACCTCAAGGGCAGGGATCGGTTCTTCACTCACCGATATCACCGCAGACCACGGGAGGAACAAATTATACGCAGTTTCAACAGCCGCAGGCTGTGTCGCCTGTTGTTCCGACGCCGCCTGTGCCGACGTATCGGGGGCAGGTGCCGGCGGAGTTGCAGTGAATAGCTCGTAGACGAGGATAGGCGATGACGGCGGATGTGGCTTTTCGGGGAAGGGAAAGGAAGGAAATTCGGGGGGAACGCTGTGTTTGGATTGGAATAAAGCGTTGATAGGGTTTGATGGCGGGGGTTTTTTCTTCACTTCAGGGGAAGTTCTCTTGTCTTTTTTTGGGTTGTGGGTGGTCGGCAAGTTGGATATATAACGACAGCGATAATAACGGGGATAAACTCTCAGTGTGCTTGCTGAGTAACTCATAGTTGGCGAATATTTCCGATGTTTAGTTGAAGAAATCGCGGAACTCATGGGTTGGCCTCAGAGACCTGATATATTGTAAATGAGAGTAAAATTCTTTTAGAACGGGTGGCTCTCATTTCAATACCTAGATGTGTAAAAGTGAAGTGTTCGCTAAATGTTCAATGGACATGACGCTCACATGCATCAAGCCTGGAGCTATCCAACTTCCACTTACTTGCCTTCTTCTCTCCAACCACCATCTCACAACTTCCTCGCTGCGTTTCCAATGCAAGCCTCAATAATATCCACCCATCTCTCAGCATTAATCCAATCCCTCGCATCAATGCTTTCCACAAGACCAGGGAACACCGCTATACAATCAAATCAGTCAGCATCATCATCATCATCACATATCATCAACATCATCACCCAAAAGGGAGCAAAGAGAAACATACCTCCAGAATACCCAGTCCACAACCCCGGCGCAAACACCACATGCTTGAACCACGGCCTCCCATCCAAACCCTCGCTAAACAAAAAGTTCCTCTCCATGTACTTGTACTTGGTATTGACCTTGCGGATCTGATACCACAGCTTGACCTTCTGGTGCCAGTGATACCACGGGATGTGCTCGCGCGCCTGGCTCGTGAGGTCCTCTGCCTCGGCGTCTAGGCGGGCTGCCTTTTCCGTCAGCTTGCCGACTGCGTCGTGGAGACGTTTGAGAGAGTCGCGGAAGGCTAGGGCGGCTTTGGAGGTTGAAGATGTAACAGCATTGGTGGTGGTGGTGTTGTAGTGGTTACCGCGCATCTCGGAAATGTCTTGCTCGGTGAGGGTAGAGATGTCAATCTCCTTGTCCTTGGGATGGAGCGCAGCGTCGAGCTTGTCCTCTACCTGGGTGACGTAGTTGTCCAGCGCTGTGGCGTAGCTCTCGGCGCTGAAGGCGAGGACAGGGAGGTCGACGAGCTCGGCGATGAGGAGGCCGAAGATCTGGGCCATGGTCCTGTGGTAGACGAAGCCGGGGTCGCCGTACTTCTTCATCCAGTAGAAGCTGTCGTAGTTGCTGTGGTAGTGGTACACCGGGGCGTCTTTGGCGGCGTTGAAACCGACGTCCAGGGAGGGAATACCGGCGAAGTCCTGGAAGGCGGTGAAGTCGCTGCCGCTTCCCATGGTGCTGATCTTCTTGTCCCAGTTCTTCTCGAGGATGGAGTGGCCCGGGTGGTCGGGGGACTCGACGGCTCCGGTGGCGGCGTAGATGATGCTGTTGAGGAGAGGAGCGGCAGAGGCTGAGAAGACCTTGCCCCGGACGCCGACGTCGACGTTCAGGTAGGCAACGTTGGCTTGGCTCAACCAAGGGAGATACTCCTCGACCCATTCGGTTGATCCGACAAGACCGTATTCTTCACCATCCCAGCTGGCAAAGACGATGGTACGCAAGGGCTTCCAGCCAAGACGCAAAGCTTCTCCGAAGGAGCGGATGACCTCATTGAGAACAGCAGATCCGCTATTCGGATCACCAGCACCACCCGCAATCCAAGCATCGCGGTGGTTGCCGACAACTATGCTACAAATCAGTACCGGGCTTATCAAAGGTACATCTCCCACCAAGTCCAGGGGAATATTTACTCACCAATCACCTCATCCGGAATGGTACCGTTAATGATACCAATAACGTTCCACAGAGGAGTAGTAACGTATTCCTGCTCGTTGTAGAGGTTCACGACAACGTCGTCCGGCGTCGGTCCGATGTTGTAATCCACACCCTTGTAGCCCAGACCAGTCCGGTAAGTCCACCACTTGTTGAAATCCGTAGCCTTGGGACCATGGCCATTGAGGGCCTTGAGAATAGGAAGAGCTTCGGCGTAGGAGATGGGAATCGAGGGAATGCTGGGAATAGCTCCATCAACCGGCCCACGAGGCACACCAGGTTTGGAAGGATAGCCCGGAGTTGTCCTGTCATTCAAGTTAGCCTTCTTATATGCAACTGCTGAAAACACAATGACTTACGGGTCGCCTGGAGCAACACTGAGGAACTGTGTACTTCCACGCTGGACACTGCTAGGTTGGCGAGCTGGTCCTTCGGGGTAAGGAGCGTAGCCGTTCTCTTCAGTCATTTCACCATCTTCACCGGGATCACTGTAAAGAATAACGCCGATCATTCCCAACTCCTGCGCCTTCTTGACCTTGAGCCCACGGAAGATGAGGCCATAACGAGCAATGGCGATCTTCCCGGCAAGGCTGACGTTGGCCTTGAGCAGGTCGTCAAAATCCTGGTACGTGCCACAGTTGACATACACCACGGGCGCGGTGATGTTGCCAGAGGCAGAATAACCGTGGAAGACGGGGACTCTGTCGGGCAAGCTTGTGCTCGGATCCTCGTCGAGGATGTCCTCTTCAAGAGTGGCTTCAAATGATACCTTCCAGTTGTCCTTGTCCTCCTTCTTCAGGAGTGCCAGTCGATGGTCGACTGGGTAGTTGATATAAACCTCATAGTCGACAATGTGTGACTGAACACCGAATTCTTCCCACTTTTCCTTTGTCCAGAGTGCCTAAAAGGCGGGTTAGAATATGACCTGAGACTCTCGAGAGGAAGACCAAGGTACCTGAGAGTAGTTCTTGCCAGCAAGATGGGGCCCGGCAGTGTAGTATCTTTGCCACTCCTCGGCCTTTTCGCTACTGGGAGTGTCAAGAAGTAGCTGGCGCAACTGCTCGTAGTCTATTTTGCTTCGACCATGACCACAGCCGGGCCAAGACGAAGGGCGGGGAAGAAAAGTGAAGGAGGCGACGAAGAACAGGGAGAACCAAAAAAGGATGGATGAGAGAGAAATGGTGAAGAATCGGCGGGAGACATGGTGAGAATACCGACGCCGAGGAGCAGCCTCCACATCCACCGTGGTGATGAGGGGGGTATGCTCGAAGGCGGTACCCATGTTGAAGCTTATTTAATCTAGACTTATGCTTGGATAGTCTGTTGATACACTGCAGATTGAGAGTCAGTAGCTGAACGAAAGGGTGTTGTGAATAGCGGCAGAAGAGTCCTTGACATCCAATCGGAAGTAAACCATGGGTTTCACGGACCGAGGGCGAGAGGCTTGAAGCTCATGTAGAGAAATTGGTCTCGTGAGAGGGTGTGATGGGAAGTGGACGATGGAATGTTTGAGCGATAGATAGAAGTAGATACGTAGTCGGCGGCTGAGGGTGGGAGGGTGTGAGGTCTCACTTACAACCACTTTATCGGATGTCCTTGGAGTGGAGATGATGGGATTTGGCCATGCCACGATGAATATGGATGGAGTTTACGATGATGAGTTGAAAAGAATGAAGTTGGGCTGATCAACGTCGTCACCAAGTCCCCTCACCTAACGTAACCTCACGATCCACTAACTGCAGTGACAAGTGATTCTCCAGGACTCTCCACCAATTGGGAGGTCTCATAAGCTAACAAAGTCGCCTGCAGCCACGGGAGCTGCCGCACTATCCACTTGCGGTATTGGTGCACCTATCAATCACTGAAGAGTTGCCCGAGTCAAAAGTCTTTCCATTGATTATCGCCGGCAACAATTCCTCGGACTTTATCATTGCAGGGCTGACCGGCACAATCTTGGCCCGGAATTAATATCGTAGCAGTGACCCCTCACGGTCTGGAGGTTCCCCGCACGATGTAAATACAGTACGAAATCATAGTGGCCGTTACACTGTAGCACAGTGACCGTTGAGCTTGCTGCTGACGGGGCAGTGGGGATTCCGCTTTGGATTTCAGTTCGTTTTGGCTGACGCCGATCCGCAACCGAAAAAAATTCACGATCCGAAAATTTGATATTTCCGCCGACCGAAGTTGAACTGTCCGTCTACCATCAGATCACTTTAAAGCCATCGAACTGTAAGATCCGAGGTCTGGTGGCCATGTTGACTTTGGCGCCCTTGTTGAAGGGCGGGAAAGGGTTCCGTAACCGCCTGCAGATTTGGGGATAACGTTGACTCATCTGCTAGATCCAAGTCACGATGCTGTACTGATAGAAGGGTGAAGGTTGTACTGCGTATAGGTAGGATGTAAGTAAGCCAGCGTTCCAGTGGCAGCCAATGACCGATGAGGGTGAACGTCGACCCTGTGATCCTCCTCGAGGGCCGATCACGGCATCGGACACACTAACACAGCAGACGTCGACCGGGCGCAGTCGGGGAACGGAAATGGGACGGGTTCCCCGAGGATTATGTGCGTGTGACTGCTGAGACAGAGAAAGGTGCGAGGAATATGCATGCACTACTTCACAACTTCAACCGAGTTTTGTGAGTTCTGACACATATTGACATGCTCAGTCCAGATTCCTCACCGGTCGACAGCCACAGTCACCACACCTCACCGTCGTGGTCGATATTCAACTCTCGACAGAAGCACGAGACCGGCTTGAACATGTTGATAAGACTGGAAGGAGGTTCAAACAATCCTTGCCCATTGTGTTCCATGGCCCGGAAGGAAGGGAAGGACAGTCACACATGAGTGGAATTCTCCAGCCAAAGATTCTTTGTACCTTGCAGTGAACGAACTCCAACAGGGACGAATTGGTGGGCACAATGGGATACGGTGAACTCCAGGCAGCTTTCTCAGTGGTTCGGCAAGGGTCCTTTAGCGGGTAATGGAACCTAGGAACCCCGTCCGTCCGTACCTCCCATTATTAGTCCCGCATAAAGCCGCATGTGAACAGCGATCCTCTTTTGACTAATACCGTACGTTTTTTCTTCTTCGGAGTCAAGGGTTCATGTTTCTGGTCTTTTATTTTATTTTCACTCTTCCTCGGCCGCTTTCCGCCCCTCCTTCGTCAGTCATCTCAAGGGCGTCAAGATCTGACAAGCCTTCAACCCATCCTGCCGACCTAGTCCAGTCATAGTCGCCACCTCGTATAAGATAGTAGACTCGGGCGCTTCTTCTTTGCTTGTGTTCTTTGCTTGAACGTTGCGTTTGTTTCCACTTCAAAATATAAGTTACGAGATATACAGAGTAGGCCATTGCCATCATGGTCACCAAAACCAAAGATGGCCCCAAACTGCCCAAGCAACAACTGGCAATTCTGGGTGAGTAATATCCTACTTATAGAAAATCCCGTTACAAACAGTCATATCTCACTTGAGTGAACGTTATGCTAACATAACATCAACCCACAGCCGTCGCCAGATTCGCCGAGCCACTGGCCGCAACATCCATCTACCCTTACCTCCCCGAGATGATCAAGAGTTTCGGGGTTCCGAAGAACGAGGTGGCGAAATGGGCCGGCTTCACAGGGTCCATCTTCTCAGTTGCTCAGAGCATGGCCGCCGTGCCTTGGGGGAGAGCGTCTGACCGGTTTGGCCGCAAGCCCATCATCCTCATCGGTCTCACGAGCACCATGATCTGCTTCATCGTATGGGGCTTGTCGACGAGTCTCACCATGGCTATTACCGTTCGGTTTATCATGGGAGCGGGTAACGGAAATGGTAAGAAAAAACCCGGGCATCCTCAAAAAAAAAAAAAAAAGCTAACATGAGGTGTGTACAGTCGGCATCCTCCGAACAATGGTAGCAGAAATGGTTCCCGAGAAAGAACTCCAGCCCAAAGCCTTCTCCCTCATGCCCCTCGTCTGGTCCATCGGCAGCGTCTTCGGCCCCGCCTTTGGCGGTTTCTTCGCCCAGCCCGCCGAGCAATACCCTTCCCTCTTCGGCAACATGGACTTCTTCAAGAAATACCCATTCGCGCTCCCCAACATCGTCGCCTGCGTCATCTTCTTCATGTCCCTCATGACCGGCCTCCTCTTCCTGCGCGAAACGCTCGAAAGTCGGCGCGGCCATCGAGACTGGGGTTTGGTGCTCGGCGAGAAACTCACTCGCCCCTTTAAACGCCGCTCCGGTCATCACCACCACCACCACCACCGAAACAACAACAGACGACACTCCTTCGTCGACGACGGCGCCTCCGCCCCCCTCCTCGCTCAATCCTCTCTCTCTCCCACCTCCATAATATCCTCAGTGGAAACCGACCCCCCCACCCTCCGCGAGATCTTCACCCCGCAAACCATAATCAACCTAACCTCCTACACCTTTTTGGCCTTACACTCGGTGGCCTTCGACCAAGTCCTCCCCGTCTTCCTCAACTACCCGCTCGTCTCCCCGCACGACCGCAACCCCTCCAACACCCACCTCCCCTTCAAATTCACCGGCGGCTTCGGTCTCAGCACCTCCAAAATCGGCACCATTTACACCGTGTACGGCATCGCGTGCGGCGTCGTCCAGTTCTTCCTGTTTCCCTGGTTCTGCGCCCGCTTCGGCGTTTTGCGCTGTTACCGCGCCGCCACCCTCCTTTTCCCCCTCGTTTATTTACTCACCCCCTACACAGCCTTGATCGAAGACACGCACACGCGCTACGCCGTCTTCCTCACTCTCATCTTGATAAAGGGAGTCGCAGTCATCATCGGTTTCCCTTGCACGACGATTTTGTTAACCAACTCGGCCTCATCGCTAAGAATCCTAGGAACGTTAAACGGGTTCGCGACGACTTTCTCGGGTTTGGGAAGGGCGATTGGTCCCGCGGTGGCGGGAGCGATATTTACTTGGGGAGTGACGGGAAGGGATTATATCGTTGCGCCTTGGTGGTTTTTGAGTCTGGTGGCGGCGGTCGGGGCAGTGCCGAGTTGGTGGATTGTGGAGGGGGAGGGGCCGACGAGGAGTTTGGAGACGGATTCTGAGGGGGAGGAGGAGGGTGAGGGGGAAGAAGAGGTGGATGAGGAGAGTACGTTGATATTGGACTCCCAGGGGTCGAGGGCCGGTTCGGCTATGGATAGGGGGTATGGGACGGTGAAGAGGGATGCGCAGGAGACGAGATGAGTGGTGATGCCTTGGATGTTCATGAGGAGTTGGATATCATGATTGGTGCGCAGAGGGACACGAGCCTGAAAAGTTTCTTGGTTATTGAGCATGGCATGGAAGAGGCGTTGCTTCTCATGATACCCGTGTGCTGTGGATGTTATTGGTCTTTTTCGTCATGTCAAATCACCTTGTGGCCTATGCAGGGGCAGGACGTGACATCTGTTGATCGAAAATGCCAGATACTCGTCGGCATGGAACACATGGTCACGGTCAATCGTAAGAACAGATGCGTCATTTGGGAAGTCACATCACTGGTGGGTGAAAATGTCACAAGTCACTTGGAACAGTTGTGAGAAACAAAAGAAATGTGTTAACGTTTTGGACCCTCATCCACCACCCCGAATACCTGATTGTATCGTGACTTCCAAGGCCTGCCCATAGCTGTTAAAGCACTCGGTTTAACAACCGCTACCAACACCACCACCACCATCATCATCGTCATCCATCTACCATCATTATCACCCAGCAGTGAAGACCTTGCTTCTCCCCAGTATCCTCTCCCGCAGCAACTCTGCTTGTATGATCCACACAGACTTCTGTCTGGTATAACAAAGATTCTCAACACAAAAAAAATACATCTTTCCGCCTTCACTATCATCAGCTCACTGACTTTGTCAAGTGACTGTCTCAGTCCTTCTCAACAGACTTCTGTCCTGGTATACAAAGACTCGCCACACATGAAATTCCTCCTCCACCCTGATGCTCATCAGTTCACTGACTTTGTCTAGTAACTGTGTCAATCCTTGTCAAGCTCCTCCTGAGCAATTTATGCTCGCTTGTCTGCCTTCTGAGCAATTTATGCTCCTGAGCGCTTTAGCGCTTTAGGCTCTTTTGTACATGAATCGAGTCCGAGCAGTTTATGCTCTTCTTTACATGAATCATCTTTACGCTCCTGAATACCTCATCCTCTCGAGCACTTTATGCTCCAAAGCAATTTATGCTCGTTCTTCTCCTGTCTTTCTTCTTCTCATCACCAACATACAAAAACCATGTAACATGATGCGCACACTATCTACTCCTCCACCCCCTCCCCCTGCCCCGATCCCCATTCCTGTGTGTAGAACAGTTAGTCCCTGCATGATCAAAAAAAGAAAAGGGAAAGTAAGATACGTACCTGGGCCCCAAGTTCCCCTTGGCCCCGTCCCTGACATGTAGAAGAGTTAGCAAGCTGCGGTAGACAAAAAGGGGAAAGTGAAGAAGAGAACGTACCTGTCGGGCCCTTGGCCCTCCACCTGCCCGGAGGCCAGGCTATCTACAACTACTCTAGACACAACCAAAAAAACACGCAAACAAAAACACAACCCACTTCACACTCCTCCTCCCACGGCGTGCATCCGGCCCACGGTCTTTGCCGCCTTTGGGACCACGCCTTCCCCTCTTCCAAACTACCCTCCACCACGGCATGAGTCCGGCCCACGGTCAAAGCCGCCACGGGGACCACGCCTTTAGTTTTTCTTTTTTTTCTTTTTTTGTTTTAGTTTTCTGTTGAAGCAGTCATGTGCTAATACTGCTCCGCTCCTCCTCCCTCACCACCATAAATAAGATCAACCACTACTTTTTGTCTCAACCATGAAATCCATCAAGAAGACTGACTCAACAGCGCCAGCGCGCTCTGAAAAGCCCTCACCACCTCCGTCAAATGCTTTCTCCTCTGCGCCAGATTCTGTTCAGAGAGGCGCACGTACCGCTCGCGCGTCTGCAGGCGCTTGACGGCGCGGTCCGTGTCGTGAGCCGATGAGGATGAGGCCCACACGTTGAAGTACTGGACCAGCTCCTGGAACTCTTCGAGGAGTTCTTGCTCTTGGGCGTCGGCGGCTGAGAGAGACTCGGTGTAGCGCGTGACGAAGTCGTCCCAGTCGAAGTTTGGTAGGGTTCCTGGGGTGCTGGGCGACGAGAGGGTGTGCGCGGCGAGGATGTTTCGAGGGGTTGGGTTGATGGAGGTTTTGATTGGGTTGAGGGTCTGATGGAGGCTGTTGTTATTGTTGCCTTGGTTGTTACTGTTTTGGTTGGTGATGGTAATCGGTTCGTTGGTGGGAGTGGTGGTGTTGTTGCGCGGCTCAGGAGTCTTGACCTGGGGGCGCTGTGAGTTGTTGTTATGGTTGTTGTTACTGCCTTGGAAAACTGTGGCAGGGAGGAAGGAGGAGGAGCGGTTTGCTTGATCCTGTTGGAATTGGGTGACTGTCGGCTCTGCGTTATTGCCGTGGTCACTGGGGCTGTTGGCCATGTCGTCGTCGCTGTCTGGGCCGCTTGAGTTGCCGCTGTTGCTGTCCATGATGGGGACGATGGGCATTGAGCGCACTGGCTGGAGAGGCGAGAGGAGCTGAGGCGACTGAGGCGACTGAGGTGACTGAGGCGACTGAGGTGACTGAGGCGACTGAGGTGACTGGATGTTTTGGTCAAAGGAGTCGTCCTCGCCAAAGTGAGAGCTCCGGTTGTGCTCGCTGCCGGCTGGAGAAGCGGTGCTTAGATCGGAATCAGGCGACTCTGGCCGTCCTTGCCGTATTTGAGGCGGGGTAGATGCCATGTTATTGGTTTGTGTTTTGTTTTCTGGACAAGGACGGAAGGCGCAGGTAAGCGTGTAGTGGAAGGCAGTTTATGCTCTTTCTTTTTGTTGTTTATGAGTTGTCGCAAGTGATGCCGCTTTCACTTTGCTGTTGATGTTTTTTTGTGTCTCTTTCTTCTTAGAGATCTGTTTGGTAGTTGTATGTTGACTAGGCCGATATCATGTATTTGCTGCCCGTTGAGTTGCCGATTGGATTGTGCTACACTGCGAATTTTGTGCAAGTGTGACGGATGCCGAAGATGTCGAGGTCTCGTCTCGTCGCTTCCTTGTGACCTTCCTGTGATCGCTTTGATGAGAGGACGTTACCTATGGTGAGACCGAGAGCCGCCGAATGGAGTCGCTATCACAGCGAGTGGAGGGCGCTGGAGGCTCTGAAAGAGGGGCCGTGGGCGATGGGCGGCAGTCGAGCTAGGCAGGAGCGGGAAGTGGGTCCTGTGCTGCGCGCCAATCCGGGGCAGGGCCAGGCCAGGGCGTGACACTAGACCAGATTCGGCGAGGACTGTGACTACCTGCGAAACATGATCCCGGTGACCGGTCCTCGGATGACGCCCAGGGGCGTGTGTGACTGTGTGTGCTGGAGACTTTGGTTTTGATCTTGTTCATCTCCTCTTGGACACCAACACCCCTTCTCTTTCTTTGGATGATTGATTGATCCATTATTCGTCTCGGCGTTCGTCTTGTTTCATCGCCGTTCGTCGGTATCGGTATCGGGCAGCAAACATCGGCCGTTTCGTCATGCCATCGTCGAGTCTGGATGAAGATCTGTTCCATCGATAACCACCAGCACAAGTTAGCCTCTCTGTTGGAACCTCTTCCTCTTCGCAATCAAACTCACCACTTTGGATCCCTCGACGAAGCCACCTTTCTTGTTCTTGTTCAAAATGATTTGTTGCAGTCTTTGCGACCGCTCCCATCACGGAAGGGTGCCTTTTCTCTGCGCTGTTGATGCGCGCAATCGGCTTTACCCACTCCGAGTGCAGAACGCACGAGCCCTGATCGAGAACGAAGAGTTAGAGCGCACCGTCGGAGAGGAGGAAGCATCCAAGAAGCCTTACCTGGACCGACTCAAGTCGGAAATGGCTGCCGCTAATGCTCGAACCGCCGAGATTATGGCGCAGTGTGAGCGCTTGAAGAGACAGACCGAGCAGACCAGGAAGGAGGTCGAGAAGAAGAAGGATGTTCTCGCCCGGAAGGAGTCTGATTTATCGGCCATGTCGACTGGTGTTGCAGCGAGACGGAACCGCCAGCTGGAGGAGACCCAGGAGTCGATCCGTCGTATTAGATTCAAATGGGCTGCTTGTGCTGACACCATGGTGTCGACGAGATCGTTTCTGTGCGAGGAGGCTGCCAGATTGTTTGGTCTTCGGCAGATTCGCAAGGGTTCTTCGAAACGGTATGAGCTCGGCGGTGTCGAGATTATCGACTTGCATGCTCTAAACAGTGAGTTAGCTCATTTTCTCCCAATATCCCCAAGTGTCAGCTTGACTTACTTTTTTTGGTTTTTCTGTAGGCCTCTCACCCGAGGTTATCAACACTTCCCTGGCCAACATCACTCATTTGGTGATGCTGACCTCCCATTATCTCGCCATTCGGCTTCCTTCACAAATCACACTTCCACACCAAGACTACCCACGACCGACAATTTTATGGCCGCAGGCGTCTTATCAATTAGAGGAGCCGCCGTTTCCGGCAGCCATGTTATCTGGTCATCACCAGCAGCCCGGGTTGGATGGACCGCCGATCGATGTTGAGAAAACCAGATCTTTCCCCCACCGTCCCCGTCCGCTCTGGATCGAAAAGCCGTTGCCCGCTCTAGTCAAGGAAGACCCTCAGACAGCCGGAATGTTTATTGAAGCCGTCTGTTTGCTGGCCCACAATATCGCCTGGGCCTGTTGCACGCAAGGGCTCCCATTTGGTTTAAATGATTCGCGGGATACCTACGATGAGCTGTGCAACATGGGCCACAATATGTATCGGTTGTTGATTGGCGATAATCTCCATCGGCGCTCGGTCGATCCGAACATGTTTCCAAGTCCAAGTCCCAGTGGTCAAGGTGGTAATGAGACAACACCGTCAGAAGAGAGTGCGACGGCGAACAACAACCCGAGATTGGTTATAGGTCGCTGGTCTCATGGGACTATCCACAACTTCCTCGAGAGTTTGGAGGGGAAGGAGTGGCTGGACAGGTGCAGACTCCCCAGTCCGCACCGGATGTCGGATCGGTTGAAGAAGAGGTTGATTAACGAGGCGCCGATGTTGGAGTGGGAGAAGATCGAGGGTGACGAGCTGGACGATGCTTTCGAACACGACGACGGTCGGCTTGGAATTTTGGTTAAGCGACGTCGTCGGAGAGAAGAGATTGGTGGTAGAGACGGACGGGTGAACGATGATTTCGGGGTTGAATCTGTTTCGACTGTTGTTGGTGCCGGTGGTTTGTCGGGAGCCATTGCCAGAGAAAGAAGTATTGGTTTGAGTGGTAATGCGGCTGGCTCAACCGACGCTGCTGCTGCTGCTGGAACGAGTACTGGTAGTGCCGGTACTAGAGGGACGAGTGGCTGGACGAAGCTCAAGAGTAGATAGATAGAGTTGTTTAGAGCTCTGTCGCAATGCCGGCATGGATGATTGAGAGTGGCCATGGATGAATAAGAGTGATTGTCCGTTACTCGTTCTGGTTCCTTTTAGGTTTGGTTTGGTTTGGTTGGTTTGTTTCAATGTTCTTTGCAGCAGCAAATTTTCGGCTTTCTGTCACAGACAACCAAGTCAGTACATAATCACAATAGACAATACATAGACAAGCAGAGCAGCACATACATTAACAGTCTGTTGAGTGTTGCTGATTTTACAATCTGGACAGGCCAACTCAACATAAAACAACACGAATCTGTAATGATCGAAGCCGTTAGCCATCTGCCCCGTGTATCAATGAGTTGATGCCATGAACTTAACTTTTTTCTTCGGTGTTTCGTCAAGCTTTGCTCTCGAATGCAATTTATGCATTCATCTTGATGGTCCAAGTTATCGTTGAGTTCGCTTATTGGACCATCTTTTCCCTGCTTTGGGGAGCCCCTTTTGGGGTATCGATCTCGACAGCTGGGTATTGCTCGATGTGAATGAGTGATTTGAGTGATTTGAGTGATTTGAGTAAGTGGTTTGGTTCAATCTGGTTTGGTTTTGTTTCATCGAGTCCTGTTATCATGGATGGTTAGCTTGTCTGATCTTTGAGTTGCACGAGAGGAAGATGGGAGAGAGAGAGAGAGAGAGAGAGAAAGCTTACCCGGTGCTATCGAATCGCAGGTGTTGATGGTCCAACTCAACATGTATGTTTTGGTTTTTGGTTTCTGGTTCTGCAAACACGAATGTCAGTCACTGTCATTGCCATATCGAAGATGCAGAGAGGAGGAAGGACTTACTGCAATCTATCGTTGAGTTCGCTTTGGACCATCTGGTATTTTTTTCCCTTTCTTTGGGGAGCCCCTTTTCGGGGTACCGATCTCAACTGCAGGTGCTTGGGGATTGCTCGACGTGAATGAGTGATATGAGTGATTTGAATTTGAGTAAGTGGTTCAATTTGGTTGTTTCATCGAGTCCTGTTATCACCGTTAGCATGTCTGATCATTGAGTCCAGGAAAAGATAATGAAACTTACCCGTAGCTGTCGAATCGCAGGCATTAATCCATGCCACAAAATTTGCTTTGCTTGCTGCTGGTCCGACATTGTGTGTTTTGGTTTTTTGACCAGGCATGCAAAGAGGTGAATCGTCATGTCTCGACATTGTGAATTGAGTTTGAAGATTGTTCACGGTTTTTCAAGTTGCGAGTCGAGACATGGTTGATTCGGGGGTTTTTGTTCTGACTGCTTGCTCCTTTGGTTTGAATGGAACTTTGAAAGTTGGTTTGGTTGTCTGCAGTCCTGAACATGTCACAAGTTGCTGATATCCCGAGTCTGAAGTTTGAGGACGTCGTTGTTGATGTCTCGACAAGCTGATGATTTTTGATGCGAGTCTCGACATGTTGTTTTGGTTTTTCGTTCGGTTCTGCTGTCACTGCTTTTTTTTTTTTTTTTTTTGAAGATTTGAAGTTTGAAGTTTGAAGATTTGGTTGTTGCAGAGCCGAACGGTGTCACAAGTTGCTGAACATCCATGATTTGATTGAGGACGTTCTTGTTGATGTCTCGACAAGGTGATGATTGTTCCGAGTCTTGACATGATGTTGGTTGTCAGCTGCTTCCTTTTTGAGTGAAGAAAATGAAGAAGCGGTGCTGAACTGGTCACAAGTTGTTTTTTGAGTTCGTCAGCTGCTGTGAGAGAGAGATGTAGCGCTGCTGAACTGGTCACAATGGTTGAACATCCGAGTGAGAGAGAAGATGCTCGAATGAAATGCTGTTTTTTTGTGTCGTGCCTGTGTGAAGAAGAAGATTGGCGGCACTGGTCATATGTTGTTAACGTGCTTGAGTGATTGCACATTGATGGTCGCTGTGATCTAGTCGAGACCGAAATGAGTGATAAGATGCTGGTCTTCGACAGGATCGCTCGTCGGTATGCCTTGGTGAGAAAGAAAGAAGTCAGCAAACTGACGTGGTCATAAGTGGACGATATCCGAAAGATGTACTTGTACAGTTGTAGTCAGGTGATGGTCGTACTCGTACTCGTACATTTTTTGGTGATTGTTTTCCCTTTTCAAGTTTTTTTGTGAAGTCTGGTGTTTTTCTGGTTGAATGAAGCCAAGAAAGAAGTTGGTTTGTTGTCATGTAAGAATGCTGTCAGTCTCATATCATTGCTGCTGTTTCGCCTTTCGAAAAGTAAGATAATGCTGCAATGAATCCGGAAGATGTGGATAAGTCTGGTAAGAAGATGATGCTGACAGTAATCGTGACAATGAATCGCAAGCAGACGTGCCTAGGTCTGATGCTGATAAAGAATGATCTGAAAACGTCGAGAGAATGACTCGTACAGTAAAAGAACAGATAATCTGACAGAACGTTGTCGTTTCGCCTTGCGAATGTGAGCGTGACTGACTCGGTAGCGACAATGTTGAGGGTCGTGTTGCTGGTAGGACAGAAGGCAAGTGTGACTAGCTTGCCAACATGTTGTCGATCCGCAAACACGTAATGTCTCCGACTATAGGCGCCGGGAGATCGATGAGAGAATGCTTCCGATTATAGGCACCGGAGCTGATATCAGGTCGTCTTATTTCCAAGTGTAACTCCTTGGTTGCAACATATCGAGAGACAGCAAAACTGACTCCCTGTTTCTGGCCAACCCACCCACCCTTACCAGAAACCTGATATAGAAAGATTCACAGCACCTGTACCCGACTGCGGCTGTCGGTGGCGACTGTGCGAGAGAACTCTGTAGTCGACTGTACTCAGTGTGACCGCTGATGACGAACATACAAGAGTGAGAAATGGGTAGTATGATCGGTGATCATGAGAGGACAGGAATGACCGGCCTGTCACATTATCATTTCACACACAACCAAACTCCCTGGTTCTGGCCAACCCACCCACCCATGCCTAGAACCTCTTATTTAAAGTCGAGCCCGCTGGTAAGAGAAGTGTGTGTCATCGATGTAGAAGATTGTCGGAAAAGGGAAGAAAAAGGTGACAGTTCTGATGGAAAGGCGAAAAAAAGATCCCGATAGACAACACACTCTCAAACCGAACGAACAAGACTGACAACAACCGAACAAAGATCAAGGAATTCTAACAAGCTGGGTGTCTTGCTTCGCGCCCCGCAAAACGACCCAGGTTCTCTGGCTCCTACCCATACCCGCCTCATGCTCGAGAGAACAACGACAAGCTGGACTTATGTACGATCTTGAGTGGCGCCCGCCCCGGGACCACCCGTGCCGTTTATGCCATATGCTTATGTGTCGCCTTGTGATCCTTGTCTTAATTGTCGGTGTTGTTTTGTGAAAGAAGGTTGCGACACCTTCTTGGTGCTGCGAGCTTTCTGGTCCGAGTGACCTCGACATCAGCCCTCGGAGTGTACTCCACCTGCTCCTGCCGCCTCGGATCTCGGTCCTCCGAGCCATCGGCAATCTGCTGGGGAGCGTCGTCCTCGTCCTCGCTGGCCATGCCCAACAGCTCCAGTTCAAGCTCAGTGAGTGGCCTCTCGGCATCTTGCTCCTCGCCAGGCAAGTCGCTGACAACCGGAGGAGTAATCTCACCGACAGGACCCTCGTCCGCGACCGAGGCCACGTTCAAGGGCGCTGCCGGGGGAACCGAAGGAGTGGCCGTTGCCGGCGCCGTCGCTCTACTCGCCCGCGACCTGGGCACGGCAAACCTGCGCTGGCTGACCGGAACCACGACCTCACGGTCAGAGCTCTCGATCGAGCCGTCGGAGTCCTCGTCTTCCTCATCCGCGCCGTAGATGTACACATGCTCGACTGGCCGAAGTACGTCTACCTGCAGATTCGCCGAGGCAACGTCCGCCTGGGTGAGCCTCTGACCATCCAGGAAGGCCTGGTCCATCCTCGCCATCTCTCTCTCGGTCCATTCCGCTTCATTCCTTCGGAACTCCGGGTCGTCCGGGGTGTCAGGGACGTGCACAACAAAGTCTTCTCCAATGTCAGGGGAGGACGGCCTCGGGTTGAAGACCGGCGCACCACGGGGAAGGACTGGCTGGAATGTCGGGGCCGAGGTGAAGACCGGCGCACTGCGGGGAAGGATTGGCTGGAATGTTGGGGCCGAGGTGAAGACCGGCGCACCGACAGGGAGGATTGGCTGGAACGTCGCATTGGTGAAGTCCAGCCCAGCAGGGCGAGGAGGAGTAGGCGAACGGTTGGGGGGAGTTGGGGCCGAGAAGACCGGAGGAGGGCTCCCAAACAGCGAATGGTCCCACGACCTATCGGACCTAACAGAAGTAGGCGTGCCCGGTGGTGATAAAACGAGAGAGCCGTTGCTTGCTCCATCGTCAACGTCAGGAGCGAACGATGGCGATACCACCTCCGGCGTCTGATTGACTTCGGCCGGCTCGGGAAGATCGGGATACTCTGACTGCTGCGTGGCCTCTTCCGCATCTTGTTCGAGGAGCGCCTGGAGCTTGGCAAACTCCTCAAGATTGCAAGCCTCAACGCCTGGGAACTCGTCGGTAGCCGGGCCTGGCTGAGAAACCGCCTGTTCAAGTTGCTGTTGAGGGACAACCTGTTCAGTTGGCTGCTCAACCGCCGGCGCGATACCTTGAGTCGGCATGTCGATGGGCCCAAAGAGTCGTGGATCGACCAAGTCGTTGCTGAACTCGGTAATGTCGGAAACCACCGGCTTCTGCTCGGGGGCCACAGGAGAAACATGAACCACGTTGTCAACAGCCTGGTGAGCTAGAGTACCCAACCCCATGTCGGACTCTGTGGTGACGGAAACCGGACTAGGCTGGGGAGCCATTGGCGAAACCACATTTTTGAGCGTGTCGAGATCTGGATACACCGACTCCTCCATGTCGAAGTCAATCGTGTCGGAAACCGGGACGCGATCGGAAGTGGCTGGGGTCGGCTGCTGAACAAAGTTCCAGGGTTGCTGCTGTTGGCCGGGGGAAAACGCAAGGGGAGCCGGATAATCGAAGTGACCCTCCATAGTGGTATCAGCCTGGAAGGAATCGACAGGCGATGTCATTTCGACCATGGGACGTTCAAAAGGCGTCAAGACCATGTCGGGCTGGGGAGCATCAGTCATGTCGTGCTCAACATTCTGAGGCTGGACCAGGGAGGGCATCGTAGAGGTAAAGTCGAAGTTGAAATTGGTTGGCTGACCATTAAACACCGAGGAAAATTGCCAGCTTGGCTGCTGAAAGCCGAACGAGACAAGAGGAACAACTTGTCCGCCAAAAACGACAGTCTCAGGAGATTGCTGTGGGGGAAACAACTCCATGTCCGACGAGACTACGGGCGACTCTTCGTGCATCCAAACTTGGTGACTGTCATCGCCATCTTGCATATGCTGATCATCGGACAGACCAGCGTGAACCGTAGTTGCAACTTCGTTAATGTCCGTCATGGACAGATCCCCGTCGGAAGACAGGGCAACTCCGTTGAACTCAGGTCCTGCAAGAGACAAGACAGACGAATCCTCTTCCATTTCCACATCATCGTCTGAAGGACGAGCTGACACCGAATGAACGACAGAAGGAAGGGGGTCATCAGCGGGTGATGCGAGGGTTGTAAGAACGGGAACCTGGAGAGGCGACTGAACGCCATTTCCAACAGTCTTCTGTTCGTCCACAGATGCGGATGCATCAACAGAAGGGGAAATTCGCCAGTCCTCAAAACGAAGTCTGAGAACCTCGATCTCCTGCTCGGACACGGTGTCCCGCTCGCCCAGCTGCAGTTGGGGTACCACAGAGGACGACGGAACAGAAGGGGCCGTGACAATCTCCCGAATAGGCTTCTCCGTTAGGATAGGCTCGGGAGCGAGCTTGTCGGGCATGCTGGAAATGCCATTATCGACCACGACCTGAGCCTCTGCCGGGATCTCGGGAACCAAGACCGGGGAGGGAGGTGTGATGACAATCTCTGGGGGGGTGAGCTTCACCGCGAGGATCGGCTCCGGAGCGACAGTTGGTTCCGTGGTGACAACCGGTTCAGAAATGTGTGTTTTTGCCACAACGGGCTTCGACAGCGGCAGCTTCTTCTGCACACGCTTCTAGCAGGCACTCGCTACAGGCGCCGGCTAAGAAGCAGGAGCAGTTGTCGGCACAGGCTTGGGAGTCGGCACAGGGCGGGGAGGAAACGAAGACGAAGGCGGAACAACAAGCGGCTCGGGCTTGGAGATGAAGGTCCAACGCTGCTTGAAAGGCCGATGCTTTGAGTACCAGCCGGAGTTCTTGACCTTCGCGTCGGCATCGAGTCTCCCTTCCTTGTACGGACCGCTCCACAAGGACTGCTCCTGCGGCTTGTCGGTCTCGGGCAGTTGTGACTGGTCAGGCGCCGTCGTATTTGGCGCGGCCTCTTCAACGGTCCTCGGGGATCTTCCTTCCAGCAGAATCTCCTCGAGTTGCTCGACAGTCAGTCCACTTTCGCGCGCGGTCTTCTCCTTCAGCAGTTCCAGATGCTTGACCCGATCTGAAATGGGCAGACGAGGAGGGGCAGAACCGGCGTGGACGACGTCGAAAGCAGAGGCGGCGTTGGTCGACTCGGCGACTTGGGGGTGCACAGCTTGTTCCTGGATAACAGAGCTGGCGATGGGGCGGGCTGTGTCTTCTCTGGTGCTACGGTTCACGAGATGACCAACATCAAGATTCTCAGGGCCTTGCCAGCCCTCGCGCTGGCAGAGCAGGTACTGAGGAACATCTTGATGTTCCACGGTCGTCTCGGACTGGTCAACAGTCTGGTTGTCGATGGCGATGGGAGGTGATGGGGTGGGCGGAGGAACATATCGAGGAACGAGATAATAGAACTCGTTCAAGGCAATGTATACCTTTCCGGTGCGTCGTTGGCGAAGACGAACGGCTTGAGAGGACCGGAGAACCCATTGCGAAAACACCTTCCAAGCAGAAACTCCCTTGGAGGCGACAGACCAGACCATTTCGGCGTAGCGACCGATTTTCCGACAGGCCTTGCGAGTGTTGCGATGCTCCAAGCCAATAATAATCAACTTGGAGCCCTTCAACGTAAGAACCAGGCCAGAGAAAACCGAGAGGAGAAAGACGAGATCAACGGATGCAAGGAACTTGTTAAGGAACCAAGCAAACGCCTGGAGAAGCGACAGAGGCGAGGCCAATGTCTCGACTATGTGAGAGAGCATTAGTATCACTGCTTGCCTGTCCTTGCTATACTGGAGAACATAAACTTACGAAAAGCGCTATAGATAGCGCAACTCAGGGGGAACGCTGCGAATAGCAACGCCCCGGTGAGGAGGCAGCTAAAGATGTCCATATCTGGCATCTTGCTGGCACACTCAAAGCGAGGGTGCGATTGTTGTTGCTGTTGCGGTTGTTGTTGTTGCTGCTGATGCTGCTGTTACAAAGGCTTGCTTGAACGATCGCGAGAGCTGTATCGACGTTTAAAAAACGGATGGTGCTTGAGAGAAGAAAAGAGGAAGAGGAGGAAGAGGGAGGGAGAGAGAGAGGTTTTAAAAGTACCCCTCCACAGTATTCTGCGGCCGCAGCATTCACTCAAATCGTAGTTGGAAGGTGCGCCAACCTGGGCGATATGCTTGAGGGAGGCCGACTTGGGATGAAATCGGTCCCAGGGCGTCCTCTGGTTGGTCAACCGGTATGGTTGCTCCGTAGTTACTATGGCAAGTGACCGACGACCTTGAAGATAACGGCAGACCGGTCGAGTGAATGACTCCCGGAAAGTACTTGGCAGGTGTTGACACTCCCAAAATCGTCACCTGGGCCCGCCGTCCGAACTTTGAGGCCCGCCTCACTTTTGGGCTGGCACTTCTAGACCGCGGGGCAAAAATCCAGGTTGGCAGGACCTTCACCTCGGCCTCACCTTCACTTCCGCTTGATCAGGTTGACTGTTCAGCGAAGTGGCTGCCTGTCCGTGTACCAAGGCTTCTGGCCAGCGAGTTCATCGAGTGAAGTGGAATACCAGAGGTACAGGTTCAGGTTAGCTATCTATGTCGTAGAATCCAGACAGCCACTCTTGCTTCACTCATGCTCCAACCTGTGCTTCCGTATATTGGTCCTGATCCCAGTGTTCTGCTACCATTCTCTGAACAGTGATCTTGCTCTCTGCATAGGAAGGTATGCTTCAAGATAGCTGTGCTGTCGTCAAGACCCGCCACGACTAGGCAGCCCCTCCAGCGTAATATCTGTTTGACGTAACCGTGTACTGAATCTTTCAACGATCCAGTTCATCGCGGGGTCGTCTTCACCTCGAGGCTCTGGCCAGTGCGTATCTATTTGGTGGCAGACTGTGGTCACTTATCCTCCTATCAAGCCGTGTCGTTTCGGCGAGGACCTTGATGGTCGCTCCGCCTCACTTTTGGCTCGTCGGGTCGCTGCTTGTAGTCATATGCAGGTGCTGTACTTTGGATACCTTATCGGTGGGTGATGCAATTCTACATTTCCTGCTATCGAGGGTAAAGATAACGAACTGCAAAGTGAGATTTGGGTGAGGCCAAGCTCAGAATTACGAAGTTGGGTGATGGGGAATGTCGGGACTGTTGAAGTGTGCCTTGAGAACTTCGTTTCGAGAAAGACAGTGGGCGAGTGAGCATTTTTTCATGTGTAAATGGTTGGGTATCTGTTGATATATCTAGTGTAAGTGGCTATCTTGGATGTTGAAAGTGACAAAATGGTGAGGGGCATCGTCGCTGAACGCAAAAAAGCGCAGCCTTTGAAGCTGCTCACCAATCTTTATACGGGGATGAAAGAGTGCAAGTAGAGCAAAGCATTGGGACCAAGATCATCTTTATGGATCACGACGCATAGGAAGCACGCAGGCTGGAAAACGAGCCCATATAGGATCTTGTGCAGATTTTCTAGTCAAGTGTATATCGGTGGCATTGTGTGTAGAGGTAGCTACGCGCGCAAACAGTATTTCCTTGGGCAATCAGGAGTACATTAAAATGCCTTTGGTTGCGACAGCTTTGCGTGTGATTCATGACAAGAAGTGGTTCTTCTTCCTTCGTACATCAAAGATTCATTTTGCAAACAAGGGGCTGCCATCAATCGTAATGATACATCATAACAGTTAGAAATGCGTTGACTTTTATTGCCTGCCACTGCGCGGACACTCCCACGTCATCACCCTGAAATTTTCGATGATAATAGGAAAGATGGTCGACTACCCATCGCATACAGCAAGAATTTGTAGGAGAATCGATGTTTTTGGCAAGTACAATGCGTTGGGGTGGTATTTGCATCGAATAGTGATGATGTGAATTTGCGACACTTGGGGTCCTTTTCCGACACTCCCTTGACACTCCCACTCCACCGTTTGGCTTTTCGCATTTGCTATGAACGAAACATCAAAGCCCACTTGGAAATGACATTTCACTCTCATGTCAATCCATTGCATCCATAATCCTCCCTTTACGTCGTCTTTATTGAGTGTTTTGTGCGATGACGTGGTGGAGATGGAGTCCTATCTTGGCGTTGTCGCTGCTATCATGACACTCAAAATCAACGACCCCAAGTCAGAGCGGTAAATGCAAAAATAAGTCGGTTGCCAGGAGCCAGATGGACATGAAAGAGGTTTCTTGCAAAAACTTTGAGCTTTTGCATGGTTGTTGATTTTGTTGCTGATAGGGGTTCAATTGATGGTCTGGCATCTGCTAGCCGCCTACCATGTGATACGTTGGTTCCTGCCTTTTTTTTCTCCATCAAATTTACACCCTCTTGGACTCGACTCCAAATGCCAAACTACTTGTAAACACTCACCACCTCCATTACAGTTCTTAAACATCCATTCTATCCTCAGAAAGACTTTTCGATGTCGTGGGGTTATGTGGGCGACCCATCGAGAAGTGTTTTGTGCATCTGCAGATTTTGGCATGGAATATGTATCGCCGACTACGTCGTGCAACTTGTACAAGACATGCATGATTGGATATACGGGAGTATCAAAAACCAAAACTGGTTTGTCATGATGTCTGTCATGGTCTGCGCATGTCTGTACGGGGTCGATTGTCATAAGTGGAAGCTGCGTCGAAGCGACTGCGTGCAAACTCCGTGATCATCAATTTGCCCATGCCGTGTTTTCAAGCTACTTGATGAAGTTTAGAAACCCATTTTTAGGACTTTTCATCAGTTATCGTGATCATGCATCGCCGTATAAACCATCAAGCTAGATAAACCAATCGGATGAGTCAGAACATGGTAGTCAGTCATATCAAGTGTTGTCAGGACGGATTTTGCATGGCACTGCTATATCCCACACATCGTGGTTCATCTCCTTTGCGGATTTACCTGGCTACCTGCGTACATCAGATCAGGTTCGATCCTAAAAGACCTGTATGTTATCCTTCGTCTCTCTCATATCGATGCCAGCCCTTTGAACAGATGTTGCCAGTCAGGTATTGCTCGAGAATCCATGGGTATTTTGCACCCGCATTTCTGTTGCTCACAATTCGTTTTGGTCAATCGTGTAAAGAAATATCTACACCCACTGGAAACCCGCTGTCCGCACAATGATGCGGAATTGGACCACAGGCTTTTGCCATCAAACAATAGAGCAGTGCTTCAAGATCCTCATCTACCATGCATTATCATCGCCTTGACAGCTCGTAGCTGAGATTGCTTAGTTGTATGCATATTGCACATGTCCACCCTGGAGTAGTTGCTGCACAGTTGCACCAGCTTATACACAAGAGAAATAACAAGATAACCATAAATTAACAAACACCATGTGTAAAAAGAATACACCTCATGATAGTAGGTGCTAAGCCGAAAGCCAGCAGCGAACCAAAAAGGAAGAATGACCCCCATGACACACCTGAGAGATCCCTAGTCCGAACAAGTCCACAAGGTAGGTAGAGAGCGCAAAGAACGCCTCACTCTTCAGAAGATAACACCAAAGAAACCAACCATCGTCCACCAAAAAACATCACATTTGACAATCACAAAGCGAAAGCCCTCGGCGCCATTGCGCATTTCCAGAGACAGACAGCAAAGACACGATCAACCAAGCGAGGACGATCAGTAGCCAGTAAACCATATACTCTAGCCTAGCCAAGGGTATCTATCGTCCATACCAATACTGATACTCAAAAGCCATACAGCATCCAGTCCATCATCCGTACAAGTCCCCATCCATCCATCCGTCCATCCATCCAATTTCAGACATCTGATTGAGACGAGACGGTGCAACGTCCATTTCTCGTACTTAGTGAACATTGCGCAACCATTCAGCCCCCATCAACCCCTGCTCCACCATCCACCCGAGCCACCCAAACCCCCCAAATCCAAATTCCCAATGCCCAAAAAGTTTGGTTTGTTTACTTCAGCGCCACCCCCTGGCCCTGCAGGCCCTTTGTCGTATTCGCACTCCCATTCGCCTGTTGTGTCTGCGCATGCCCCACCTTGGCACCCTTCGCCAGCAGCCGCTTGTACAACTCCAACACGACCTCACTCCATTCCTGTGACTGCTTCTTTTTATTGTCGCTGGCTTGCTGTTGTTCGACCTTTCCAAGCACTTGCTTCCCGAGCTTATTCTTAAGAAAGTCATTCAGCTTGGACTTGGTGAACTGCTCGCCGTAGATGACCTTGGCGTCTGGTGTGACTTTTACTTCGAAGGAGTCGCTGTTCTTGGTGGTGGAGATTTTATCCAGGGCTAGACAAAATTCGACGCGGGTTTGCAGAGGTGCCAAAAGCAGCGAGGAGCGGACCTCGAGGGTTGTGTCGGATGTTCGAGTAACTTTGGTGGGAAAGGTTAGATTGAGAAGCCGGATTTGCTCGGCTGCCGTGTTGGCTTTGTCCCATGCGTCGCTGACGATGGTGAGTAAGCGGTTGACGGAAAGAGAGGAATGGGATAGGCCTTGGAGATGACTGCTGATGCATTCGATGAAGAATTTCCTTTCTGGAGTCAAGGGAATGACGTTGCGTTCGCGCTTGTTTGCGATGTATCGCATTTCGATGGCGGGTCTCTGCTTGTTGTGTGCCTTGAAGGAGGCCAAGTCGAAGGCGAGCTCGATTTCTCGCTTGTAAGTCGTGAACATCACCGAGCCTTCGATTTTGTTGATGGCCCAGCCGGATTTCTTCTCCAGTTCGTCGACGCGAGCTGCTGATATGTCAGTATTTGCTGAAACGGTCCCTCGACCTTCACAATGATGCAAGCACGTACCTTTAAGTGAGCTGATCTCCATCGAGCTCCACCCTCTGCACTCCTCCCGAATCTTGTCGGCCGCCGTGATCTCGTCCAAGCACTGCTGCTTCTGATCAGCCAAGGACTGGACGCCCGTCTGATATTCCTCAACCTGTTGGCGAAGCTCCTCAATCTTCTTGCTCTTCTCAGCAATGGCCTTGTCAAGCTCTGTAAGCTCCGCGCGGGCAGCCTCGAGGTCCTCAGGGTCGCAGTCCTCAAGCTCCTTTTCGACAGCCTCAAGATTTTCCAACTCACGCTCAAGGGCTCCGTACCGCTTGGTCAGACCGGAAAGGACTGATGACAAGAGCTCCTGCTGCTTCCTTAGAAGCTCGTCGTCCTTGTCCATCCCCTCTGAGATCTTGAAGAGCCCCTCTTTCAATCCTTCTTGTAGCTTCATGCGCCATTCGTACCACATCGCCTTGCTCAGTAGCCGCGCGTGGCTCTTGACGTTCTTGAACTGGTTATCCATGAGGAGCTTGAGCTCCGGAGTGGCCGAGATGTACTCCTTAAACAACGGCGGGTTTTCCACAAAGGTCTCGGTCTCGATATCGCGCACAATGCGGCGTCCCTCTGAGATGTACTTCTTCAGTTCACGACAGGACTGCTTGATGGTTAGCAATGGACATGATATTGTGTTTTGTGAGGTTGACCTACATGCTGGTACAATTCTAGCATAGGCACCGTACAGGCACCGGCCACCACGCAACTCTCAAAGGTGATATCCTTATCCTCCGCAGATGTGCTGTCTCGAGAGGCCCCTGGGGCAATAGTGTGTCTTCGTTTAGTCGTAGTGAGCTCCATAAACCGAATACTCGTCATGTTGAGGAAGTCCTGCAGATGAATGCGCTCTCCGTCGTCATCTTGTTGCACCGCATTCTCATCAATGGGGCCGGTGTGGTCGAAATCCATGGTAATTGTAGGCTGGTCATTCGCGACATCCTTAAAACGACCCTGATTTTTGGGCGTCATTGCTTTTGTGGGCGAAGAGGGTATAGTTGGTGTGACAGTATTGTTGTTCGTTTGGTCAATAGACTCAGAGACGGTCTCCCTGCCCGTTGTGGTCTCGGCCTTAGACGGAGGCGCCTGCAGCCTGATGTTCTTGACTGGACTTCCTTGATGTCCCTTCAACCGTTTTACTCCATCCTTTTCTGGGGTATCTTCATCAATATCCTGGTCCAACTCCACGGGCCGCTTCCCCAAAAGGCCTCTTGCACTTCCAACGGCCAAGCTCTTTCGACCACGCAAAGGCTTTTTCTTGGGCGTGAGCCCCTGAATCATCTCCATCAAATTGACAGTGGCATCTCGCTCCCCATCCGCTTCTCGCTCCAAGATCCGGCGACTGTTCTCTCTTTCTTCCTCCTCTCGCCTCTCTTTGTCAAGCTCAGCTTCCATTACTCGAGGGTCCGCAAAGGCCACGGCTCGACGCTGGCCATCGGGTTGACTGGGAACAAAGTCGGGAGCTGTCTCTCCGATGGAATCTCGGCGATCGATAATTTCTGCAACTTTAGGCGAGCCCAATCCCGGTCGATCAGCGCCAACTCCAGAAAGGCGGCGGTTCTGTGGTGTCAACACAATGCGTGGAGTGTTAAGCCCAGTAGAGGGATCCTGGCGAAAGAGCTTCGATTTTAGGCTGAGCGGTGTGGTTTTCACCATGGGCGAAGCCGTGCGTATAGGTGAACTTGATCGGCTCCCAATCATTCTAGGTGCAGGTTTTGAAACCGGAGTACCCAGCTGTGTCTCTGGAACATTCCCTGGCGAGGGCTGTCTTGCAAGAGGGCGCCTGTCCGGAGAGCTTCGAGTAGGCAGGATCCTGGTAGGCGAGCTCCTCAATGGCGAACTCTGTAATGGCGAGCTTGGTGCGTCGTTAGACAGATTCCCCGCTGCCGCTGAACTCGCAGGCGGTAAACTTTGGCGGAGACCGTTGTTCTGAAAAGCAGCAAGACCAGGGCTTCCATTCTCGTCTACAACCGCCGATCTCCGCCGCTTAGGAGAAGTTCGAATCACAGCCGTAGATGTTAGAGGACGGATATTCTCTTTAGCTGTGGACCCTGTGATCGTTTGGCTTGTCGAGCCCTGCTGAGGAGGTAGGGTTGGTTTGATGATGCCACCCACTGCCGTTGTGATGCCCATCGCTTGGGTGTCGTTTGCCTCATTTACGGGCCTGTCACGTAGAATTTGACCAACACTGACGGTCATATCCATCATCGAGGCGTCGTCTTCTTCGTCATTCGTCCCGGTGTTTGTCGTCGGCTGAGGTTGCTGAGGAGCGTTGCCGAACGAGGTCCCGCCCAACACCGCACCGATTGCCGTAGTTATTTCCATCGACATGTCCTCATTAGCATCCGTATCGAACTGGCTCGCATCCGAAAACCTGCTGCGTCGGATTCCTCCCACTGCCGTTGTAAGCTCCATGGTTCTGTCACCAAGCGGCGTTGGATCCTCGAGCGATCTGGAACCCGGTCTAGCGGTATGTTCTTGAACGTTTGATGGTATTGGTTGTGCGATTATTCCGCCTATTGCCCTGGTAACGTCCATCGACATGTCCATGTCATCGCCATCGTCCCTCTCAGGTGATGAACTCTTCTGTCGGATGATACCACCCACGGCGGTGGTCATATCCATATCCGCATCCATGTCCATGTCCGATCCCTGATCGGCCTGTGTAAAATTGGAACGGGTGTTCTGGCCATTGCCTTGGTTTGAGCTTCCCTGCACATTGCTCTTCTTTCCCCATCCTGCGAACCCAGCAATGACCTCTTCGTCTTCGTCCAGTCGTTGGGTTACAGCTCTTCGGGCTGCAAGTCGTAGGTTCTCGTCCAGGTCCCCACTCGAGTCTGCGCTGAAATGCGAGCGTGGTGTTGCTATAGAGGCCGAGGTCATCTCCTCTGCTTCAACCGTCATCATAGTACCGTCCTCGACATCCGAGTCATCGCTTGACCCTGTCATCTCTTCCGCTTGAATCTCAGCGACACTATCGGCATGCTCAAGGTCGGAGTCGTATGCAATGGTGTCATCTTCGGCGTTTTCGGGAGAGGACGGTGGTTTAGAAGTTTCCAAGGTCGATGGGGCAGGGGACGGAGCGGCGGTCGAGGATGATGCGCGGCGTGTTGTATCGGTAGATGTCGTCGAATCTTGGGGAAGTTCAATCTCGTGAAAGGTGTGCAGGGTGGCTTCGGCGGCGAAAGACACTCTCCTGTTGGCAAGCGACTTTCTGCGCGCTTCCCTTCGCTCGTTGTTGTCCTTCTCGATCTGCGCCCGCTCCTTTTCCTCGCGCTCTCGGGCAGCTGCTTGTTGTTCCTCCTCAGTGCGTACGGCCACCTTGGTCCCGCCCTCGCCGCTATCGAATGAGCTTGTCGATTGATCGGTGCCGCTGACCTGGCTTCCGGCTTGTCGCGACTTGAACGTTTTGAACGTGGGAATTTCTGGGAGCGAAGTCGGTTTGAGAATCGACCTTGGGGGCGGTCGTGATGGTACAGCCAAAGACTACAGTAAAATACCCATCAGTATCATGTCTACAGATTCAACGGTGATGGCTTCAGGGGTGTTGGTGGACGTACGGCTCTGCGATTACCATTGCCTGACTTGAAAATATCAAGACTACCAGGTCCCATGCTCTTACTCCTCATCTTCTTGCGACCAGCGCCCATAGCGCCGATATCAACAGTCGCATTGTCCTTCTCTGCCCTCTTCTTCGTCGGTGAGCCGCCGCTTATCGATTTGCGCGGGATGCGCGTCGGGGGAAGCGTAACATCTTGTTGCGACGTCATGTCGAGTACTGCCGTTGACGGGTTTGGCTCTCCCAATTCTCAATTGGAGTCTCGTATATGGTGTCCGTTGTTCATGAGCGTCAGATGAAGAGGCGCACGAGTATCGATGAAGTGTGGGTAGGTGATTGTATGGTTACACGTCTTTTTCCGGGGTTGCTTAATTGGACGCGACTTGGATGGCGGCGCGCATGCGACATTCCCAATCTTTGGGTTCATTCAGATCCGACCTTCCAGGCCTCCTCCAGCCGCAAGGGTCCCGTCGGCGGGGCAGACTGTTTACTTTGGCGACTGCGAGCACGCGAATGGCAGGGGTGAAGGGCGCCGTAAACACAACTTAAGTCTCAGGGAGCTGTTTCATGACCCAAACTGCCCGGCAACTCCAGTGGTCGTAACTGCGGACTGCGGTGTGTTCTCAGATGTCCCGCTATCGGCTAGCCGCAAGTGGATAGCGCGTAAGGCATATGGGGCTAAACTTGTGGCTGGTGCGGTGCGATTGCTAGACGTTCAAGCGCCAAGACACCCCTCAGTGGGCAGAGTTTTGCGGTGCCGGCTGAGGTGCCTGGTGGTCAAGGCGGCCCAAGTGTGGCTTTGCACCGCCGCTTCCACACTTTTCGGATTTCAAGCCCCAAAAAATATCCCCAACTGGCAAAATTGCGAGTCCCGTGGAATTTCGACCTTCTTGCCAACCTCACCTCTCACGTACCATAGCACCATCTTGGGCATTACCCGACCGGCAAGATGGCTACCGAACTGACCGTGCAGAGCGAGCGCGCTTTCCAGAAGCAGCCTCACAGTGAGTTTTTGCACCTGGGAGGAAATTGAAGAGAAAAGACGACAATAGGGAATTTGGGCGCGCTGACAAGCTTCGATTTCACAAGTCTTCCTCAACAGCAAGACCAAGGTCAAGTCTGCCCGTCCGGGTAAGGGTGGCCGGAGATGGTACAAGGACGTCGGCCTGGGCTTCCGTACCCCCGTTGCTGCCATTGAGGGCCAGTACATCGGTACGTTTTCATCAAAACCCGTGAAACGAACATCCATCAGATCAGCCCGACTCTTCCTCGACCGCCCGCCGGCTTTGTTGCGAAATGCGAACCGACGAGTACAAAATATGCGACAGCACGAAATATCGAAACGAACAACACACAACACAATACAACAAGAGCACTAGCACGAGCAAGCGAGCGGTAACGGCAAGGAAGAGGGCGATATGACGAGACGAAACGAGACGAGAAGGAGGAGCAAATGGCTGATGTGAATTGCCTACTACTACAGACAAGAAGTGCCCCTTCACCGGCCAGGTCTCCATCCGCGGCCGTATCTTGTCCGGTACCGTCGTTTCCACCAAGATGCACCGCACCATCATCATCCGTCGCGAGTACCTTCACTTCATCCCCAAGTACAACCGTTACGAGAAGCGCCACAAGAACCTCGCCGCCCACGTCTCCCCCGCTTTCCGTGTTGAGGAGGGTGACAAGGTTACCGTTGGCCAGTGCCGTCCCCTTTCCAAGACTGTACGTTCATATCCCGATATCAACTCTCCCGAGAGGCCGAGGACGACCCCTGAAACCTGGCGCGAAGCACCAAACGCGTCAGGCCATTTCGAGCGATCAACCGGTCATTTTTTTTTTACACGGCAAGACTGACACGATATGCTTCTAGGTCCGCTTCAACGTTCTCCGCGTCCTTCCCCGCACCGGCAAGTCCGTCAAGCAGTTCGCCAAGTTCTAAATGCAGACTATGGGAGTGCTGAAGGGTCGGGGCTTTTCGGAATTGGGCATTTCTGGCGCGGTTTTTGCTTTGAGGGCTTGTTAAATCAGTTACAATGGGCCGGTCCGGCAGGGGAAAACTGCACGAAACAGTACACAAGTAAAAATGTGTCATAGAGGCAGTGCCGACTGAATGAAATCCGCCGAATGAACTTTGACGAAAAGTCAAAACAAAATGGATATGATACCTTGTTTCGGTGGTTTTGGCAACACTTATGAGCCCATATATCCGTGCCCTGAGCCGCTGGTCACTCATGAACATGTTCTGTTCACCTGCCCATGGAGATGGGAGCGGTTTCGCAGACTTACCTGAATTAGCAACACCTCACTTCTACGCGTATCAAACCACCCATATGTCACCATGTATCAGAAAACGACCTGGGGATAAACGCGATGTTCGCCTCAGGTCTGTTCCAACGAAAGACAACGACACGACACGACACGACACGATACAACACGACATCCTCTGCGAACCTTGGGATGGAATTCGAGAAGCGACATGGAGCCTGCTCACATCAACAGGTATAGCATTTGTACCAGTACTATGTGTTAGTCTAAATAAACAGAATCAATCAAGATGGCAACTACAGTACTCGTGTACCTTGTGATATAAAGTTCCGGAACGTCATCCGAAAGTCCCCTTGCAGTATAAACCACGATGGCGACTACCTTACTCATACGTGTAACAAAGAAGTTCCAGAACGTTATCTGAAAGCCTAACTTGGTGATCTCCCACATTCAGATAACCAAAAGCTCAGTCCGCTTGATCGAAGTATTAGCTATTGATCACTCATGTGAAAGTCCCCTTGCCACTCACTCACTCACTTAACACCATAACCCTCTGTTGTATTATATAGACAAGACAGTCCCCCCCCCCCCCCCCCCCCCCCCCTCGGTTTCAACTTTAAGTGAAATAGGAGACACAACTGCACGTAGCGCGGGAGGCGATAACGGTTTGGTACATAGGTGTGATTTATCTATGCCTATTCTCTTTCCAAAGGAGGTCTACTTTGGGTTGGTACCTATTCCAGGCCATACATAGCACCAAAGACCAACCTCAATCATTCACGCCCGCGGGTACACGTACCGCAGACCAGTCAGTATACATGTCCTTCTACTATGTAGTTGACAAGGAACAAGATGGACTAAACGTCAGCTACAAATTCCAGAAAGAACATTATATAGAAGTCTACCTCTATGTACTTGTAATCTCCCAAACACACTCATAGTTAAAAGTTCTGCTCCATATCAAAGCTTCATTGACATTGTGAAAGTCCACTTGCCACCTATGTACTCACTCAACGCCACAAGTCCATTGCAGACTAGACAGTCTTCTACCTCAGTCAAAAGGAAAAGGGGTACAATTACATGACCCATGTTTTGATTTATTTTTGCACTTTGAATCATGTATACGCGTGTGTGAACGTATTGGCTTTCCTGCATTTTGGTTCATGAACTACTTGTTGTACGTGACCAAAACTCAACATAGCTGTATGTAATTGTGCCCCCCTTTTCTTTTAACTTTCATGTTTTGATTGAGTTTGGTTTGGGACTCGAGATTAGCTCTAGAAGGAGTATCAAGTCCGCTTTGACTCTTGCCTCCTGTTGAACGCTCCAGGCTCTATTTGCATGGGACGTACTCTGCTGAGAACTGATGAAGAGAAAACTTGATATTGAACTATAACCGTTAACAAATCATGTTTTCCAGTTCCCACACCATTGCAACGTGGAATCCAGCTTTATCTAAAGGTACACATCTTATACTCATACCCAACACAGCAAGCGAGGTAATGGTACAGGATCGAAACACTACAATAAACCAATCGAGAACCCGGAACCACATAACAGCCAACGAACGGCTTAATGTGTACCAAACCATGTTATTAATTTTTCCCCCCCTTTTCATAAAACACTCCCCTACTACCTAGTGCCGATTCCCCATGCCTCAATCCTCACAGCGTTTCTATCAACATGAGCGAACACGGACGCACGCCGATATGATCAAGTATCCACATCCTGGATGACCGTTATTCAACAAGTCGCCAGAAAACGAAACCATGCCCAAGTCCAACACCAGGTCGCTTGTACCACCGTTTGAATATTCGGGCTGAACTAGGTCGTCCCATGCGCTATGTGGAAGGATAGGAGCAAGGCATTCCGCTCTAACGAGGCTCCTCTGAGTTGACCAGTTTATCGTGACGTTTTCTCACTGCGTTTGGAGTCCTGTGGGGAAGTAATGTGCGCCGAATGTCTACCCAGCCGCGCCCTTCCCTTCTGGCGGTGACTAAGAGATTATCCTCCTCAACAGTCCATGAAATTTGAGTTTGATGAGGCATTGTGCCACTTAGTTTACTGTGGCGTTCCATCAAATCGTCAACGGTTTTGTAGGGTAAAAGGGAACTTTGGATATCTTCGATGCTACGCCCTTCGGACTGAGCGGTGAGCAAAATCGTGTCTTGCCAGCTAGTCCACAAGCGTTTGAGGTGGTGGATTCGTGAACGTAACGATCTAAGGGTTCTGGAGGGAAACAAATCCCTCTGGATCTCTGCATAGCCGCGCCCTTCGGAGTAGGCTTTTATGAGGGCTTTATCGTCCTCCTCGGTGTATTGAACTCCAAATTGAAGTGGATTACTTGGATCTCGTCTGTTTAAATTTTGCTGACTTTGTTGTGTTGATTGCGAGGAAGCGTCGGTACCAGTAGCCGCCTAGACAGGTGGAGTGTTCCCGGCGCTACCAAGCCCAGCCACCGGAGAGGACTGGTCAGCACCGGCACTATGGCTGACGCCGTGGAAGGCATCCCCGAACGCAGAGTCCTCCATATCCATGTTCAGATCTCCCAAATCGTCGCCACCTGGCCCAACGCTGGGCGGGTCGTAGCCAGCGAGGGCCTCGCCGGCGGTATCGAGATCGCCTAGTGAGCTGAAGTCAATACCCTCGCCTGATGGGGTGGGCGCCGCTGATGCGGGTTTACTCGAGGGTTGGGTAATTTGCTGAGCAGGGACGCCAACAGCATCGCTGTTACCAGCTGTCGTCGGCGGTTGGGGGACGGAGGCAGTTGTGGCACCTGAAGGGTTAGAAGCAGCGTGCACTTGATCGGGTGCAGATGTTGCAACCTTCGCGTCCTCCATACTAATGTCATCCCCACCCTGATTGGTTGCAGGTGGTAGAGGTGAGGCCACGTTGGGGGCTGAAGGAGTGGCAGCACTCGAAGGATTGGCCGAAAGATTCAGAGGTAGAGGGGTTGATGTTGTCGAGAAACCGCCGGCGGTATTCATCTGGTCAAGCAGGCCGGCTGCGGTACCTCCCATATCAATGTCGGAATCACCAATGATCGCACCGCTAGCTTGAGAGCCGGCTTGTGATGGCTGGCGAGACATGGAAGGGGCCTGTCCTACCGGTGAAAGGATGGGCTCTGGCTCAGGAGCTGACTCTTGGTAGCCACCATCCTCAACTCGGTGAACATCATGGACAACCGTGGCAGGCTTCCCCACAATCTTTTCAACGCTGGCGAGAATCTCTTCAAATGTTCTGGCGTTCCTTTGACCCTGCCGGCTACTGTCGTCCTCGTCATCTTCGAGACGTCCCTCAAGGCGCCAAGCTTCCGAACCAGTTTCTTGAACCGCAAAACGCAATTCTTGTTCTGCTTGCATGATAGCCGCATTCTTTCTCAGGCTCGCTAGAGCCTTTTCGTGGTCGGCCTTCATCCGCGCAATCTCTTCCATGTCGGCCTTGTTTTTCTCCAACACACGCTTGCGAAATTCATCTGCTACCCCTGGGGCCAAGTGTCCTGTATAAGGCTTCTTAGGCCCATGATCTACCGCCTCGGTGCTTTGTGCTTCAAAAATACCCTCTGTCAGCGAGGCAAGCGCACCTTTGCGTCCCAGTCCCAGGTCGGAAACTTCTATCTGGCCAATTTGGTAGGGAGAAGACAGGATTTCCTCCATCCACTCGTGATTTTGTTGATACCGAGCGATGCTCACCTCGCGTGGGGTAAGGTGGTCGAAAAGGTCGCCACGAGACACATCCTCCTCGTCATCGAAAGCACCTTCCAAGCTTTGCAGCTGGCCTCCTGCCATCTGGTTCGGATGTGCTCCCGGTGCCTGTCCATGCCCACCCCTGCGCTTGGATGAGCCGGCCACCGCACCCGGGTGCGGAGGGTAAGCCATTGTCGGAGGAATGTGGCGAGGCGGCATTGGCGGGGCATACATCGACTGACCCCGTCCGGGAAGGGGAAGTTGTGGCCAGTTCACACGATCCGATAGCATGAACTCCTTCTTGACGATCTGGCCCATTTGGAAGAGCTGCTGGCGATAGTTGATAATCTGTTGCATCTGGGGGCTGACGGAAACCATCTGTACGTGGATCCTGTCCTGTTTGTCGGCTGGTCCGTAATGAACAATCCAGAGGTTAGGGTCCACCTGTGGTGCATTCGGCACTGGCGCTGGGCCGGGAACAAGGCGAAACCGTTTTCGAGAGTGTATCGTGTGCTGCTCCCCTGGCCTGAATCCCGATCGTTGGATGTAAGCCTCGAGCACCTATTCCCTAAAGTTAGCTCTCACGCCCAGCAACGCCGCAAGCTCAGAAAGAGTATCATACCAAGCCATTCCCGGCAGGCTGATGGTAGAAGATCTCAGGACCCGACCATATGTATCCATCGCTAGAGAACTCAACGCCTCTACGGGCAGAAGGCTGCCATGTCAGGTATATGGACCCATCATTCGGGCCGTCGAGGTATGTCCAAAAGAATGGAGCCGTGTCGCGGGCGATCTTGGGTGCGGCCGTCAACCACTTTGTGACCTCTGGTAGTTCGACCCTGGGCTGAAAAGCATAGCGGAAGGTTGAGAGGAGGTGAACATGAGGAAGCTATCAGAGAAGTGTGTGTTAGCTGTCTGTAATAACAAACAAGGGACAAAACAATGGCAGTGTAAAGGGATGCTGTCGAGGAGCACCGTACCAAGTCCTGGTGCACGTTTTGGCTCGGATCGCCAGCCATTGTGTTTGGTCGAGGTCAAAATATGAGGTTTGTCGGGGAGAGAAAATATTGTGAAGTGATGATTATTCCTGTGCAAACATTTCAGTCCGGGGAGCTGGCAGTAAAGCTGATATTATCTATTGGCTTTGTCAATGGCGGATGTACTAGTGGATGGTGATTGGAAAACCAGGTGCCTTGTCCCGTCGCGGTTGAAGGTGGATTTCCGGGGCGTTGCGCGCTTCGTGGATCGACAAGGGAACTTTACGTTCAGGAACCAAGCTATGCAGTCGGGCAAGTTCCAACCAGTGATGGCGGCAGGCAACAGGGCCGCTTGGCGGCAGCTTTTATGGGAAGGGAGGGAAGAAACGTCAACGGGAACGGACCCATGTGTGCCCCACCACAGTACAGCTACACGTGACTACCTCTTGGCTCAACCTAGTAGCCAACTCTATTCGAATGCTCACGGGGCACCTGCAGCTTAACAGAACCATTTCAATTATTTTTGCCATAGAAGGAACGACCGCGTCTGGCCTCATGTCGACTCAAGCCTATCGGCGGCCCTGTCTCAGCCTGGTTACAAAACCGCTGCACACTGTCATTCGACAGGATGGCGCGTGGATAGGTACGGAGAGGACATCTCCTGGACAACGACGAACCACAATCTATAGTCTGCATCAAGGGTTTACCGCTGTATTACACGAGGCCCAGTGTCCGTCTTATCGGTTTCGTTCTTCACTGCTCCTGAGCCGCCGGCAGTAGCTGGTCTTCCGCCTCAGCAGGATTGGACGGGCATCGCAAATAATCTGCAGTGCATTGGAGTTCAATGCGGTACAACGTCATGGTTCTTGTTCGCTGCGAGAAAAAAAAATCGAATTCCAATTCATGCTAAAGTACCTCCTTTTAATTCCAGTCCATACCATAAATGGACATCATGGCTCATCCATCTTGCGTGTTTACCCTTTCTTTAGTTGCCAAAACAATGAAGCAACCGTTTCCTATGTCTAGATCGTCTCATCACCATCATATCGTGCCCATTCCATACCACACCTCTTTCTTTATGCCTGGTAGGTGGAAGCGGAAACGTTGCCGCCGCGGCCAGTCCAGTTAACGTGGATGTACTTGCCCTCGGGGTACTTCTCGCTGGCGTACTCGGGCTTGATCAGGAAGGTGTGGGCGCCGAAGTAGTCGCGCTGAGCCTGGAGCAGGTTCGCGGGGAGGTCCTTGGTGCGGTAACCGTCGAACCACGACAGAGCAGTGGAGAAAGCGGGAGTGGGAAGACCAAGGAGAGCAGCCTTGGCGACAACATCACGCCAGCCGGGCTGGGCCTTGTGGATGGCCTTGTTGAAGAAGTCGTCGAACAAAAGGTTCTCGAGATCGGGGTTGCTGCGGTACGCAGCGGTGATGTCCTTCAGGAAGACGGAGCGGATAATGCAACCGCCACGCCACATGAGGGCAATGGAAGGCTTGTTGAGCTTCCAGCCGTACTCCTTAGCAGCCTATGACAACAATAAAATTAGTCATTGCACATCATTGGGAGATTTATCTGCGCATCCACATACCTCCTGCATGAGCATGAAGCCCTGGGCGTAAGAGATGATCTTGGAAGCATAGAGAGCCTGCTCGAGGTCCTCCAAGAACTGCTCCTTATCACCCTCGAACTTGTTGGCACGGCCGACGAACTCGAGCTTGGTGGAGGCCTTGACACGCTCCTCCTTGATGCCAGACAGGCAGCGAGCAAGGACAGCCTCGGCGATGAGGGTGACAGGCATGCCCAGGTCAAGGGCGTTGACAGCAGTCCACTTGCCGGTACCCTTCTGGCCAGCCTTGTCGAGAATCTTCTCGACGAGAGCAGTGCCATCGTCGTCGTTGAAGTACATGATATCCCTGGTGATCTCAATGAGGAAAGAGTCGAGAACGCCCTTGTTCCACTTGGCAAACACATCACCCATTTCCTTGTTGGAAAGGCCGAGACCGCGCTTCATGATATCGTAGGCCTGTACCAAGTCAAAAGTTAGATCAGTTTACTCATTCGCCTCAAAAACCACGTATGGCAGAGTGCATTGGGGGTACTGACCTCGCAGATGAGCTGCATGTCACCGTACTCAATACCGTTGTGGACCATCTTGACGTAGTGGCCAGCACCCTCGTCACCGACCCACTCGCAGCAGGCCTCGCCGTCGCTCTTGGCAGCAATGGCCTGGAAAATGTCCTTGATGTGAGGCCAGGCAGCCTCATCACCACCGGGCATGAGCGAAGGGCCGAAGCGGGCACCCTCCTCACCACCAGAGACACCGGAACCAACGAAGTGGAGGCCCTTGGAGGCAAGGTACTTTGTCCTGCGGTTGCTGTCGGGGAAGTGAGAGTTGCCGCCATCAATGATGATGTCGCCCTTCTCGAGGAGGGGGAGGAGGGTCTCGATCCAGTCATCGACGGGCTTGCCGGCCTGGACGAGGAGCATGATGCGGCGGGGGGACTTGAGCTTGGAGACGAACTCCTCGGTGCTCTTGGCACCAACGATCGACTTGCCCTTGGCCTCGTTGGCAAGGAAGTCGTCGACCTTGGAAACGGTACGGTTGAAGGCGCAGACGGTGAAGCCATGGTCGGCCATGTTGAGGATCAGGTTCTGACCCCTATCACACGCCACGTTAGCGAGGCCCAGTGCGGCAGGGTTGAGGGGATGCCCGATGAGCATTAACTTACATGACGGCCAGGCCGATGAGGCCGATATCAGCGCTTGGAGCATCGTTAGCACTTGTCTGACTTTGGGATTGGGACTGGGAGCCCGGCTTCACAGCTCCGCCAACAATGATGTTCGCTAGGCGAGCGCTGGAGGCACTCAGTTGGTATGCAGGGCAAACAGGGCAAGCAAGCTCTTTCCGTCACACATCACGGCGAGAGGACTCTGGTTCCTCGCAAGAGGACCCTCATCGATACACAGTTACACTCTGAGCGCTAGCAGAATGCGCGCCGTGGTAAGATCGAGAGCTTCCAACAGAGAACACTGACGGGCGGGTAGAGCGGGGGAGGCGGGGTAGTGAAAAGGACTTACACAGGTCCAGACATCTTGTAAGCTTTTGTAGGGTATCTTAGTTTACGAGATTCCTCAAGCGTTGGGTTGTTTGGAAGAACAAGAAGCAAAAGGCAAGATGAAATGAGTTGGAGAAGAAGAGATTACTCAACGGAGAGGGATTTCCAATGGGGGGGGAAGGAGGGGGTCAAATAAAGAAAGTACCTGCGGGCTGAGGTAATGACGAAACTTTGGAGAGGGATCCTGGAGTCTTCGGCTTCGGAGGGGTCAATGGGGAGTCAATCAGCGTCGTAGCGGGCAAGCTAAAATGTCACTGCTTGCAACAAGTGGAAACACATTCAAAATCCGAACAGGCCCTGCATCATCTTGGCCTGTACCTTTCGCTAGAATCCTTAGTTGCAGACCGGTGATAGCACACGAGTTCCACTCTTGTCGTCCGCTCCGGATACCTCACTTTTTGACATTTGCACCCACAGACAGACAGCCAGCCAGCCAGCGGAGATCGTCGTTGCCTCGCTGCATCATCCAATGTCATGGGTACGGGAGGAAAGTCGAGTGGGCAAGTGTCCGTCTGCTACCATCTTGTATCCCGACGAGAACGGGGTTTTCATCCTTCCAAACATGATCTACTTGCGATGACAGCTGCAGAATGGGTAGCCGGCATTTTCTCCCGTGGACCTGTGTGCCTGGAAGAAATAATCCCGCCGTGCTGCCTCAGAAAAACCCCCGCGGCGGGATCGGAAGGCTCCATATCCCATTTGTAAGTTGATCTGGATCAGCCCGACACCCCAAATGGTGCGAAACGATCCACACATTTACCACTTCGTTGAGGTCAACCATTCCAACCTAGAGAGCTTGGCTTTTGATGCCAGTGTGCACCGAGCCGGTACGTGAGGCAAGCTCGGTAAGGTATACATTCTCGGCATCATACATCTCGACCCAGAAAACCGGTCAAGAATGTCAGGCAAGCTGGTTATCGGTAATGCTTATGGAGGTCATTAGACTCTCGTTTACTATGTACAACCGGCCGGTAGACATGTCCGTCGAGCACTCACAAAGTTGACTGAAGTAGCACAAGGACGGCAGCTTTGTCAGTTTATATTTGTAAGTTCGGGCTTGTCCACCCCCAACCACCCCTGTCGAAGCGTGTTTTTAGTCTGTTGCGGTTTCGCAATCCCGTCCTTCCTTCATGCTCCTCCGAACCTAGGACGGCCCAGACGGAAAAGGTTAGGTTCATCGCCGGTGACCCCTGGTTTGGTCGGACCGTTTGGTCTTTGCATCCCACCCAAGCTCCCAGCCGTCCCAACACCAGCTGTACGATCATCGTGAAGCATTGCTTTGTGGCATTCAAGAAAAATAACCCTTTATGGCAAACAGTCTCCGATGACCCAAATGGTGACTGCTCACCTGGCATGTTCGGTAAGCTTCACTACGAAGACTTGCGATCATGTCCAGTAGCTGCTATCTTTCCATAGCCCTCTAGGAACCTTTCGTCCATTCCGCTTGGTTCCTCATTCTATGAGTTGCCCGATTCTCAGTCACCCTTAAATATCTGGTCATAAGCACTGATGGTAGGCAACCCCGGATGAGCCGGCATGGTTTTAGCCACCAAACTGCGTTCCCACGCAAACCCCGAAGTGCCATGGGATGGCAACCGCTATTGTACATAAGAAAAACATGATGGGTTGGTTCGGTATTCCAATGCGCTTGTTCGTGAAGCCCGGGGCATTCATACGCCAGGATTTGACAGCGAGAAGGACATATGGACCTCTGGATTCGGAAATAGCCTAACAATTAATATATAAAAGCCAACCTCCTCCTTGTGTCAACTGTCCACATCTCCATTGTTTTGCTGACCCCCATCCCCCACACAATCATCTGATTACCGGGCTGCCTAGTGATCCATCGGTCTGACTGGTTCGTCGTCAGTTACGAAATTTACCGTCAATTTCATGCAAAAATGGCCATTTTTTCATCACTTACCAGTACACGTGATTATATGGGGCCCAGTTGAGCCCAGTCAAGCCCAGTTGAGCCCAGTTGAGCCCACCCCCCAGCGCACAGAATCTGGGCTCAAAACCCCAAAAATGTAGCAAATCGATTATTATATAGATAATTGAAGACGTCAGATTTATTGGATTTTTATTGATATACTGCTTTTACTATTTGGCGACTCCCATAGGTATGATAATGCCCTTATTAAGAAGGTTACTTGGCTTCCTCTCCGTTGATGTTGATACCTTGAATCTCCTTAATAATGCCTTCTTGCATGTGATTATATAGCTGCTTCTTGATTTCCGCTAGCAGCTCATCTCTTTGAGCTATAGACAGCTCAGCAAAAAATTGTTAGAGGTTGCAGAGTTTCTTGCCATTTATATAAATAAAGGTTGCTATATCTATTTTATTAGTAGTAAGGCGGTTGCGCCTTAGGTTCTTTAGGAAGTTTATAGTAGAGAAGGCTCTTTTATATAATATGCTATTAGTTAGAATATTGAATACCCTTATAGTAAGGGGTGTAATGAGCGAGCCGCTGTCTTGTAGTATACTCTAGAAATGATGTGGCTTTATGCCGTTGAAGTTCTAGAAATTAGCGTTTAGTGCGTAGATTCTATTATGGATTCTAAACGCTAAAAAGTCCTCGATTAATTAGGCCTCTATTATATTATTGAGGGTAAAGGTATACTATTTCAAGTAATTGATAACTATATTAGTAACGTTATGAATAGGCGGGGTAATATTAGTAAATACATCTTAGGTAGTAAGAGGGTATAAAAGGAACCCTAACTGATTAATAGGAATTAATTATTTATTCTTCCTTAATACGTAGAGACGTTTGAACTCCTAAAAGTCAATAACGCTAATAGAATAACGTAATTAAACCTAAGACTACTAAACCGAAATCCATTTAGGGATAATATAAACGATAGTCGAGCGGTTTGTTTCTAAGAATAATTAGGCTTTATAAAGAGGTTCTATAAACCTCATGAAGGTATTGAGACCGTATTAGAAATAAGGGTCCTTGATAACCTTAATAACGTATATAAATCGTATAAGTTCGTGGCTGTCGTTACTGTAAGGAGTTTCTTAATAGGGCGCCTAACCTCAATACTATACATTGCATATAAATATTTATAATATAGGTTTAGCGCGTTAGATTGAACGTATAGATCTATATTGTAACTTCTATCGGGTAATTATATTAATTTGGTTACTTTATAGTGTAAAATAAATAATTAAGGGATTATTTAATTAATTTTACTAATATATTAATAATTTTATTATAGAATTTTAGTGTAAATCCCTTTAAGTACGCAAATTATAATTTAGAGGTATAGAAGTAATTGACGAAGGTATTGATTTATTAATTTAATATTCGAAAGGCCTATAAATTAATTATATTCTTTATTAACAATTAGAACGAATATAAATTATATAAAATAATAAAGGAGGCTCTAAAGCGGTCGTTAATAAAGTTATATATCGTACGCCGGGCAGAGTTATATATATTAGTAATAAAAGTATAATTTTAACGGGAAAAATACTAATTTTATTACAAACTCTAGAGACGATATTGGCGAGGTTTATCGAAGTATATTCGGTAGACTTCATATACCTATTATATTAGAAAAAGAATATATTACTAGGTGGGTAAGAGATAGAAATATTAATAATACGTATACTAAAGTAATCATTTAATTCGTTAAAGAAGACGTTAATATATAAAAATGAGGTAATGTAATGCGTGAGAATCTACTCCTTTATTTGCGCGTAAATGATGGGGAGTTAATCGTTTACGAGAAGGTTAGCGTTTGGCGGGGTATAGACTGGGACGAGAGTATAAAGAAATACCCTTATAGAGGATGATTCAAAGAGGTTGAATGGGCGGCTATTTAATAGTATAGTTTTAATAGCGTAGTAGTCGATTTTTTTCTTTTATTAATCGTTGAATACTACAGTATAACGATGAATATTATTGCGGTCTTAGAATTATTAATTAATTCGATAAATCTAATACTCCATATAGTTATCGAGGTAAGACTATAATTGGGTAATATTTATTACTTAGTGTAATGGGTCTGCGAGAGTATTGTACAGCGAGCAGTCGTGTAAGGTTGAAATGCTATATTTGACAGAGAGGAAAAGGACTGCTCCAGAAGGGAGCAGTCAAAAGAAGGTTTTATACAACCAGAGCCAAGACTGTATAGGCTAGGCAAATATATGGGTCTAGCAAACTAGAGGACTCGTATTAGCCTTAGCGCTATGTAATAACCCCTAATTCGGCTTAGCACGCTTGGTAATAACCAAATATATCAACTGGGCGCTAGCCCCATGACACTTAGTGCTAGTTATAGTGATGGTAAAAGGCGATTTAAATATGGCGCCCTGGTTTATTACGAAGGTTGTATTCCTTGTAGATAATTTTATTACGAGCTTGACAGACTAGGGGCATTGTTGCTGGTGATACTGCTGATTCTGGGAGTTCTAGTGTGCTCATTGGTTTGTTATAAAGGGTATGGTTGATTGAGATAGAAAGATTTTTCTAATTCTAGTGGATAAGGTGTACGGGCGTGAGCACAGACCTTGAATTAGCATAATATTCGAAAGTTTAAACAAGAAAGGTAAAAAATGCCATTTTTTCAGTTCCTATTGAACACTAGGGCTGCCAAAACATATATAAGCTTACCCAGCTTTATTGTTGCTTTGTTGCGGAGTCATCGAAACCCAGGCACAAATAGAAACCAAAGATGGAAGTTCAGCCTGTTTGGTATGGAGCTTGCGATCTTGCGTTAGAGATGTAAGACCTCTCGGAAGGTTTCTGCTCGCGCCTCAACTTGATATTAGTTCTCCATATTACCAGTACCGGACCTCCAGAGGATTGCTCCTGTCGAAAGAGAAATTGTACGATAGTGAGCAATACGCTGCAGTACGATACATACAAGTGAAATTCTACACTATTGAAAACCCTGGGCTCCCACCACTGCCTGCTCCATACCCAACCCTGAAAACGAGTGGGGGCGTGGGGACGTGGGGGTCAACCCCGTGGACGTTTTCCGTCTACTATGTAGAGGTAGTGCTCAAAATATCCACCAAAGCGAGTGTGACACTGACCGTCACGACGATGGTGTTGATTTTGGAGTTCGCAACTGGACCGAGTTAGCTCGTGGTTTCGTCGCCACCAATGTTTCGTTCCTCGTCATCAGCAAGGAGTTCTTGTGAGGGATAGCACAGCCACATGTAACTGATTGATTACGTATCGATACTGGAGATTCTCATCTTGGCTTGTGGCTGATCGGTCCGAAAGGCACTGCGCTGCGGCACCTGTGAGGATGAGGACCACAGTGGTCACGGTCCAGGGTGTGACGGATTGGAGAGCGACGCCAAGCAACTGAAGCACCGCGTCTCCATCCGGTTCAGTCAGTTTCGGCCGGACTCCACAAATGGAACTTACAGACACAGTACATGGCCGCTGACGTCCGTGCCTGGTTCAATTCGCGATCCTGATAGCCAAACCACAACACACACCTCTTACAATCTCTTGCCTGCAACTCTCGTGAGCCAACTCTTGACCGGACAAGCCCGACAGTACCTGAACACAGGAGGATACCTACCACAAAGCGCAGAACACTGCCGGGCTGGGCTCACAGGTACGTGAAACAAGCACAAAAAACAGACTTGAACCAAGTTGTTTCTCTCTTCTTGTCGGCGCGAGAAATTCATCATGTCGTACCCCGGTCCTCCAGGTGTCTCCAAGAACACGACCCATTCGTCGCTGCCTCCCCGACCGCCACCAGCAAAGCAGCCCGGCGGCTTCAAGCCTGCCTTTCAACCCGCGATCCACTCTGCGCGGTCCTTCAGCGCCGCCCCATCTCCATCTCCAGCTCCAGGCTATCCCGCGACCCCAACAACCGCGGCAGCAACCTCGTCGTACACCGCAGCTCCCGGCTATAGCCCAGCTCTCGGCGCCGCAGCGCCCGGTAGCTATGGCGCACCCACCCCATACGGCGCTCGTCAACCAGCCCTTCCCGGCGTAGGAGGCGGCCGTGGCGGCTATGGCCAAGCAAACACGACATACGGCAGTTACCCCCAAGCATCGGGCTACCAGCAACAAGCCGCATACGGATACGGCACCCCCGGCAACGGCAGCTATTCCACTCCACCTCAGATCCGCAACCCTTTCCCCGTTCCGAACGCCGCCCCGACCGCCGGCCACCATGGCCATCACCATGACGCCACCTACGACCCCCTCGAGGCGGCCCAGATAGCGGCGTGGCAGAGCGCGTACATGCCCAAAGAGCCCAACGACCCCAACAACGCCAACAATAAGGCTGCTGGCGCTGGCAACGTTCCCGGCGCGCGCGGTGGAGCCGGTGCCTATGGTGCTGGCGCCGCTCAATACGGAGCCGCCTACGGCGCAGCGATGGATCCCGCGGCTGCCGCGGCCGCAGCAGCAGCAGCATCCGGAACAGCAGGCGACCCCTACGCGGCTCACAACGGCAGTAACTCCACAACCGGCGCCGACGGCGAGAAAAAGAAGACAGTCGTGCGCGAGGGCGGCGGCAAGAAGTGGACGGACGACACGCTTTTGGAGTGGGACCCCTCGCACCTGCGCCTCTTCGTGGGCAACCTGGCAGGCGAGACGACGGACGAGTCGCTCCTCAAGGCCTTTTCGCGCTGGAAGAGCGTGCAAAAGGCCAAGGTGGTGCGCGACAAGCGGACGACCAAGAGTAAAGGGTTCGGGTTTGTCAGCTTTAGCGACCCCGAGGACTTCTTCCAGGCGGCGAAGGAGATGAACGGCAAGTATATCCAGAGTCATCCCGTGGTGGTGCATAAGGCCAAGACGGAGATCAAGCCTACGGTGATGAAGGATGATCGGAAGGGCGGCAAGTGGAAGGATAAGAAGAACAATCATAATAAGAAGAAGAGCGGTAGTGGAATGGGCGCCGGTGCGGGCCATGATGGAGGCGGTGGTGGTGGTGCTGGCGGTGGGTATGAGCCGCATCTTGGACCTGCGCATGGTAGTGGAGTGACCAAGCCTGGTCAGAAGACTAAGGGCGGATTGAAGTTGCTTGGTTGATCATCTTGGCTGGGTTCACTTTCTTGTGCTTCATCTTAGGGCGTTAAGGAGCCTTGCGTATTGAGATACTTGTGCATTCAAAAGAACTATAGGGGCGTTATGGATGCTGTGCATAGAAAGCGATAGTTTGGAGACGGTATGTTGATATCCCGGCTTTCGTCTGGTGTACTTCCCGAATTAGAGAACACAAAAGTGTCAATAAGTGGTTCAAATATCTGTCAGATGTAATGTTTGTGTGAATATTTGTTTTACCCGCCTTGTAGTATATCACCAATGCTTGGGTTTACGGTTTCACGCATTTATTTTCATTGTTGGTCTACAAGCGTCACTGAATCATCACTCAACAGCAACGCCAAACGTGAATGATCTAACTAGACCAGTCAAACCCCCCCTTCAGTCAACAGAGACAGTAATCTCAACATTTCTTTAAACAGTCAGCGAGTACCTTGAATCAAATCAAATGCTAGCATAGCAGCACATCGTTCCTTATAAAACAAACAAAACATCCATATCATCATCATCATCACCATCATCAAACCAAATCAAATTAGACACAAACCCCCCCTTTCTGCTTTCATCGCTTGAACTCGCTTACACGGTCAAGGTTAAAAGCGGCGCTGATGAGCGCCAAGTGGCTGAAAGCCTGCGGCGTGTTGCCCAGCTGCTCGCCGCTGCGCGAGATCTCCTCGGAAAACATCATCAGGTGGTTCGAGAAGCTGAGCATGTTCTCGAACAGGTTGATGGCCCGCACCAGGTACTTGGGCTCGTAGACGCTGGCGCGCGTCAAGGCTTCGACGAGCCAGAAGGTGCACATGGAGAAGGCGCCTTCGCGACCTCCGACGCCTATTGTTGTTGGTGTGTTAGTTTCCATTGGAGACAGGAAGAGATCATTTGAGTGTTTGTTACTCACCGTCTTCTGATTGCTCCGTGTCATAACGGTATACCAGGCCGGTGCTGGTCAACCCACCCTTGTCGGGGGGCAACATGATGCGGTCCATGGTGTTCAAGAACCGCGGGTCGTTGGGTGCAATAAAGAACACGAGCGGCGCGATGAGGATGGACGAGTCCAGGATCGTCTGGTTCTCGTAGCTCTGCACGAAGCACTTCATCTCCTTGTTATACGACTTCTCCATGATCTCCTCGTACAACGAGTCCCTAGCCACGAGCCACTTGGCCCGGTTAGGGCAAGGGAAATTCCTCTTCTCGGACAGGCGCAAGCCGCGGTCAAAGGCGACCCACAGCATGATCTTGGAGTAGGTAAAGTGCTGCTTGTTGTTGCGCACCTCCCAGATGGACATGTCCGGGTCGCTGAGGATGGTGAGCACGTAGTCGAGCATCTCGCGGATCGAGCACCACAGGTCCCAGTGGATCGGCTTGCCGTACTTGTTGTACAGGTAGATGCCGTCCATGAGCTCGCCGTAGATGTCGAACTGCTGGTGGGAGGCCGCCCCGTTGCCGACTCGCACCGGCTTGCTGCCCCGGTACCCGTCCAGGTGCGTCAGCTCGCGCTCGGGAATGTCCGTCTCGCCCCGGATCGTGAACATGATGGGTAAGCCGCCGTCGGCCACGCGCGATCTGCAGAACTGGTCGCTGATGAACTTCATGTACGCATCGGCCTCCTCGGTGAAGCCGAGCCGGAGGAGGATGTAGATGGTGAAGGAGGCGTCGCGGACCCATGAGAACCGATAGTCCCAGTTGCTGTGGATGGGGTGCTTGATGTCAGCAAAAGGGTGCTTTCGGGTATTTAGGCGCGGGTAGGAAATGGCGATAAATATTCGAGGATAGAGGGAGGATGAGGGTTTGACTTACCGGACACCGCCAATATCTTCGGGAATGGAGAAGGTTGGAGCAGCGATGATGGCTCCGGTCGGTTCGTATGTCATGAGCTTCAGAATCATGAAGCTCCTTTGAACAACCTCGCGCCAACGGCCCTTGTACTTGCACTTTGAGATCCAGTTGTACCAGTAGGTCTGGGTACCGTGCTGCTGAGTGTCCAGAACCAAGTTTGTGATCTGCTCCGTGACGTGATTGGGGATGTCGTTGCGAAGAATGAACGAAACGGCTTGGCCTTCCAACAGATCGATACTGGCAACAACACCTTCACCAAGCATGCCGGGCTTCTTCACCTTCTTGAAGTGGACGGTTGGATAGCTATGATACTCCTCCTCTCCTCTATCAATGCTGACATCAAGCTGGAGCTTGACATCCTTGCTGTGAAACGTCACAGTCTTGCTCTCAGTAGCAAAGGAAACGTTTTCTTCCTGCAGAATCGTGGTGGTATGCGGCGCTGTGGCATACTCAAACGCAGGGAAGATTTCGACCTCTAATGTCATGTAAGTCATAAGATCTGTGTGGGCAAGGCACGAAAAGCAAGGATTTACCCAAAGAGAACTTTCCGCGGATACATTCAACACGGCGGACCAGCCATTTCTTCAGCTCCTCCTGAACGCTTGTCATCTCACGATAGGCACTCGTCTTCAGTCCTTTGATGACAGTCTGGGTGGTCCTGGGCCTGGGGAAGAAATCGACAAGATCAACGACACCATCCTCATGGATATACCTGGTTTGAAGGATGTTCGAAGAGGGCAGGTACTGCTGCTTGGTTGTGCATCCGAGATGGGCAGCAGGGTGTATGATGAAGTAGCCTCCTTTGTCCTTGTCCAGCAAACGGCAGAAGACGGAAGGTGAATCAAATTCAGGCCTTGAAGATGTTAGTAGAAGCATGGCTATGAACCAAGGGTGTGAGACTTACCAGCACATAAAGTCCACACTGCCGTCCATGCCCACGAGGGCGCATGTTCTCATGTTGCCAATCAGGCCATAGTTCTCGATAGGAAGATAACCTCCGCAGCGTCTCCTCATTTGAGCCTCGGGGCTCTGTGTTGCGCCCGCGGTTGACATAATGGGAGAGAAGCCTCCTTGACTTAAGCTCTTTTCTAGGTCTTATGCGTAGTGGTGCTCAAATAGAACGCTTGGTCTCAGTTGTGAACCGAAGTTCGGGTGTTTGATGAAGACTGCAATGAAAATTCGTTAGTCTGGAGGTGTAGAGATGGCAACGAGGAAGGAAGGAACAAAGGGCCTGACGGCTTGAGTCGGCAAGTTATCCAGATCGGGTCTGGTTTGAAAGAGAGCAAAGTAAGAATGTACAGTATAAGATACGTTTGTTTCTATGGTGACTTAGTAGTAAACAGGAAAGATGAGAAGCATGTGGTAGAAAAGATCTTTCAGATGTTTCATCTCACTATAGGAGCTATTCATCTGTAAGACGGCGAGGTTGTGCGCCCCGATCCATAACAGCTCGTGCGTAGGACCAGCATCATTCCTGACTCAGCATCGTCTTCCAAGTTCCCCAGGTTACGATCTCCGGACCTCTGTGTCTTTGCCTCTTTTGGGACTGCGGCTCTCCACAAGGTTGGGTGATCATGGTATGCCAAGATCGATTTGAAGGGAGCGCGGAAACGATGATGCAGTTTCCATGGAGACACATCCTCGGATGGACCAACAGTGTTTGAAGCTCGCCCGTCCACCTCCCACCAACTTGGGAAGCTCTGTCACTGATCAGCTCAGTTCTGATGTTAGCTTTCTGTTCTTCGATATCCTTTGAAGGTCCCTGACGGCCGTGTACTCGGATTGTACACTAGTACAAGCCACTGACGGTTTCCCTGCAGTGGATGTCAACGACATCATAACTTGAATCTCGAGAGACCGGGGTTGCCAGCTTGATGGTTCAAGTGGGGAATTCCAGCGCACCTGCGCACCGGGCCACAACAAATACCGTCACACCAAGGACCACTTACACGGGTGTCAAGTCAATATCAGAAACCAATTGAGTCTTGTTTGGCAATAATAAGGTAGACTATGATATCTCTGATAACGAATCATTCCATGACGGTTGCTCTTTTGTCTCTGGAGGTTTTAACAGCAATTATTTCGCTGCAGTGTCCTCATGAATGCTAGGCCAGTCGACCGAGCCATTTGTGGCAGAGCACTTTATTATTTTGTAGGAAAGATACCCCAACCCCGCCTCCGGGAAGAATCTCCAGGCTCTCAGCTGCCACCAAGGTGCTTGGCGTATGGCTCGATTCGCGGCAGGCTACGGTGACACAGCGCGGCGATCTCTCTGCAGCTTCGGAAACAAACCTCAAAGGGTCGAGACTCGACAAGCGCGACTGGGCGGTGAGAAGTCGATGATCTTGGAGACGCACGAGCCATCACTACCTACTGCATAGTACACCTAAAACGACTGCTCACCCGACGACGCTGCTGCAGGGGCGTCCGGCAGCTGACTGAAATCTGAATTCGAAGCGGAATGGAAACTGGATTTCACCACCTGACTTTTACCTAAAGGGCACTCACCCTCTTGGCCCTCTTCGACACCCTTTTTTTACCGTATGAAACTGGGGTGCAAAGCCAATGACTGCCGCGATCTTCTACCACTCCACCGCTCATCTGGCCTCGCCAAGTAGTCCATCTCGATATGCTACAGAGGCTAGCAAGGGACCGCTCCAACTTCTCAAACGTCTAGTCGCACCGTGTACCAAGAGCCAATTGAAATCCCCTGCCCCTAATTATGCATCTTCTGTCCATCTCGTTGAAATATCATGTCTTCTCCCACCAAAAAAGGAACATCACCGACGACGCTCTCCGTGCTCTCCCTAGACACAACCTCTGCCTCATCCCCATCACCAACCGGCGATAACACCCCACACGCCCTCCCAGGAACATCCTCAGCCTTCACAAGCGGCATCGGCACCGCAGGCGCAAGTGGACACGCGACACCCACAGTGTCTGCACGACGCACAGGTACAGGGTCCTACAATCTCGACATCAGCGGAGAAGAAGACCCACACGTTACCGTTGACACCGTCTCGGGTACTACTACAACTGCGACCTCGACCCTTAAATATAAACAACAATTTGATCTAGCGATATGTGCGGACGACGACGCTGGTAAACACACATACGCAACGTCAGATCTGAACTCGGACCCTCTCGATATCGAAATGGCTCCCATCAGCGGAGCAGGGGGCGGCCACCGGCGCCGGAGAAGCAGTCTTATGAATCCCGTTGGCGCATCCAGCAGCAGCAGACACCGATCTCCTCGGCCACGATCATCAGCAGGGAAGGGAATTGATTCAGACGAGTCCAAGTTGGTTGGGGAGGATACAAGGGTACAGGAAGTTGCGGGACGCCATGACGGACTCAGCGATGACGACTTGTCGGACGAGGACCTCCATATCGACGAAGAGGCCGGCTTAACAGGTGCGGAGAGACGGAGGAAGAGCGCCAAGAGAAGTCGCAACACCCGACTTGACCAGAGGATAGCGAGGGACAGAATCTCGGAAGCAGAGAAGCTGGAGGCGGACAGGGCGGTGCTTAAGAATGCTGTCATCAACGTGACACTGATTCTCCTCTGGTACTTCTTCTCATTAAGCATATCCTTGGTAAGCAAACACCCCTTCTCTGCTTGTTGTGACCGGACAGAGGCTAACCTTTCCCACTATCACCAGTATAACAAGTGGATGTTTGACCCAAAGAAGCTCAATTTCCGATTCCCGTTATTTACTACCGCCACACACATGCTCGTGCAGTTCTCCTTGGCATCCATTGTTTTGTTCTTCTTTCCCTCGTTACGACCAACAAATGGGCACAAGTCGGATCTGGGCCAGTCGAGGCATGAACCGGAACGGCCCGTTATGACCAAGTGGTTCTACCTCACCAGGATTGGTCCCTGCGGATTGGCGACCGGCCTCGATATCGGGCTGGGCAATGCTTCGTTACAGTTCATCACCCTCACCTTTTACAGTAAGTTGCTCTGCCGAAGCCCTTGTACCACTCGTGTTACGACGGTACCCGTTGCTAACCACTCTTCGCAGCCATGTGTAAATCCTCCTCGCTAGCCTTCGTCCTCCTCTTCGCCTTCCTCTTCCGGCTCGAATCACCCACCTGGCGCCTAGTAGCCATCATCGCGACCATGACCTTCGGCGTCGTAATGATGGTCGCTGGCGAGGTCGAGTTCAAACTGGGCGGCTTCCTGCTCGTCATCTCGGCCTCCTTCTTCTCCGGCTTCCGCTGGGGTCTGACCCAGATCCTGCTTCTCCGCAACCCGGCCACGTCCAACCCGTTCTCCAGCATCTTCTTCCTCGCCCCCGTCATGTTCCTCAGCCTGATGATCATCGCCATTCCCGTGGAAGGGTTCTCCGCCTTGTTCGCCGGCTTGAAGATCATCGCCGAGGAGCACGGCATGCTCATGGCGCCCTTGCTCATCCTCTTCCCCGGAACCATCGCCTTCCTGATGACCGCGTCCGAGTTCGCTCTGCTGAAGCGTACCTCGGTCGTCACCCTCTCCATTGCCGGCATCTTCAAGGAGGCAGTCACCATCTCGGCCGCGGCCATCGTCTTTGGCGACACCATGACTGTCATTAACGTTATGGGCTTGCTCGTCACCTTGGCCGCCATTACCACGTACAACTACCTAAAGATCTCCAAGATGCGTCAGGATGCGCAGAATAACGTTCACATGGCCCACATGGCCGGCGGCGGCAGTGGCAGCGGGTCTTCATCTTCTGCTTCTACCAGCCGCAGCGGAAGCAGGAGTGGAAGCGGAAGCAGCAGCAGTGAGAGAGACGGAGAGGGTGAGGATGTCGAGGACGAGGGCAGGGGTCTTCTTGATGGCGCTGTAGCGAAAACGCTTTTCACTGCTGATGGGGATGCGGTCAAGCGGAGCCCGGATTCGCCTGCCACGAGAGGGAGGGGGCGGTCGGCGGATCAGAGGCATAGGGCTGACTGACCTTTTTCTCCTGTTAATTTTTTTTTCGTTTCCTTTTGTTATTACGGGTTGGCATCTATCTCATTGGGTTCTGGTAAATTATTCTAACCACACACACGCATCTGTGCATACAAATATCAGGTCGTTTCATTTGTCACATCTATTAAGAGGCTTGATTTGGTCTTGCTGCGTACTTAAGGAGTCAGGCATTCATCTGTTTGAAGAGTGATACCCATGATGTATGTTAATCTTTAACAACAGAACACTGCGCTGACAAGAACGACATAATGCTTTGAACCCTCAAACACAAACCATCTGTTTAATCATACCGTGTAATTCACTTGAGTTGTATTCTTGGTGGTACTCGTCAAGGACCGATATGGTGGTCAACTCTGTTTATTGACCTGTCCGTTCCATGTCATATATAACAACACAATACAGTCTTCCAACTGATGCCCTATCATCCATCCTGGGTATAAAATTGCTCCCCTTGCCACAAGCTGACATTGCCCGCAGCAGGATATGATACAACGCAAGCCACTCCCCACCAGAAATTTTGTTTATGTGCTTCGTCTGAGTATCCAGAACGCCATCGCTATGCTTTTTTGAAACCGCTAAAACCCAACAGGAATGAAATGTTTGGATTCACCTTCGCCCTTTCCATTCTCCAGTCTGCCTCTTTCCACCGTGAGCGCAGCGTGAGAACCCCATCTGCTGGTCCATACTGCCACATACGTCAACAGTCTACCGGCGTTCGCCTGCCGCCTCATAATGTCGGCATCGACAAGCCGGGCACAATTTCAGGTCCTTCCACCTCAGGCGAAGGACCCAAGTCTCAGCCAAACCTCAGGACCCCAGTGTACTCGCTCATTCCAAGTCCATAGGGTCGGCTATGCTCTGGTCGCCAATCGAGCTCAGCCCGGAACTGGGCGGGCGTGAATCTTCCCTGTCGCCGTTGATGCCCTCCGGCTCGTTCTCTTGGGGTTGTGGTTGTGGTGTCGGTCGTCGCGCGGCTTCCTTCATCTTCTCCTCCCATACCGAGATGCTGTGGTATTTGCCGCCTTCCACTTCGACGTTGCCGTGTTCGATGCATTTGCCGAGGAGCGAGCCCGTGTAGCGGGAGTCGTCGTCGTTTTTGCTGTGTTTTAGTTTGAGAGCTAGAAATTAAGGGTTTTGTTAGCCGAGCTGACCTTGCTTGTTGTATAGAAGATGGAGATAAACTCACCATTGAGATAATCCGTCGCCTCATCACTACTGTCGAGCGCTATCCTCTTGATCTCCTTGTTGACCGGACCCGCCGCCCACGCGACAAACGCGTCCACCCCCCGGGTATCTTCCACGCCGTTGTACAGCTGTTCGAGTTCCGACTTCTCGGGCAGCAGAGCGCCGATCTGCTGCAGAGCCATGCGCACGTCGACTATTGTTGGTACCAGCTCGCCCGTCTCGGACTCTTCGTTGTTGTTAGCGGCGAAGGCGGCTGTGAGGCGACAGAGCGCGTCCAGGTAGCGGGCGGCCATGTCCGTTACTGAGTCGAGCACCGAGGTGCGGGCGCCGTGGTAGCCGGCTGCGCGGAGGATCTGGAGAATCGATGGCCGGAGGAGGGCGTGGTAGAGGTATGGTGGGGGTGTCATGTTGGCGAGAGGCAATCGGTTTCAGCTATGATGTTGGAGGATGGCGTCGCGTTGCTCGAGAAATGTCGTTTTGAAATGTTCTCGTCTAGAAACGAAAACCCGGGCTGGCTGGATATAATAGCAATCGAAGAGGTAGGTGAATGGGCGCGCTCCAGATCTACCATCCGCGCCTGGCCTCGTGCACTTGTTGTTCGTTGTCGAGACACTGTCTTCGATGTTTCGGGTCTTTTGATTGTCGATGCAGTAACGGTAATTAGTAGTCAGAGCCAGAGGCTGATCATATATACCGAGAAAATACTCCGTGGCGATAGCAACGCGTTGCTGGCGACAGATGGAAATTGGTTTCCTTTAATTCAATCGCGGGCGACGAGGTGGGTTTTCCATATCGGGTCTCGTTGAGGGAGTTCAGGTTGCGGCATGCAGCTCTAGTGGGGCGGGTATCGTTACGGTTCTTGGCACTGGGTCCCTTCAACGCTCGCCGGAGGTAAAAGTCACTGTGTAACCTTGAAGTCACAAGTAACAGTGAGCCAATATGTGCCAAGAGACATTTGGTTATTGAGAGTATGATCGACAATAGGGAAAAGAAAGATTAGATGAAAAGTAGAATGGCAAAGAGAATTCATGAGGCTCTTGGCGAGTGAAACTGAGGGGGCATTAGCTCCACATCGTCACAGTGTCGTGCAGCTCTATTCAAATAAGAGGTTGAATAGGTTATCGAGGGATAAACCCCTTTTTGACAATGGCAAATCTTTCTTCCCACTTGGGCCAGTGGCTTAGAATTGGGTTATGATGTTCAGAAGAGCACATGTCAAGTCGAAGTACACCAGGATGTTCTGGAACAGTTGGACACTCCATCCCAACAGCACGTTCCTATTGTACCCCACCATTGCCAGGGCTGCCGCTGAGCGACCCGGATATTCCGACTGTGTCCCATTCCAATCCGACTGTGTGGGGCCATACAAACTCGCCGCCAGAGACAGCCAAGACCCCAAGCTTGGCATCTATCGTTTTTGGGCGTGCAATCATCACCAAATGCCATCACCCAAATGCGCACTCGAACATCGCGACACTTAAATATCGCAACACTCAAACATCGCGACAACAACGTCCAAATGAACACTCCTTCGCAACGCAAAACACATTCTCACGCGGGGACCATTCGCAACGCCAAAGACACATTCTCACGCGGGGGCCTCTCACCGGCCCCCTGCACCCCCGGAACTAACCCTAACGCCTAACCCTAACCTCTTGGGCGGCCCGACGCAAAGAGAACATGACTCTGCCATTGGTCGGACATGTTCCACACAGTCGGATTGGAATCGAACACAGTCGGATTATCCGGGTCGCCGCTGAGGAGCCAGTGGAGTCTCAAAGCCAAGCTCCGATTTGGACCGTGCGACCGCGGACTTTAGCCAAAGGTGCCCACCCACTTTAAACATTTCGCTGACCTTCGTTGCATCATTTCCACTTTCAGAACGCGCTTGTCGCAACAGCGGCTTTGATAGCTGCACTGGAAGCGCGCCTCACTTTCCTCCAGTCCTCCCCACCAAGAAACCTCCCGCTTGCGCCCGCCAAAGACCGCCAAAGAGCATACCTCGGACTCATTCAACTCATATCCCACGGCAGCAACAAAGGGGCAGCGCGCCTGTCCGTCATCAATTCGCCCTCACCGAACCTCGACAGCTCCATCATTGTTCAGTCACGACCGGTTTAATACCTAACCTCGCGCCGGTGCCTCCCGCCTAGTTCGACGCCGATTAGCCATACTACGCCATTAGCGATTGGGCATTTGCTCCCAGTGCTCTCAGGATCATTCGCTTCACCTATTTCTCAACGTTTCCAAAGTCGCACGACCTCAAGACGCCGCAGCAAAGCTCCGAAACGGATCACCAGAGCGCCTCGCGCAACGACAAACAGCAAACATGGACCCACCAGGGCCAGTCAAGCGGACCTTGACGCTCAAAATCAACACTCAATCCAATGGCTCGTCTCAAGCAGTCAGGACGGGATCACCGGCAGTTACACCTGGTCCTGGCCATAACCTCTCTGCCGCTTCGCCACCTCCTCAGACACCCGGGGGCTCGCAGGGCCCACGCAAGATCAAGCTCAACGTCAAGGGCACATCCTCACAACCACCAACGCCAGCCGGGCCGAGACCGCCGTCGATTTCCAATACTTCATCCCAGCCGACACTACCACGGATATCAACAGTAAGCTCTGCTGCTCCCAACATATTTATGTCCAAGCCCAAGACGGCAAATAAAGTCTTCTTGAACGCGGCGACTAGAAAGAGACCAAGGGAAGAGAGCGAGGCGGAGGACGGTCCGACAGCGAATGGGATTGGGGGAGAGCCAAGGCCCAAGAAGATCACGATCAAGGCACCTTCGGCCACAACCCCGATTCAAACTCCGCTTCTGGCTACTAAGGTTCGCTTAAAACCGCAGGGTCGGATACCGACGCGACCGCTAGGGGAGGGCTACGATTCGGAGGCCGATGATAGGGAAGTCGACCCGGTAATCGAAGAGCAGCTGATTTTGCGCATGATGCCTGGCGAGCACTGCGACTATCTCCGGAAAGCCGTGGCTGAAAAGAAAGTGGGCGTTCCTAAACATCAGGGTGGCGCCGATGTTACAATGAAGTTTCTCGACGAAGAAGGACGACGAGTTATGTTTGTCATTCAAGGACAACCGTACGCCGCCATTCTGGTCGATCTACCCACAATCACGGAGGGCATGAAGACGTGGGACAAGAAGTCAATGGTTAAGTCAGCCGACATTTGCCAGATGATCCTAGTCTTTGCTAAGGTCAAGGACGAGGCAGAAGCCAAGTCGGTTCCTCTACCAAAGGCTGTCGAGCATGGCCATAGGTGGCCCCATGGTATCACCCCGCCGATGCATGATGCACGAAACCGGAGGTTCAGAAAGCGCCTCAGCAAACTAGAAATCCAGAACAAGGAAGCCGAGGTCGAGCGGTTGCTGGCAGCAGACAGAGAAGCCCTCAGCTCCAGGTACGAACTTCTGGCAGAGGGCGGGCAAGGAAATACCGCTGCGCTCGAGTCCGATCACGAGTACGGGGACGAAGACGGAGGCATGGGAGGTGAAGAGGACCAACAAGACGACTATTTCGGTGACGCAAATATGCACAACCAAGACGACGACAACCTCTTCGACGATCTCGAGGCAGAATTCGAAAACGCGGCAGATACGCCCGCCGAAGCAATGGACGCCATGGACTTTGGCGCTGCCACGCCCACGGCGTTGGGCGGCGGAATGGATCTTCCCACACCCCCCACCGCCAACACGGGTACGCCTACCGCTGCACAAACAGAGGAGAGTGCGGCCGAAGCAGTCAGCGAGGAGGACGAATCAGATGAAGACGACGAGGATGATGAGGGTGACATGGACGATGACGGCGATGAAGAGCGCCATGACGAGGTGGCGGGAGTCAAGGCTGAGATTGCCACCCTGAGGAAGCAGCTGGCCTCGTACGAGGAGCAGCTGTCCAAGGCAACGAGCATTATCATGAAGAAACGTCTGGAAGGCAGCATAAAGAACATCAAGTCGGAGATCAAGCTGAAGCAGTCTTCGATCGGCGAGGTGTCCGAGGAGGATTGAAGGGGATAGCTGAACCAAGCTGTTATGGACCTGGAATCTATCTGGAAAGGATTATCGTATGGCTATATCATATCATACTAGCCAAAAGAATTGGCAGTCAGTGAATAGCACAAGATTAGAATGCCCACCGAATGGCACAACAACACACAGCATTTGTTAGGCATTATAGCTACTGCTGCTTAGCGAGCAACACAATATGAGAATTAGAATTACGAAGCATCTCACATTGACTTTCTTTGGGTAACTTCCACGTCTATTGTCGCTTATCACATGTATTTGTACAATTCATTTTTGGGTTGAAGCACAGAGGATGGCTCTCTGCCTGTCCACTCCAGACGTCTAAACCCCTCCACCGTCCCAAAGCCGTATATAGTTTTCTTAACACTCGACACCTTTTCCCATTTCCTTCTCCGTGCCCGTAGCCATGCCAGGAATCCGTTCTTTGATGGTTTGGATATTAGTACAACACAAGAGCCCACCACACCAACTCTGCTTCTGCCGCTGCTGCCGCTGCCGCTGCTGCTGCTCTTGCTGTCCATCCACGTACCCCTTCTGTGCTTCCTCCTCCTCCTCCTCCTCCTCCTCCTCCTCCTCCTCCTCCCTCGTCCCTTGTCCTCTCAAACCACCACCAGCAGAACCCCTTGAACTGCTCACGCTTACATAGCCTTAAGGTAGTTACTCTCCTTAATCTTAGCCTTGCGCTCCTTGCGCATCGCCTTGCGCAGCTCCTCCCGCTTCTCGTCCGCCACCACCGCGTCCGCCACGCCCGCGTTCACAGCTCCAGGAAGGTTGACCGACTGCTTCTGTAGCGGGATCTTGGGCGCCAGGGCCTCGAGGTCGCCCGAGGCGAGCAGCTTGGCCTCTTGGGCGCGCGCGCGCTTCATGGCTAGGCGACGCTGTTTCTTGGATTTGGCTGTGGAAGGAGGGGGGTTGTGTGTTAGTTTGGGTTGGTTTGGTTTGTTACTCAAGGGAGGGAGATATGGGAGGAAGGGTCTGTCTCTGGATGGGTTGTGGAAGGGGCTGGCTGGATTGGTCGGGGGGAGGAAGGGAAAAGAAAGGTAGGTAGGTAGGTTGGCAACATACAGAACTCATCACCGGCGTCCGCATCAGCAGCATCGTCCGTCTTCTTCTGCACCTCCAAGCACCTCCAGAGCCACTCTGGGTACTCCTCGTCTGGCAGCGCTACGGGATCCGCCTTGTTCTTGAAATAGTTGAGACCGTTAAGCTTGGTGCCTGCCGGGCAGGACGAGATCGACGCCTTGGGTTGTTCTGTCGTCGCGGCTCCTGGTACTGGTGCGAGGCCGGCCTCGGCTGTGGAAGTTGCTGGTGCGGCGGCGGCGGGGGTCGCTGCGGGAGGAGTGCGCACGCTGAAAGTGGTGCTGAAGGCGGCGCGCGAAGTAGCGACAACCATGGGCCTGGTGACGGCGGCAGCGGCAGGGCTGGCGAAGCCGGAAGCCCGGCGCAAACACGTTCGGCAGATCATGGCGATTTTCCCGGGGGAGGGATCGGAGTATGTGTGTGGAAATTGTCGGCGGTCGGCGGCGGGGAAACACACCAAAGACAGATCGGATCGGTGGGCGGACGACTCGCTCACTTTCACGGATGCGGATGTAAAAAGGAACACCGGCCGGAGTGGCTTTCGCTCGGCCTGGGGAGACGGACACGGGTTGCGCGCGACGAATTGGAGGGGTGGGACGGGAGCTAAAAATTTCTACGGCGGGTGGAAAATAGCATTTGGGCAATTTTGATATTGGACAGGAACCGCTGCAGCAGGGTTCCCAGGGCTGTCATAAGCAATGTATAGTCCAGACCTGCGAGCTGTACAGACAACCTATCTGCAAAAAATGGAGGCCAAATTGAGTCCTGTATTCCTCTAGTCCTCCGTGTGTCTGTTGTTGCCGAGTTCTGCTGTAGTGTAAATATTTACATGCCCGCTCGTAAGTCTCATAAAAGGGCCCGAGCACTCTCTGGGGGTTGCTGAGGCCGGATGTCTGAAAGGGTGGTCCGCGATGATATGGGGCCCCTTCCTGGTTCGACCATGACTGACTCGCTCTCCGGTTCTCGAGCGCACTGCCCTGCAAACTCTCGCTGCCCATATCATTCCAGCCCCAAATCAGCTCCAGTTTGTACCCTCCGGTCCGTTCTCAGAATGCTGGTGGAGAAATCATTGCTTTGGCTGGTTCGCGAAATGGTTCTGCTGCTCGAAAAGATAACCCTGGACACGGTTTTCGGAGAGTAGCTGGAGGTAACGTTCTGCGCCAGAATTAAGTCAGCAAGAGAAGGGAAAGCACCACCGCATGTCTGATCGCATGCAATTCCTGAATGGTTCTGCCGCCAAAGGAGAACCACGGGAGATGCGAAGCACTCTTGTACCCACCTCTCAGATGTCCGCACTTCTCCAGATGGTTCACGCCCTCCTTGTAGTAGCACTTGGACAACTCCTCCCGCACCAGGCGACCCATCATAACTCGGACCCATTGCTCGCGGATGATGGCATCCTGGGCCTGCTTCAGGCGCTTCGTATCATTGTAGTCGACGCCGTCGAAAGTAGGCGGGACGGTGGGCTTCTTGGCCAGGAAGGCCGCCGATTCGGGAGTAGGCATTGCTGCTAGACGTGGGCGACTCGCGAGAGAAGACCGAAAGTACGGTTGTCGTCAATTAAGCTTGTAGAGAAAGGGACGCAGCTTATCGTCCAACACTTCTTCGTCTCGTCGATGATGCCGTTGCAACCAACACGGCGCATCTCCAAGCTCCAAACGGTGCCCCGGTCGTATGGTGGCTCGAGCTTTACGGTGTGGGGTGAACACCTGGGAAACCAGGCAGGCAGGGGCGCGCTAGCCCAAATACGGTTCGTCTCTGGCACCATGCAGCGAAGTTGCAATTGACTGGGGTCGTGGGCCGTGGCAGGCATGGGAATTTTCACAACACCCACCCACCGCGGCCACCGCCTTCGCGTAACCTCCACCCTCCACTACCCCAGGTCCCCTGCTCCACTAAAAAGTCCCATATCCAAACGTGATAACGATTTTTTCTGCCGGAGGTTGATCAGCCAGAGATTTTACGGTACCCGCCACCCTCTGCTCCCCCATTTAAACAGCAGCCTTCCCACCGAAATTTCTTTTCTTCGGACGCATCCTTTCTCTCATTCATCATCTTCATCCTTCATCACTTCATCACATTACTTCACATCAACCGCTATCATGGGCAAGAAGGATTCCGTCAAGGCCACCAAGGCCACCAAGGTCACCAAGGCCGAGCCCGTCAAGGCTGCTAAGCCCGTCAAGGCCACCAAGGCTGAGAAGCCCTCCAAGAAGTCCAAGAAGGAGGAGTCCTCTTCCGAGGAGGAGTCCGAGTCTGAGTCTTCCGAGGAGGAGTCCAGCGACGAGGAGTCTTCCGATGAGGAGATGACCGACGCTCCTGCCGCCAAGAAGGAGACCAAGAAGGCTGAGTCTTCCGACTCTGACTCTGACGACTCCGAGTCCGAGGAGGAGAAGCCCGCCGTCAAGGAGGAGAAGAAGGAGAGCGTGAGTATAACATAACTTCCCATTCTTACTATACACATTTGCTAACCCACATGTGTTCAGTCCGACGATGAGGAGGAGAGCGACTCTGACGACTCCGATTCCGACTCTGACTCTTCCGAGTCTGAGGAGAAGTCCGAGGCCGAGGAGCCTTCCAAGAAGCGCAAGGCTGAGGAGTCCTCCGAGGAGGAGGAGGCTCCCAAGAAGGCCAAGACCGAGGAGGTTGCCGACGACAAGAGCACCCTCTGGGTTGGTAACCTCGGCTGGGGTATCGATGATGCCATCCTTTTGGCTGAGTTCGAGGACTGCGAGGGTGCCAAGAGCGCTCGCGTCGTCACTGACCGTGAGTCCGGCCGCTCGCGCGGTTTCGGCTACGTCGACTTTGCCACCAACGAGCAGGCGCAGAAGGCTTATGATGCCAAGAGCGGTGCTCTTCTTGAGGGCCGTGAGATGCGTCTCGACTTCGCTGGCAAGGATGCCGGCAACAAGCCCCAGGACAAGGCCGCCAACCGCGCTGCCAAGCACGGCGACACCATCAGCCCCGAGTCCGATACCCTCTTCGTCGGCAACATGCCCTTCTCCGCTGACGAGTCTGCCGTCTCCGACTTCTTCAACTCGGTTGCCTCCGTTGCCAGCCTCCGTATCCCTACCGACCAGTGAGTATCCCTTCCTATCTTTTTGTATCCCTGCCGAGCAGAGTCCTAACTGTCTTCTTCTAGGGAGTCCGGCCGTCCCAAGGGCTTCGCCTATGTTACCTTCAACTCCGTTGAGGATGCCAAGAACGCTTTCGATCAGCTGAACGGCTCCGACCTCCAGGGTCGTCCCGTCCGTCTTGACTACGCCAAGCCCCGTGACAACAACGGTGGCGGTGGTGGTGGCTTCGGTGGCGGCCGCGGTGGTGGCCGTGGCGGTGGCCGTGGTGGTTTCGGTGGCCGTGGCGGTGGTCGCGGTGGCCGCGGTGACTTCGGTGGCCGTGGTGGTGGCCGCGGTGGCGGACGTGGTGGTTTCGGTGGTAGCCGTGGTGGCTTCCAGGGCAAGAAGACCACCTTTTAAAGTGGTCAAGTGGGATTCCCGCACACATTGGGGAATGTGATACCATAACCTGAGGGCATTGAAACACAGATTCGCACTGGAGGGCTTAGTGGGTAGTCGGCTTTTGAAATCTTACAGTGTCTCCTTCGTGGGAGATCGTGGGCTTTTTGAGAGATAAATTGCTTCTCTGCTGCATGGCAGGAAGTATAGCGATACCTGAGGGCTTGAAGATGGTGGTGAGCTGGTAGCTCTTTGACAGCTCGTTCGTACATGGCACGTCTGTCCTTTCTCTCATCAAGAGAAAGAAGACCTCTGCCGGTGGGCTTGTTGGCTGGTTCCATGACCCTTTCGCGGTCGTCTGCACTTTGGATTCGATGCATACCAGAACACTGATGGGTTCCAAGTTACTTTACTCTGTGGGCTCGTGGGCTCTTGTGGGCTTTAGCTGACAAAACGGAAGAACGGGGAAAGCGAGGACCTGTACTTTGCACATGCACAAACATGTGTTCCATACAGCCTTATCCAGTCTGTGTTTCGGGGGTGGTTCATCGTTTCCTGTTCTTTTCCGCACATTTGTCATTGCTTCTTCCTGAGGGGTTTCTAAAGAGGGCATCCAAAAGTTGGTTTGGGATTTTTCCGGTACAATCACGGGGTCACCTGGGGGGCACTTAAAAATGGGTTTCGGGTCTTTTCTTTTTTTCTCATATTAGCATTTGCACTTTTTTACGATACATCATCGACGGCGTAACGGTACAGAACACGGGTGATCCTTCTAACGAACATTGCCCGGTAAGTAATCTGATACTCTTCCCCCTGTTTCATATACCCAAGTCCCAACGGACTAGAAGTAGCAAGAAAGAAGTATTGTTCAGTAACTTTGGTTGTTCCATTGATGTGACTTGGTGATATCTTAGTGGTGTGATGCTTTGAGGCGTAGAGTTGTGTACGTTGGCAGGATCTTGAAGCTGCTTGTTCTCAAACACTTTGACCACCATTCAACATGTGCTTTACCATAGTCACAGTTGACTGCGATAGACTCCTCAAGTGTCACGAAGCAAATCTCGAGTTGAACTCATCGAACCTCATTTCTCCAAGTATCCTATCTCAATCCTCAAGCTAAGCTAAAACCAAAACCACGCAACCCAAACTCCCCTTTCCCAACAAACCCAAACAGACAGGCACAAGGATGATGATGATGGCAACTCGTTGGAAGAGAAAAAGAATCTAAACCAAAAGCCAAACCAGGTAACCAAAACCGTATCCCGAAAATAGAAAGAAAAATAAACGTGGAAAGAACAGAAGAAATGAGAGAACTAAGAATGTTAGATAATGCGTGTATGTGTGTGGCTGTCCCTGTGTTGCCCAGATATCCGAGGTATGATCCGTATGCGATTTGTCTTCCCTTATTTCCCGGAGTTCTGTTGGAAGTTGTTTCCTTTCGAGATCGTCTTTCGTCACACATGCTTCCCACATGGTTCCTGGAAAATTGTTCTAACGTATGTGGTTCCATGACGTTAATCGAATATATGGCGGATCTGATTCCTGCCGTAGTCGTAGTTGGTAGCAGCCAGTTACCATTACATTACCATTGCCGTTGCTGCTTCAGTCAATGGTATCCATGAAGCCTGTGTTGTGCAATAGCATGTCGGCTAGCCGACCAGGAGTTCTGTTTTCCCTCCTGTTTCATCTTGCTTTGAAGCCGATGATAAACATGCCACTCATCAAACTCGTAATGCGTCCCCGGCGTCTGCCCACGCACCGCATCAAGATACGCTACACAGAGCCCCCACTTCGTTCTGTATGGCCGATACGGTGCAGGCTTCATTCATTGATTCATTTCTCCATTGCGCTGTTCAAGCAACGACACTCCTCCCAACCGAGCCCCACCTAAACCTCTTGAGCGTTCCGCTCGTCGTAGACCGCACAAACTCCTGGCCGCAACTCGAAGAGGCATTCGACGCAGCTGATCCCGCAGAGGCCAGGCTCAGAGCACTGCTGCTCTCCTGCCGGCCGACTTCACGCCCGATGACGTAGCCGGCGCCGAACCCGACGACCGACACGAGAACTACCACGCCGGCGCTGACCACCCATGTCAACATGGTGGGGCTTAGGAAGAAGGGGGAGGCAGCGTCGTTGTCTGACACCACTCCTGCCGGCGAGGGGGAACTGGTCCTCCGCTTCTTCGAGGTGCGCGCTGGTCTCTGAGCGGTGTTGGTTCCTCGCTTGCATCTTTCTGCTGTGGCAAGACCTTGCTGCTGTTGTTGCTGTTGCTGTTCCCGGCCAGAGCTGGCGGATCGCGGAGCGCTTGGCGCGCTGGAGTTCGAAGCAGTCCTGGCTGGTTGTCGCGTCTTGGTCTGGTTGAGCGGCAAACCGGTTCCGGAAGGACCTTCGGCCATGAGTTCAGACTCTGGCACAAGACGGAACTCCATTGGCTGGGAACTGGGCATTACGCCGGTACCAGCAGGGCCCGGGCTTGCCTCTTCCCGCTTGGGAAGGCCACGGGCGGCGGCAGCGCATGACAAGAGGGTGGTGAGGGAAGCACGAAGCGCGGCGTCGTTGTCGGCTTGTAGAGCTGGGGACATGAAGTTGTGCGATGCGCGATGCGATCGCGTTTGCGAACGAGTCGGCATGGATGGCCGGGATTGCGTGGGATGGTATGGGTGAGATGGACTGGCGGAATGGTGGCGGTGCATCATGTAAGATGGTGGGTGAGAAAAGGCGTTCGGCTGCGGCCTGAAGGCCCCCTGGGCCGTGTTGGTTGGCCGGCCGAGAGCAGTCGCATTCTCATCATCATCATCCGAGTCGTCCTCCGAGTCCACCGGTAGACCACCTCGGAAAGCAGTCTGTTGACGGGGCAAACTGGCGGCCGGATGAACCGCTTCCGTCGAGCTAGTCATGACTCTGTCCTCCTCGCTCTCGGTTTCATCATATTCATCCTGGCTGCTCGTCCCAGCGGGGGGATTCGGTTGGCTGACGATGAAGGAAGCAGGCATTGGTGCTTGCTGTTGGGAGCGTCTCCGTCTTCGAGGGTACGCGTTATTGCCCACCCGGAGGCCCGTGGTTACTATCTCATCCCCTATCGACGATAACGAGGATGACGATGGTTGCGATGTGATCTCGACCCAGGAATCTAGTAGTGATGTGAGCGCGTGTTGTGGTAGGTTACAGGAGATATTGGAAGCCAGCTTACCATCGTTACGGCGGCCATCCACTGGGCGTCGTTGAGGATCAGGGGAAGCCATAGCAGAACTCCGGAGGCAGGACACGTAGACAAGGTTGGTACCGTGAACGTGAACAAGGCAAAGTCCACTCGGGCAATGCTCACCGACAAGGTGAACTTGATCAAACCACAGTCCCCGGAGGATGTCCTAGGGGAACCAACGACTCCCGCCTCCAGACGCGGGAAAGTACAGGAAAGAACGCGGTTTCGTTAAAGGGGGCGAGGAATGATGTTGCCAATCTGGAAAGAAGAGAGGCCCGGTCACGGAGCACGTACGGAGGGTGATATCAAAGCGGACGGCGGAAGGGACCTCGTGAATAGTTACGTATTATCTGGAACTGCATCTAAAGTAAAGCAAAGAGGCACACAAAAGAATGAATCTTGTAAACCAGACAACAAACTGGCCGTGGGACGGTATCGGCTGTTGGGGGACGGAGGCTTTGTTGAGGTGTTCTTTGTGTACGCGAACAGGGAAAGGTGTGTTTGGTCTGGGTGTGAATGGGGGGAAGCCTGCCGTGCCAGGTGAGGTGGTCTGAGCGAGCGGGCAGCTGGGGGAAAGAGGGCACCTGGGCAGCCTGGGCTGTGGTCCGGTGGGCGCTGAGCCATGGATGTTTTAGCGGCGGAGAGCGTGATCCATCCTCTGGAGAACTGTCAGTTGCGACTGGACCTTCAGGCGTGCAAGTCGGGCCGTCTCTGCTTCTGATTGGCTGTGCTTGCTGATCCGGGGATGGTCGCATGCCCATCGGACACTGCGCTAGAGTTAACAAGTCACCCCGAATGACGTGCTTTATCCGGTCGAGCCTGGCTTTAGGCTTATCATAATCGATAAGGCAGTGAACTTCAACCTACTTGCCAGACGTCACTGCATCCGGCCGACAAACTTTTAAGACTCTCCTTCAGGTGCTCAGTTCCATTCTCGCCATCTTATCTTCCTCAGAGTTCGGGCGCGTACCTACAACTAGTTCGTCCCTTCGAACGATTTCGAGTCTGACGACTGTTGTCTGCCCGGTTCGACCATCGCGACTCAGCGATGTATTTGATATGATGTATGGCGTAAGTCGGCTCTTACACTGTAGAGGGTTAAACAGGAATGTAGTAGGAATGCAAAAACCTGTCTAGGCTGGCGATTTGCATTGACGTGAGTGCTTCTCCTGCTCCCCTTGTCGAGCCGGTCTCGCCGTGCGTCCGATGTAAGTCTCATTGGGCAAGGTTGATCAACAGCAGTTCATCTCATAAAAGACTGCTTGGTCGGGAATGCCAACTGCGATGCAACAGAATGAATGCAGACTCTCACGCGAGCACATGTGGGTTGTTAAGCGTCTTTCAACTTCGCCTGCGTATCGGGATCCTGACAACCACGGTCACTTCCATCTCGCACTCTTTTACCGACCCTTCGGTTCAAACTTCCAATACCAAACCTTCAATCACTACCGCTGGCTATATGGGGCTCTGCTAACAGAAACCGACATATGCAAGCTCGCAGCAAGATACTCCATTCTCAGCTTGAGCAGCTGCTTGGGTATCTGCTATCCCATACCGGAGTATTATCATGATTTTTTTCTCTCCTCAAGCTCAGCCTTTCTATCCAACTCACGGCGCTGCTTCCACGAGATCCTCACTGGATGAACAGAAGCAATCGTTCAGCTCCAATGCCGGTGCAACCGTTCGGAGCGAATGCGAGACACTGGTTCATTGAACCCAAGTACCCGTTCTCGAGCCGTTCCGTAGTCCCCATGACAACCCGATCACTCATAATTCTCCATCCTACACCCATTCCGTTCATTCACCGCTAGAGCACGACGTATCATCCACCTCCACAGCCGTGTCCGGCCACCCCTTTTGATGCCGTACAGGAGAGCATACTCCAACCATATAACAACACCTACCTCCTATATACGTCTTTTTAATAGAGCTAAGCTTACCCCACGCTCTATGCAGCTGTGTAACTAACTGCCACTCAAGGCGCATCATTGAAGCTGTCAACGGTATGTCCTTCAAGCCGACTCTGACGTGGCAACCGTTTCCGATCTCCTGCTCTGAATGGAGAAGGTCCCGTTCTCGCTTCTCAAGTCTGCAATAACCCGAATAGCGGCGACGAGAACGGATATCAGACAAGGCTGGGTCACGGCCAGCTTCAAGTATGTCAGCACTCTTATCGCATTGGAGGTGGTACGAGAGGGCTTCATAACCGGTAGCTATCGTCGACCACTTCCCTTTCGGCAGTTATCGCCAAGATTGACGATGAGGAGAATTTGCCAAAAGCCCAGAGGCCAGCACTGAGGGTGCCTTCGACTGCCCCTTTCAACCACACCCCTTTGGTGAAGTTGTGTTGATGACTCGAGTGGTACCTTTTTGCAAGGCTCAAATTGTCCACCAGATGGTCGTTAGAAACGACATCTTTCACTCCACGATGTGCTTCGAATAATACACGGTTCCAAGCGGATCTAGTGTGGTTCTGCAAAAGGGGCGAGGCTCATCAGTGTTACCTGACGTTGGACTATGCGTTGAACCCCTGGGTCTTGGTTCGCCTTTTCGGAAATGATAAAATCAACACCTTAAGACGGGCTCTGGTGGACGCTCAGACTATATCGGGGCTGCCGTATTTCAAGTTATGAATCCCCAAATCCACACACATAACCTCTTTTTTCGCAAGATGACACTCGCACTTCCACGAATCCTAAGTCACCACTCGGCTGTTTCATAGCATCCTCTCTTCTGCTGCCACGTCGACCTTGCGGCTCTGCGCTCATGGACCTCTCAAAGATGGGGAATTGTATGCAGGACGACTTGCACGACATAGTGTTCGAGAATCGAAGGTCTGCTTGGCCGGTCTTCTATTCGCTCTTTAGTGCGGAGCGGCGATCCGAGCTTGGGTAGGAATGCTTGCCGGGCGACTGACACCATACCGTCGTATGGTGTGGGCAGAACCAAGATTCTGGACACCCTTCCATACCCACTGAGACGTTGCGTACATGCAGAGATGAGAAGAAGAAGGGTGGCCGGAATGCGGGGGGATCGCAAACTCCCTGAGAGAGGTATGGGTTTGAGGCTCTGCGGAAGTGGTTGCCGTACTCGTTCAAACCACCATGAGGATCATGGTGTTCCGGAGATGTTGTCGCAAAGCATAATAACGGAAGACTGCCAATAACAAGACAACAGTGATGCATCGGCACACCTACAAGCGAGCGCTATGGCGAAAGAGATGGACAGCTCTCATGATCAAACTTGCGAGCCCCGCTTCGTGAGGATGTGTACGTACTTGAGGCTCAAAATTGGTGATATCTTGAAGTATAAATATGAGTAGCATTAGATGGGGAAGTGAATAATGACTAGTCACACCGGCATCGGCTTCCAGAATCACCACCAGCCTTCAGAATCATCTTTGATACATCTGAGAATCACTTGCTTTCAACAAGTCAAGAAGAGAAACAACATGAGCCAGTCAACCCAGCATGAATCAATCCCATACTATGAGAACACTCCTCTTGAGAACACCCCTCCCACCGCGCCACCTCCTCCCAAAGATGGAGAGGATGATCCAGAGGAGAATGACCCCTTTTACGAGACGAAGGTAAGCAAAGACTCCCATCTCCAGTCTCAGACCGTCGAGCAAGTCTGAACACGAACATCATCTCATTAACAGGACAGTGACACTCCCATCACTCTCCCCAGCCATGGGGGCACCGGGGGCGTGGACTCCATCACATTCAGAGAGAGTCGTCAGGACAGGTCTGAGAGTGAGCACACTCCCTGGTGAGTATCTCTCTTCCCACCATTCTGCTCATACTCTTCGATATTATCCCGATATCCAAGAAAGAATACTAAAAGCCAACAATGTCCAGACACACACACATCACGCCTGACAACAAACACTCCACCACAACGTCACACTCAAGCCGCTTTCATCTTCTCACGTTGGATGAAGAACTTCCTTGTCCCTGATACCCCCTTGGCTAGGTAGGGACTGGAGGTCAATACAAGAAACAACACCAGCACCAGCACCAACAACAATGACCCGGCAGGCATTTTCACGCAATGAACGGATATTTATAACACACATAACACGCAACATATACTCCTTCTCATCTTTTCAGAGGATAACATTTCTACACGTTGGGGGGAAACATCATCTTTGCTATACCCCTTTGAACCTTCCTCGTTCCCCATTCCCCCCCCCCCCCCCCTTTTTTTTTTTTTCTTCTTCTTCCTAGCAACCTCCGTCCTTTTTAGCCCCATCCTGCTTTTACCAACCTCCACTTTTTTTTCCACTTCATTTATTTCGTTTTATACGCCACGTTCTCCTTTTTCTTCTTAAACTTCTCTTTCTTTATTGCAGCTCTGTCCACATAGTCTAGTCAAATTTAGGCCGGTTCAGTTCAGTTCAGTTCAGTTCAATTCAATTCAGTTGCAACCTAGTCTAAAGAGCCACCCACCCACATGTGCTGCAGGTTTAGCTTGAGTGAGGCCCGCCCATCATCCTGTTGTTGTACCTAAACTTTTCTTCCAAACACAGTTCTAAAAACCTTTGCTTTTATTCTGCGCGCTCACATAATGCTTACATACCTACAAGTACTCATAATTTATATCGACCATGGATCTGTGAAGTATCCCGAGCCAGCAGATCCACAATACACACACATCCCAAGTCTATATACCTACCTACCTATGTACTCCGTGATGGCTTATCGAGTTGCTCTCACAGATCTTGACTTGGCGAATGGTAGTAGGAATAAACCGAACACATCACGGTCAGTACCTACATTACACCTTGGTTATACTCTATCACGCATCCAAGCGTCTTTATTGTATGTACCTTTGAACCCAACCTCTAGGGTAGTTAGTTCCTGGATGGAAGAATCATTCCTAATTGATTCTAGCCGATATGTTTCTAAATTATGTATTGTCATCCCTATCTCAGTTTGATAACGGCCTTTCCCAACCACAGCGAGCGGTATTGGACTATCCGTATTCGGGTTATTCCTACGACCGCTCGGCTCCCTAACTATAATGCTTCTATATCAAAGTTGCACAAATTCGGTTGGCAATTGTTTAGTCATTCGGGGGTAGTGGTGGATGGGTAAGTTAAAAAAGACACGAAGAAGACACAGGCGAAACACACACGCGTTACTCAAGTTGTTATCCAAGTCTATTTGCCGCCCATGAGGCTAGCATGTATAATATATTATACTATATGCAAGAAGGTAGAAAAAGGATGCAAACTAGTGTCTGTGCAAGTCGATGCCACGACAAAACTGATAAGTAGCATCTGCGCAATGAAAAGAAACTTGACCGCCTTGCGATGAAGTCAACTTTGACGTCCCTCCTTTTTTCAACTCCCGTCCTACGCATTGTCACTTACTACTCGCTTAGTCCCTCAACAACCATCCATACCCAACCCAATCTCATCTAAGTATCCCATTTCTTCTCCAAGTGCCGGTCCTACAAGGCGCTCAAATCCAACGGCACACTGCTTCCCCTGCCCGCGCGATACTTTCTCGGCCCGCCAATGAACTCCCTAGGCTTCGGGAACGTATCCTCGCTCACAAACTTCCACCTTGGATCCTGAACGATGTACCTCGTACTGCCGCCACCGGAATGCACCGGACTTGGGGACTTGTTTCCGCCTGTACCGTTCGGTGTAAGGATGAAGTTGCTAGGATCAAGCATAGACTTGATGACGGAGCCTGATCGTGCCGATCTCGTCGAGGGCGAGTGGGAAAGCGAAGGAGGAGCTGGTGCCGAGGATGGCGGCGGTGGAGGAGGAGGTGCGGGAGCCGAATGAGGAGAGCGAGGAGGAGCGCTGGGCGGAGGTGGCGGAGGGGGTGCTGCTGGTGAGACGCTGCTCGCGGCGCGGATGGCGGCTTGGACGGCAATGTTCTGGGAGAGGTTGCTGGTTGACGAGGACGGCGGAGGTGGTGGAGGAAGAGGCTGCGAACGTGATGGAGCCGGTGGTGGTCGCGGGGCCGCTGAGGGAGGCGGCGGGGGAGGAGCCGGAGGAAGTGCCGGAGCGCCAAATGAGGGCGGGGGAGGTGCGGACATGGGTGGTGGAGGTGGAGCTGAAGGAGGTGCCGAAGAGTGGATAGCCGCAGAAGGCTTGCGGGAGCCCGGAGGGGGGGGCGGTTTCTTGCCAACTGGCGGCGGAGGCGGCTTTGACGATGCCGAACTCGCAGTCTTCCTGAGGTTGGCCATTGAGGGGTGGAAAGTAGGAGCTGATGGTCGTCCAGGAATCGCCGGGGCTGCGCCGGGAGGCGGGCGGGGGGCCGAGACCGTTGGTGGCTTTGGGGCTGATCTAGATGTCGACTCCGGGTCGGAAAGATATGATGAATCCCGGTTGGCGCCCGTATCTACACCACCACCCGTCTTCCGTAGCTTTGGCATGCCTCCAGCGAAAAGGCCTCCGAGCTGCGGCGCAGCCTCCATGCCCGTTGATCCTCCTTGATTCCGGTCGGCTAAATCGCTGTTGCTACGGGCACGGTTTCCGGGTACTGGAGGCGCAAGACCTCCGGGAGCCTTGGGCAGGCCGGGAATAGGAGGAGCCCCCCCTAATGGAGATGGACCTGGTCCGCTGCCCGATTTTGCGTCGATGATGGGTGCCGATCGATCATTGGTTACTGCTTTCTTGAGCGCCCTTCCCTTGGTGATATCTGTGAGCAAAGCACCCTATGAATTAGTCAGTACTTCTCTTCTGTTGCGGACTCGTGGGGCCGGAAGTGTTCTTTTGGCGCACCCTATTAGGAAGACCGGCAGGTGGTCGGCCTGGAAGTGCTCCGGGGGGAGGGGGCGGCGGCGGCGGAGGTCCCCCCATACCCGGAGGCGGCGGAGGGGGAGGAGGTGGTGGAGGTGGCATGGCGTATTTTGTTGGTTATGTGAGAGTTGAAGTCAATCGGGAGGCGTCAGGAAGTGAGAGACTTGGACCCTCAGCTCGTTGGTTGTAGTTGCGGGTCGAACCGAAATTACCGGTCGATGGGACGTCTGCAGTGCGGGAAACGGGACAGCGCTAAGTATGTCGAGCTCGGTACGGGGTTCTGACGCTGAGCACTGGCGATCGTGTGTAGTGCGGTGGTTGTTGAAGACGAGATGAAGTGCGTATAAGTCAAAGCACGTGTCAGAGTAGGCGAGTGTTGATTGTTCCTTTATGAATGATTCGATTCATGTCCCAGTGGAAGTGGAAGCAGGCTGCGTCACTCCTTTCGAGGCCGCTGGGCTGTTGCCTGTGGGTCAGTGCGCTACGGCGGGGTGCCTTGGATGCCAAGCCTGCAGCATGAGAGCTGGGGCAGGCAGTTTCCACTCTGCATACTAGGTCTGAGGCTCAGCCACTTCAGACACCAGCCACACGATGGAGTTATCGATCACACTGTCTGAATCCAGTCAGGACCTTGAACTCTCACTTGGATTTTATCACTGAGTGTCATCGCCCTATTCTTGAGCCAACGCGTTACTCGATCCTTCCAACCATGACTGTCAAAGAAGGCGGGAATAAGAAAGATTTACAAAGCTGCCCGTGCTTCCCCGCTGTCTTTCATCTGGATAGTCAACCAGTCACCACTTACTTGATACTTTGTCTACCAAGAAACTGATTCTTTGGCAGCTTCACGCAGCTCAAGAAGAGCGCAGGTATGAGACAAAACGCTTGCTCTGGGCTGTTGGCTGAAACAAAGATTGAACAGTCAACACAACGTCTCCGATCGAGGTCAAAGAGCCTCCCCAAAGTGATGAGCTCTTGAAATAAGCTTTCCAGAAGCCGTCGTGGGAGTAGATCTTACGTAAAAGACATCGCATACGGCTCTGGAAGACGTGTAAGATACCACATCGGCTTTGCACTCCCAATCTCCCGGACATGTTGTTTGACATGCTGGCTACGAGCATCTCCTCCCTAGTTGCATGTGTCAGCACCGCTACCTTACTGGCCAAGACCGGATGAACCGTTCCCTTGTCTTTTGGGTAGGATTTCGCTACTCTTTCAAGCTAGCGTACAACGCCGTGGCACAGAGACTAAGAGGCCAAGAGCACCCTATGCACCGATCTGCACCATCGTGTCTAGCTCTTCAAGCTCTCTTTTGACCGCAGCACAAACCAGAGAGCCAGACACTCCGGCCTCACTTCCCCAACTCCAATCACCACCTTTTCTTGACCCCTTTTCCCGATACTACCGTCTACGTGGTTGTTTTCCTTGCGCTTGGCGGAAACCAGGCGCTCTCTAGGCCCTCTCCACACCGCACACGCCTGTCCTCCACCTGCTCTCCGTCGGTGACTCGGGGCGGTGGATATCTCCAACTCTCCCCACCAACTCTCCCCACGGGGTCAGGCGGGTCACGACTCGACGAGTCCCATCGGTATCCCGGTGTGTCTGCTTCACCAAATCCACCCGAGATCCATCCCACTGCAAGGTCTAGGCCTCCAGTTCACCTACCATGCTTCTCCGTCCCTACAACCTCAGGGCCACCACGGCCAACCTCACCGGGCAGCAGAGTCGTCAGGTCTGCGGCCTTATCTACTCCCGCCAGCAACATGCCCGACCGGCGTCTGCGCCCGTGTCTGCGCCGTTTGCCAAGCGCTCCCTGGTGACACTGAGTGCCGGCACACACCTGGCCAAGCTCACCCAAGAGGGCTCAGCCGCGTCGATCGCTGCTGTCCGTATGCTGAGCACCACTAGCTCCCTTTCAAAGGTGAAACGGGTGCCGTCGCTGTCGCAATCCGCCCAGAAAAAGAGTCCCAAGGTTTCCCAGTCACAGAATCAGCCATCGTCTTCGTCGTCGTCATCGCCTTCTGCATCTGCTTCCAAGTTCACGGCCCCGCAGAAACTACCGAAACCCCAGCAGCGGCTAGCCACCGAGACCGCACCCCCTCAAACCCAGGGGCAGCATGCCACTCCCGATCTTGACCGTGTCACCAAAGAGTTTCTGGCCAAGCAGGGCATCCCGTCAGAGCACATGACCCTCACCGCTCTGCGCGCCTTGGTCCAACCAACCGTCCCGTTAGCGGCTTCTGCCTCTGCTACTGTCAGAGACGACAGCCAGTCCCCCGCAGCCGGCGCAGAGGCCGATCAGACGGGTGCGTCTGATCTGCTTGGTCTGGATGCTAACGGCCGGAACGCCCGGGCCTCGACGGCTGCTCCTGAGGGACTTCAGCCTCTTACCTACTTGAGCTTCAACAAGGATGCCGCTGACAAGATCTCAGATGCGGCATATGCAATCATCTCGCATCCTCCTGTTGTCATCACCCCGCTGCTGCTCAAAGAGTATGTTGCTCTCCAGGCCTCCCTTGGCAAGCCCAGGACACTGCCGCACGTTTTGGGCCTATATGCGTACAAGGCTGCCCCCAAGCTTAGCTCTGGAAAGCTGGCCTACGAGGAGCGGAACCCCGACATGCCAAAGAACGCGGTTGATCCCGAGGTTGCTGAGATGGCACTGGACGCAGCATTTGATGCCAAGGACCTTGATGCCGCTGTTGGCATTGTCGAAAATACGTACTCTACCAAGGCTTTCACCCGCGCCAAGTTATTGAGAAAGGCACTTCTACCCATGACGGGCTTGGGACTCACTCCTGTCGCTGCCTGGGCTCTCGCCAAGAACTATGGTACATGGCAAGATTCAATGGAGACTGTTTTGGCGACCAACGTAGCCTTCTTCGGCATGCTGGCCTACATTGGCTTCACTGCGACCATGGGCATTGTGGCCACTACTACGGCAAACGACCAGATGAAGCGGGTGACCTGGGGCCCGGGTATTCCGCTGCGGGAACGATGGATCCGAGAGGATGAACGGGCCGCTTATGACAAGATTGCTTGCTCATTCGGATTCGGGGAAGTGCTTCGTTACGGAGAGGAGGAAGGAGAGGAGTTTGACGTGCTCCGTGAATATATTTTGAGCAAGGGAATGATTCTCGATGCCGTCAATCTAATGCCAGGCATGCAATAAATTGCAGTCTTTGGTTGACTTACGGCACCTATCTATCGAGAGCCCGAGGACGCCATCAATTTCACACGCCCCCCGTGCGGCTCGTAAGAGTCTTGGCACCGAGTACCGGTGGCTGTGAAGTCTTGGGAGACTGAGTTGTTGATATGACCCCGGCCTTCCTAGCTTAACCTCTTTACCGCTTGGTCACCAAGTACCTTAGTTGCCAAGCTAGCGATCGGCGGGAAGACTTACATATCTACAAGCCTTCGAGGTTGCCAAGTTCGTCCAAGAAGTCCCGAATCAATATAGGATGCCTAGCGCCCAGAATGGACACCAGACTAGCTCACCTCCCTTTCCGTGCAGAGGCTCTTCTGCGGCTTCCCACTGTCTTGATGTAAGTACCGGTAATACAGCTAGGGTGTTAAAGTGGAAAAAGAAACAATCATCTACCGGCTCTAAATCTCTCATCTTTCTTTCATCTTGTACCGTGTTCTTTAAGACGTTGCATAGACTTCGACCCAGCCGACCGCAGTCGGTCCCACGTTTTCCGTTCCCCACCTAGAACTAGGCTGTTTCTCCATGTATCCCTAGTCAACAACTCGATCACTACTCCAGTGGGTTGAGACTCCCGCGACTCAAATCTGATCTGTGGCTTTGCCTAGTCGACATCTCCCAGTCGACTTTTCCACCCCCTACGTCACCCCAGTTGCTTGGCGTTTATTATCTACTCGTTGTACTCCTTGTCCCTCCTCCCGATTTCCCATATATATACAAATCCCAATTCCCCATCTGGTCCTAATTGGGATTGTTTGATCAAGAGCTCTGGAGCATTCACAAATATCCTAGAAATCATTCACTTCTATCTCATCTTTACGCAAAAAGTTCAGATCTCATATTCTTTACAAGTCAAACTACATCACTCTTCAGCCTAGCATGGCCGGCGGTTTTGAACCCATCGACCCTGAGCAATGTCAGCATTATGCCGAATTCGCCTCACACCTCGGCCGGACGGCCTTTGATGGGATTTACTGGTCCCTCTTCGTGTTTGTCATAATCATGCTTTTCCTCGCCTCATGGAAGTATTCAGGGTATGTTATCTTTCCTCACTCCTCTTTTCTCTAACAAGCACTAACGTGCTCCCTAGGACCTGCGAGGCGCTGGCGGATTCCAGACCTGGGACAAAGCATTACCGGCACAAGATGCAACGATGCCTTCTCATCTGCTCCGGTTACTTTGTGCTCTCCATCACCGCCGTGGTCATGGAGGTCTACGCCCTATTAGCTTTGCAATTCTGTGACGGCGAAGACCTCATGTCGCTCTACTGGTCTACTTGGACGATGCTGCAGGTCGGCTCGCTCATAGCCATCTTGGGCATTATCCTGGCTGCCTTCAACGCCATTCGTGGTAACAAGAACCCGTAAGTTTTCTCTCCCCCTACTCTCGTCAGAAAACAAATGCTCATTGTACTTTAGACCCTGGGCACTAGCACTCGGCACTCCCGTCCTCGTCGTCGCCGGCATCGGCCACGCCTTCCACGGCGCCATGCGCAAACGTGTCCAGCGCGTTCGATCCAGGAGCTTGCGCTCTCGAAGCCGGGGTAGATCGGAGAGTAGCCTCAAGGGAATCTCGGCCAACGACTTGCCCATGAGCAGGGAGTACGTTTTTTTTTATTTTTTTTGTTTTTTTATACACTTGTCCTTTGCCTTATCTCTACCCCCGGTTCAAATCTGAAACTGCCCCCAACCACAGAGACTAACAACAACTTCCAGGGAGACAATCCGGCTAGAAGAAAGTCCCACCGACGAAAACAACAGCAATAACAACGAATACCGCGCCAAACTCCTCGGCTACACCCCCGAAGGCGCCCCAATCCTCCAATTCCTCGATGACCCCGGCAACAGCATCGATCCCGAGCGCGGCACCATTTTGGGGAAGAACATGACAAACGGACAGATTATTGTCGCCTTTAGGAGATCTATGATTATGGTTTCGGACAGCAACAGCAGCAACAGTAACCTCCCAACCCCGAACGAAAAGGCTTCTTCACCATCATTACTGGTGCCTCCCCCTTCGCCAAGGCCGCCGCCGGTGGTCAGGATTGCTCCTCCGCGCCGTCCGTCTGATGAGGAAGTGGAGGAGGCAGAGGTACATGTCTCCCCTGTTTGAGACGGGGATGTCTTGGATTTTTGGGACGCCACCCACTTTCCGGGTTTCCCTTTTTTTCCACTTCTTTTTTTTTTCTTATCTCTTGGCTTTTTTTTTTTTTGGTGCTTGTTTGTTTGTGTGTTTGTGTTTTTCTTTTTGCTATATCTTGGGTTTCAGGCATTTATGATCGACAGCAGCGGCGCGGCGTTGGGCAACAAGCAAGCAAGCAAGGAAGCGGGACAAGGGCAAGCAAGATTATGATTTTCCACGAACGACATTTTCTCTTTTTGGCATAGCGTTTGGTTTAAGAAAAAAAATAACCTGGGTTAAAGACCGACTTTTTTTCGGGATTTCCGTTCTTTTTTCTACTTTTTTCCTTGCTTTTTTGCGTTTCTTGTTAGGAAATGCCGTACTCAGATCTCCATGTTGTGAGAGATGGTAGATTAGCGCCTTTCTTCCCGCGGCTGGGTTTGCGTTATCTAGATACCCATGACGGTGCGCGCGAGAGCTGAGGGCGTAAGGGTGGGTGGGTGTGAGGGAAATGAGATTGTAGATGCCAGATCCATCTATGCATGTCAGGCTTATCAATCACAAACCTTGTTCGAACATCTACACTGCTTTGATTTCTCCCTTTTGAATGTTTATAGCCCTGTGTTCCTTCGTACCATGTGAGAATGAAACAGACTATTCTAATACTCGGTTCTTCTGTCGTTTTCCACCCTTTAACTATACTGACTAACATCAAGTTCCTTGTTTTCTCTTCAGGGTAGAAACTTCGCATGCATCATTGATTACTTTACACAAATACCTCAACAGTAACAAGATAGGTAACAAGGCAAGGTAGTTACCCGTCCTTGTACCTCCTTCTTATCCGTCATCACTCCCGTACATGCCTAACCTTTCTCCCCTCCGAAGAATCACATAAATTGTATATATCCAGGATTCGAAATGACAAAAATGGATGGATGGGTCGTGTAACATGAATGCCAAGCGGGAGAGAGCTAAGACATGCTCTGATCTAGTTCCAAGTTGTATAACTTCCGGCGAAACACGTGCTGACAGCGAGGTTTACCAAGAGATGCATGTCTTGAGTGCGTTCTACCTCCGAGTATAGAGTAAATATTCACGTGCAAAAGCCACTGCGAGAGAGAGGGATGTTTGAAGTTGCTGTGCTGTAGTGTCTTGACTTCGCCAAAAAGCCAAGAGCCTTGCAAGACACACAAAGCCGAATCCGAATCTAGAGGGCAGCGAGGCAACACATGATCACTGCCTTGTTGGTGTTTTGTCTGAGTAGATACTGTCTGTTACACCTTTACAAATGGAGTCCTGGTATTGTGAGAGGTAACTCAAATTGTTAAGAAAGATCTAATCGGACGGGGAACGAGCGGCGGGGAAAACCGAGGAAGGAAAGAGAAACCTAACCTCCCGTCTACCCACGACGGGAGTCTGGAACCGAAAAGCGCGCGCATTTCACCGTTCACGTGGCCGGCTTTGCTACCAAGGTAGGAGCTATGGTGGTATGTAATCTGTACTCAGAGGAACCAACATCCAAAAAGCGGAAATATAGTTTTTTCATGACAAACTTTCGTCTTACAAATCGGAAATCTACCTTGCACCATTACCCAATACTCACAGATTCACGGCAGAGTTGGCAGAGTAGTTTAATAAGTAGGCCAATCAATGGAACGAAATTCCTTCTTTCAATCTTCCCTTGACATCCAAGTGGAAAGTGAGATGGTTTACCTACATCGTCAAGTCAAGTCCTGCCCCTCCGTCTTCCGGGACCCCGGCCGGTTTGCCCACCGCAGCTACGTGTACAAGCAAGGTACACATGTACACAAGTACTACACAATGCAAGAATTCGGAGGATATGTAAACATCCGGCTTGGTTTTTTCTGTCATCCATGGTTTCGTAGAGAGATGAGTCCGCGCAGGAACTTTCATATGTCATAAAGTGGGAAATAGGTGGGCACTTTTTTCTGGGACTTCCCTATCACGGACAGTAGTACAGTTTCGTCGGTTGGTGTCTGTAGAGGTAGTAGGGTTTTACACAGCCACAATTGATCTGGAATGCTAGATTCCGGGGAAAGACAAGGACAAGGTTGATCCTAAAAGTTTCGTTTTGGATCTCAAGTCCATAACGCCAAGCGGTGGAGGTCTTTGAATCTGGGGGTGCATACAATCCAGCCCTGGTTTGTTTATTAGTTTGGTGCAAAAAAGCCAACGCTTTGCTGGATATAGGAAAGCGTTCGGCTTTCTATCGGTTAATTACCGTAGACCGATATCGTCCAGTCTTGAAGGAGTCGGAGAGAGATATAAAAGGCTTCCGTAGCGTCAAAAACCCTTGTCATTGTCCCATGATACTTCAAATAAAGACCAGTTTCGCTCTTGGGAGGCCAATAAGAGCTCCAGATCTTGCCTGTTCAGCCCTAGTCCGAAGAACTATACTAATACCTAAACAAACCAGTATTGAATTGTACCTACCTATTCCCTATAGTCAAGTCGATCTTCTCGTCAACTTACATACCTTTCTACCTTACCCATCACCGGTGAGCCGCGTACGTACCTATATACCTTAACTGTCTTCATTTCCATCCCAGTCGTGCCAGTGACCTCGATCAGACGGAGTTCATCTCATCTATCAACCCGTCTCCCCGGGATGATATTAACCGCCCAGGCGCCTGTGAGTGTAGAGCCAAGACGGTTTTATCTTATAAGGACTGGGAAAATAACACAAACTTCCAAGTAACATTTAAAACACCACAGACAACACAAGATCTTGGCACCTCTTCCGGTCTTAGACATAAGAGATACAGAGACCTTGACTCACTATAGATATACACAGTATGTACAACCCGCCGTGCCCTGGGCGCCGGCGCATACCAGACATCCCAACTACACCTCTGCATGGATATAACTTGTTAGCGTGGTTTTTGGGGGTGGCAAAGAACTTTAATTTTCATACAAGAAATATCTGGGTTGTCCTTTATTTGGCTCCTGTTTCTTGTAGGATCAACGTACCAAGCTAACAAGTTATATCCATGCAGAGGTGTAGATCATCCTCGTGGTCAATCCGAAACATATGATAGGCTGTTGAGACTACGTCGTCATCATTCCTGGGGTATAGTAAATCATAGAGCAGAGATAAGAAGCGGGAATACACAGTGGGTTTCCAAATTAGAGGGTACCTCTAGCGGGTGCGCCTGCTTACTACGATTTTTACAGACATCTCGCCTAGAAAAAAAGAAATATGGATATCTCCCCGCCATAGCAAAGGTAAGCTAGGGAGATAAGTAGGTAGTTCAAATCCCGTGTCGTATCACGGGAACCTTAAACAATGTATGGATGTTGTTGTTTCCAACCATGTAAACTGCTTACATAGGTGTGGGTGGCCGGGGACAAGCAAAGGAGAACAAGGCCTGCGTAGCTGAGGAGCGGCAGCGGTGATCAGGGGGTGGCTTTCCGCTTTTGAAAGGTTATCGTGGGGGTAGAATAGAAGTTGTACTGTGTATATAAGTAGTCGGAGGAAGAGCAAGAAACGGGCAGACGGGTAGGGAAACACCCGGCAAGGGATTGATGACGGTGGCAAATGGGAGATCATTGAGGCTGTGCATGCGAGATGCGAGACCTGGGTAGCATGCCAATGACAAAAAAGCTGGCACCTTCAGGGCCCGTTTGGTTCATCCAGCTGTTTTTTCTTTTGTATGTGAAATCGACCCCTGCAAATCAGCAAAGTTGATTCATGCAGGAAGTTGGGGGTCAGTTTGCCCATTTAACCCAGCTTGGCTGCGTCAAGAAGTATCGCGCTAAGGCAGGCGGTTTGGAAGGCCCAAGAAGGGAATTAGTGGGCCCATTTTGGCCAATTCTGCTGTTTTCTATCTTCATACCCAAGGGCATAAAAATAGAAAGAAACAGAACCAACTACGAATCACAACCCCGGTCACAACAACAGCGCGAATCACAACCCCGGTCACAACAACGCGTCTTTTAGCCCACGTCTTTGCCTGGTACAAAGCAGTGGCTTTCTAGCTGCATTTTCCGCTTTGTACCCCAAATCAGCACGTTTAAAAAACAGCTGGATGAACCAAACGGGCCCTCAGTTACGCTGATGGCCCATGTAGTGCCCGAAAAGGTGCCAGCTTTTCTGTCATGAGTGGGTAGTTAGCTTGTTGAGCTTGTCCTCCCTTCAGTCGTCACGCTCGGCTGTCCTCCATGCTCTCCATGCTCTCCATGGATCTAAAGATCCAATCCAGGAAGGGTGTATGTATGTAGTGTAACTACCGTGTACGTACTTCGTACGCCATTCAGATATGGTAAGCCAAGAGGCGGCTGAAGCTTGAAACTAGGTATACCAAAGGGGTAAACACTCTCTCTTCTCGTCATTCTGTATCCATATTAGGCATTGTGAAAAAGAGACGGGTGTGAAACGAGCAGAATTTCCAAAGAGGGAGTATGATCGGCTGGGATCATGATGACTTCTTCCTCTTCCTCTTCTTCCCTTTTCCAAACATGGCAATCTAAAATCCCAACCCAACCACGGTTTTTCGTCGATCTCACCGCTAACGAGATCCGAGCCCAACTATCAAATCCCAGACAGCCAAGGAGAGCCAAGCAACGGCCGAGAGAAAGCCAAGAGCCAGGCCGCGTACAGCACCCGATCAACACAATGGAAGCCTTCTCAAGGAATGGGCCAGACTGGGGGCGTAAGGATGGGTGGTTGTGACGTGACTAGGGGATACCCGTATATTGCATAGAGAGATGTTTTCTTGGCTTGCACGTAACCGATATCGTTGATCCTATTATATCAGTCGAGTCTTCTACCCAAGTCAGACTTTATTACCTGTTATCTTCTGGTGTAGCTTCCGGTCTTACTCCAATGTCTTGTCCTTTCTTGGTATAATTTGTCCCGGGTCCTTCCGGTCCTTGGTCTTCGGAGGCGGCCTGTAAACCTAGCTCCACGCTCCGTAGCTGCCTAAACCACCATCCATGTCTCTCCTACCTTGATAATCGCTTTGAAACCGGAGTGATCAAAATCAGCGCTTTTATAAACCCCGTGCGTCTATGGCGTCGTTCTTGGCTTCCGAGTGAAACTGTGCTCTGCCGGTGGTTGTGCTTCCAGACCGTCCTGCACCGCAGTTTTTATCGGGACCAAAAGCTGACCTCTTCCGTGTCCCGTCCCTTGGCGGCGCTCTCGGCGAAAACAAACAACACACGGAGCGGAAAAGTTCGAGACACAATCAACAATGGAAACCTGGCATGCTCCCCTCGCTCTTTTTTCTTTCTTTCTTTCTAGCCCGGTACCTCCCTCATGCTTTCAATCACTGCACCCTTCCGGCCCGGCCAACCTGCAAAATCTCACCTGTTGGCCGGTCATCGCTGCGTAGCACCGGCCAAGAGCTGCCGTCTGCCTTCCACAACGTAACCTCCAGCTTGGTGCCGAGGATCTTGTAGCTTGACTTCTCAGGGACGATGGACCCAAAGAGCGGCACCTCCGTCTTGTACCGTTTTACGGGACTGTCTGTCGTGGGCAGATCCAGGACGATGGCGTTAGGCTTGAACTCGACCTTGGCGACGTCCTTGTTGATCTTCTTGAGGAAGAAAGATGCGATGACTGATGAAGGGGTCTGGTAGAAGTCGGTCCTGTAGAGCAAACACGGGTCAGTTGAGCTGCAGTGGAATGGCAGGATCAAGGAGATGAAGATGGAAAGATTGTTTGCAGGACACAGCCATCCTTGGCCGGCCTTGGCTGCGAAACATGACTATAACGGACGGAACTTACCTGACTGTCTCCAAAATCTCCTCGCCTCCCGATGCGGCCGCAGCCTCCTTCTTCCCGCTGCCGACAAACAAGTGCCGATCCTTGGTCTTGCAGCCCTCGATCTTCATGAACTGATCAAACTCGAGGACGCGGCGCTTGCAGCAGCTGTACCCCTTGCTTCCCTCGTGGAAGATGGGAGCGCCGGGGTGGTGTACGCACTTCTCGCCCTCGCGGCTGGCGCCCTTCTGGTAGGTCGCGCCGCAAGCCTTTCTCCTGCACACGCGGCCATCCGGGATCTCGATTCCTTCCTCGTCATCCTCGGATTCTGGCGCCGGCGGCGGAGGGGTGGGCGCATGTTGCGCAACGGGCGCACGGGGTGGTGGCGGAAGGGTATTGGCGGCGTTGGCGGCCTGAGCCTCGAGCAGTGATTCATCGGCCTCCTTCTTCTCGATCTTGGGAGGAAGATCGGTGGTACTGTGCTTGCCCTCGGTACAAGGCTCAATGGCCATAAACTCTTCGAAGGTGAGCACGCGCGGTTTGCAGCACTTCCATCCTACGCAGCCATGTGCGTCAGCCGGGGCTATCTCTACATTCCGTCGAACTTCAACAAGATTGAATTGGACATGACTTACCCTTCTGGCCTTCGTGGAAAACAGGGGGTCCAGGGTGGTAGCGGCAGACCTCCTCAGGGTCGGTGTAGACCTTGCCGCAACCTTGATGGACGCACTTCTTGGCCTCGGACATGGTGGATGTTTAGCTGCTATCCAATTATGCAGGTGTGAGAACCTTGATAAGACAGTCCACGCAGATTCGCTTGACGTGAATGATGCGCTATCGGAAAGAATTAAGAATGCAGACTGTATTGACAGAAGGTTTGGTCGTTGCTCGTCCAACGTGAACAGGAGGAGGGGTGTGCTTTGTCTAGAAAATAAATGGAGTACGAGATGGGCCTTGTGGAAGCTTCCGCCAGAAGAGCGTGGAACATTCAAGCTTTCTACAGCATCAGCGGCTTCCTGTTCCAGCGTGCCAAGTGGAATTCCCACAGCCCGTGCCGGGGCGGGGAAGGCACCCCGGAGCCGTGAGCTCGGGCCCGTACTGTCGTCACTACAGTGGTCACGTACTCTGTCGTGTTGGCGCGTAACAGTGGGTGTGCCTCCGGCAGGCAAACCAGCCCTATACCTAGTTTGTCCACTTGCAAGCGCCATGTCCGACGTCAAACATCATCCGATTGAGTTGAAGATCAACAACACCAGGGCATATCTCCTCGAGACATCTAAACACATTTCGCTGTGGTTGACTTCACAAACTCTAACAGTAACAACATGCGCATTACAAGCCGGTTATTTCAGCCCTTTCCGTCCCGGATCACCTTCTTCAGGCGTGAAGGCTGTGGTCTATGTGTTCAGGCAAGATCTGTCCTGTCCGATGTCTGGGACCGCCGGCCTTTCGAGTACAAGGAAGTCGACATTGTCAAGCCAGAGTCGAAGGCCTGGAGGGATCTGTATGACTTTGATGTTCCTGTGGTGAGTCTCTTCAACTCGTCAAAACCTTAGGCAAGTGGGAATTGACACTCAGTAACACTTTTACAGATTCACATCAGCAAGGCTCAAGCCCCAGAAGAAGACCCCAAGCTTTCCTCCAAGGCCGTCAAGTTGATGCACCGCTTCACGGTCGAGCAGGTTGAAGCTAAAATGGATCAAGTCGAGAAGTCATGAGAGAGGCCAGTCCAATTATTGGCACCCTTGTATGTCGCTACCACTGCCTCATTCTCGTTAATACGATGCCGGCTTGTCCTGCTTCCCTTGGCCACGCGCAATGGTCAGGCTGTCCGCCATTGCAGCTCCCAACAATGTGTAATCCGTTGCGACACTGATCATATGGAACCCCTTGTCGGCGTACTGTTTGGCCTGATCCCCGCCTGTGCAGAAGATGCCGCACTTCTTGCCCGCCGTCACGGCAGCCTTCAAGATCCTCTCAATAGCCTCATCCAGCTCCGGATCCATCTTCCCTTCGATAATCGGGTGACCGATATTGTTACCCAAGTCGAAAGGGCCAATGAAGATGACATCCACAAGCGGAGCGATCTCTTCAACCGAGTCCAAGGCTTCCTGTGTCTCAATCTGTACCATAGTCAAGAGGCTCTCGTTCGCTTGCTGGAGGTATTCGGTGAAGGTTGGCATGGGGTTGAAGTTTTGCATGGCAATGGGCGATCCAAATCCCCTTTTGCCTTCTGGTGGGAACTTTGCCGCGGTCACCAAGTTCTTGACATCCTCAACGGTCCTGATGAGCGGTGCAAGGATCTAAAAACCGTCAGACATTGGTTCACACTCATAGATACCGCGATGCACTTACTCCATGGGCACCGCTATCCAACGCTCCTGTAAAGGGTATATCAGTAACTGTCCAAGTGGCAAGGCAATATGAACGGCACTCACGCTTGACCATCCACGGCCGAAGGTCTGGGATCCGAACAATGGGAGAAACTCCCAGGGCAGCAATGGCCGGAACTGCTTCATGCATCGCAGCATCTGACCAGTATCATTCAGCTCAACAAAACCCATTATTTACTACCATATTTCCGGTTACCTACCGTCAATATTTCCATGCTCGCAGTCAACCATCACCCAGTCAGCCCCTGATCGAGCGAGAATCCTCGAGATATTGGCCCCCGGCAGCATCTGCCAGACACCCATAGCAGGGCGGCTCTCCTGGGTGAAGATTTGCTTCAACGAATTGGCCGCCAGCATCTTGGAAGTTGGGTTACCGGAAGACATTGTACGGAGTTGGTAAACCGGAGTAACGTAAACAGGTTTGTTCAGTGAAGAGTAAGATGCTTCAGGAGTCTTGAAGTACGAAGGAGAGGAAAGGCATGTCGAGTCATTGGGGATACGGGTGGAAGTTCGGACTAAGTGAACCCGAACGCTTTTAAGCAAATCCGATGACGCTATGAAATCAAGGTTAATACGCAGCTCCGAACCAATGTCCGGCCGCCAAATGCTCGAGGTCAACTGGAACAACTTGACGGCAGATGGCGAGGAAATGTTCAACAGCTAGCCCAGTTGGTGCACCTTCGGGAGATGTTCGTCCCCCGCGTTCGTCTAAGAGATAAGGCGGGGCTCCTACTGCGGGGTTAAGCGGTGATTTCTCCCTCCGCATTCGGTTTCTACCCTGGCTGTTCTGGCTGTAAACACGGCAATCCTCGCTGGTATTCAAGATGTAAATTATCAAATACTTGGAGCTTCTTGAAGCATGGGAATGGCAGGTACAGTACTTTGGACCGTCTCAGAGACGTCTACCTATCAAGCCAAGGTTAACGGTCCGGATGATAGTGATCAACTCGGTCCTGCTCAAACTCGTCAGCTGCTACGCAATTCCCAATGGTACTCTTTGCGAAGACCGGGGGATAGCAATGACAATATCCAGAGAGAAACAAGTTGTATATTTTGCTGGTAAACCACACGAAGACGGCAATCATCCAAGCAGCAACCTAACATTCGGTGGTTGACCTCACCCCAAAGTGGATAAAAGTAAACAAAGCAACACTCCCGTCCCAAAGGAAAAGGGGTAAGCCGATAATACCGCTTTTCGCGGCAGGCAATTTGAGTGGAGAATGGGTCCGCTTGAGAAGCTCCAACCCGGACCTCCACTGACAGTCCGCCGTGAGCCGTCGTCCGTCAGTGATCTGGGCTTGGCGATTCTACCGAGAAGCTCCAGCTTCATGGCGACGTTCTTGTCCCATCCACCACGATTTCACCCATCCCTCCAGCATTACGTATCCACTATTCTTCTTTGACGCGGCGCGCCGACCAGACATTCCTCTTTCGCGATCGATCGACGAGAAACGAAAACATCAATAACGACGAAACCAATTGCACCTTTGAAACCGACGAACAACCAACGACCCCATTCGGGCTTACCAAAACACACGAAGCGAGCAAGCTGCCCTCGAGTTAAACCGACGGACGACTTTGTGTTTACGACTACATACCTCCTCGCTCGAATCGATACTTCGACTTTGAACTTGGGCTTTACGTAGTACTTTTGCTTATCACGGCGTTCTTGGGTCCGCGCATTGCCAACACCGAACAACACAAAATACCATTAACACCCAATTCATCCTTCACCATGTCGGCGGGCTTGGTAAATTCGTACCTTAACAGTTGGTCTTCCTCTTCCATCTTTACGTGATAAGCCTTAGCAGTCGCAAAAGCAATTGGTCATGGCATCCCAAAGTTTAAAGGACATTCGCAAGATCAGAAAGCTAACATAACCATCTATCCCTCACTTTAGAAAAGGTTTGCATAATCACGGTCGATGGCCGCACCCTAGTAGGCACGCTTATCTCGGTAGACATGAGCACGAATGTGGTCAGTAGTATATGTCTTCTCACTCCCACTTGCCCTTCCCCGCCCTCTCTTGAGTCTTGACTTTCTTTCAACCATTAAAAGGGCTTATCGCTAACGACAAGCAACGCAAAACAGTTCCTACAAAGAGCAGTAGAACGAGTCATCCGCTCCCCCGATGACGACGAGCCCTCGGCCGAGATCGAGCTGGGAACGCACATGATCCGTGGCGACACGGTCTGCCTGGTTGGGCTGGTGGACGAACCGCTGGACGCAAGCATAGACTGGACCAAAGTCAAGGGAGCGACGATCGGGACGACGAAGCATTGAGATATACTACGAACCCACGAAACTACGGTTTGGCGCTGCCCTTGTTGCGCGGGACTACGTGCTGTGCATGGGGGCGCGAGTCTTGGTACCATGCTCTCTCAAACCCAGGAAGAGGAGGCAGGAGAAGGAAATAAGAAAAGATCAAGGGAATGGTGTGGCAGGCACGGACACTTCACATAAAAGGGCAACACGGGTGGGTGGTGGGCGTGGCATAAGATTCGGTTGCATCATCTTGGGCATTTGGCACGCGGAGCTACAGGGTTTCTTTCCCACATTGGTATGCCCAATCGATGACTTCTCCCTTCTATCTCTCTGTTCAGACTTATGCTGACCCTGAGGGAAGAAGAAAAATAAGACAAGGCGTCACGAGCAGGTCCAGATCTCGTTTTAAAAAAGAACCAGCGAATATTGATTTTAGATACCCCAGATTCCAAAAACTCCGCGTGGAATAGGTTCGCTTCTCATACAAAAAGAAGAAGAAAAACAAGAAGTGCTACCAGCAGATTTAAGCAAAGAGTCTATCCATCAAGATGGCGGCAAACTTCTCGTCGCCGGGGGTCTTGACCATCCTGTTGATTCTGTTTCCCTTGTTCACGCTCAGCCAGCCCATGTCGTCTCCGGGGATCTCGTCAAAGGTGGTCGCATCCAAAGGATCCGACGGGTGCGTTTCCACCTTGCTTGACTGCTCACTCGGCTTCGCCAAGTGTCGTCTGTCGACGACATGCATGCCCTTGGTCCATTGGCCGGAGGTCTCGATTCTGATATCCTCCGGCTTCGCCACGGGTTCCCATGCGGGATCATCCTGGGTCAGCATGTACCAAATGCACGCCGGGTCGTGGAGGGACAGGCCGGGCTCGCTGCCGTCGCCAAGCATGGCATCAACCTTGTTGAAGATGCCCGTCATAAAGGTCTCGATCCATAGCGCAAGCGGGCTGCCGGACTTGGTGATCGGCTGGATGGTCTCGTAGAAGTACTTCTTCCTAAGCTCGAGCGGGGTGGTGATGTCAAGAGGGAAGAGGGTCAGCTTAAGCTGCTTGGAAAGCTTGGCGGGATAAGGAGGCAAGACGGATTTGCCGTGGATGACGGGGGGCATGGTCGAGGACGGGTTGGGCGAGGTCAGGGCGTAGACGCGGGCGGCGGCAACGGTATCGGCGTAGCAGTTGAACTCGGCGACAGGGGTCACGTTGCCCTCGACGTTTACGGCACCGCCCATGACGACGAGCTCCTTAACGCGCAGGAAAGTCTCGGGATCCTCAGCAGCTGCCAGCGCCACGTTTGTCAAGGGACCAACGGCAACGACGGTGACAGTGTTCTCTGGCGACTCCTTCAAGATGCGGAGAATCTCCTTGTGCGCCGGCGCCTTGCTTGGGGTGAAGTACTTGGAGTACGAAGGAGGCTCAACATTTGCGCCCTGGGGCTCTTCGTCGCTAAACAGAGAGCGCCAGGTGTCGGCGGGGGAAAGATGGGGTTGCTGGGACGATGGTCAGGCAACGAATACGATGGTAGCAAATGTACGCGGTCATAGGAGCTCACTTACCTTCTCGTGGACGCCATGAAGACCATCAGCTCCATCTACAATCTGTCAACTACTCCGTTCGTGTTCAAACAATGGGAGGTCTCGGTCTGTCTTACGAAAATGGTCGGCCGCAAGGATCTCATCCTCCAGCGCATGCTCCGGGCCAACGGCGACAACAGGCTTATAAGTGTTGAGGGCACCGAAGCCGCGGGTGCTCTTGCCCGTCTCCTCGCGCCACTTCATCTCCTTTTCCAGCACGTGAAACAGTGCAACGACGTTACGGAGACAGCTGCGGGACGGGGGAAAAAGAATTTGAGGTTAGACAAAAGCTGCCGCTACCCGGGATTCAAACATGCCCATCCATATACATACCTCTGAAGCGGAACGTTGCCGTAAGTGACCGAGATCATGGCAAGCTCAAGCTCCTCGGGCGAGGCGCTGAGGGCGAGAAGCAGAGCCAGCACATCGTCGACGCCGGGGTCGGTGTCGAGAATGATCCGTTGCTTGGGAGCCATGGTGGCCTTTTTCTTCTGCGAATTATCCGTCAGTCTTTGAAATGTGTTCAGTTGCTGGTGAAAATATATGTATGTGAGGAAGGTTGGCGGAGTGATGCCGAGCGGTTCACCTCTGCGGGTTGTGTGTGACGTCTTGAAGCAGCTCCGGTTTCCACCAAAAGGTCAGGTACCTACTGGATAACGGGCAGGGGTATAGACGCACTGGACACTGGAGAAAAAAATACGGGAGTAGAAAAAGCGAGAGTGGTCTTCAAAAAGGAAAGACTTTTGAGAATGAAGTTGAAGTCAAGATAAGCAACGAGCTATGAAAAGCGCTTTTCGAGTCTCCCAATCCGACGCGGGGTCAACAAGCCCGAGTCTTGGGGTCATTAGCACCGGCTCCAAGATTCGCTGTGATAGGAAGGTGGGACGGTCATCGCAAGTACTCCCCTGGTAGAATGGCAACACAAAAGGTACACACCATCGGATCTACTCAAGTGACCCAGTTGTGAGTTGTTCTTTCCTTCCGTCCAGGTTTTGCTAACGCCGTAGGTGTGTAGAGCCTCCATGTCCGACTTGGTAGCTGCGCCTAATCCCGTCTCTTGCCGTGGCCCGTGATTTGGACGGCCTGACGGTAAAAGGGGTGGACGGACCTCGACCTCAACCCCCGCTGCCGGCCGGTTCCAGGACGGTGGGGGCCCGGGCACAAACAGCCGGCGGTCACTGCGGTGGGGCTTTTGTTCACCAAGTTGCGTTGCACATGGCAGCCAGATGATGGCTGGGTCACCATAACGTGTTTGTCCAACCAAGGCGATACATACAGTCCGCTTGCTGGTGATTGGATTTGTGGGTTGAGTTCTGTTTTGCAGGTAGGTATAATTTATAAACAAGATGCAACACTCAATGGCAATCTTTAAGTGCTCGGCGATGATAAATACGGCCCAGGGATAAAGTCTGACGACGCTCACGTCTCAGTCCCCCGGCTCCCTATGCCGCGAAGGTAGACAACGATATAGTATATACGTCGTGGTCACGATGAGACACCAAAATGGTTGAAACGTTCAACTGGCCGACCATGCATTGTTCCATTGCTGCGTTGAACATGCACGCCGTGGCCAACAGACACACAACTTGGAACGTGGGACTTGAATGAGATTATAAAAGGCTTCCACTTTTCCGGACCTCCGCATCCATCCTCTTTTGCTCCAAGCGAAGCATCAACACGGGATAACGAAACACAAAACATCTCAGACTGGCCACGTCCCTTGTCTTGTGTTGGAACGACACAAGGTCACGTGATCTCGCACCTCGAGGGTCCTCACCACCCATTCCTCGGGTGGCAGGGGTATCGACCTCCTGGCTTGCAGCCCGCAGGACCTATCTCCGCGCAACACAGTGGCGGGCCAATGAACGGCGCAAAAGGAACCTCTAACATCTGAACACCTTTCACCTGCGGCATCCACCCACCAGACAAGGTCCCTCGACCGACTTCGTTTCCAGACCCAGACGAGGCCATCTTTTTTCTCTCTTCCCCAACCCGTGTTCCTCAACAAGCACCGTTTAATCATCCACTTTCGACCACATCGTTTCTCTCCGTCTACCCATTGGTGCGGAAAGGCAGATACACGGTTTAACTACCTACCTTACCTTGTAATCATCCTCGTTACCCCACGACGTGGCAGCGGATTTATAGGTGGTCCATCCTCCTATCTCGACATCGCCAGCTCGGATCACCCTACCTTATCCCCGACCCCAACGGACATTTGAAAGGGTCTCCGATCTACCAGCTTCCCCAATTGCCCCCACAGAAGCTTCGGTATAAAGCTACGATCATTGCTTGAACGCCATCGGTCCCTCCCAGCGACCTCGAAGCTCACCACCTACGCGTCCGACCCAGCGTTGCGCGCTTTCATTCCACACACCGCGACTTTCACATCCCCTCTTTAATCATGGGCATCTCATTTTCTACCCTGGCCGGATGGGTCGCCATCATCTGCGTTGCCGGCTTCTACACCTACAACTACAAAGAGCAGCAGAAGAAGCGTGAGCTTGCTCGCAAGCCCTCGCAGCGACACAAGTTGGAGGAGAAGCCGCAAGAGACACGCAAGGAACCCAAAGAGAAGGCTAAGAAGCAGCGAACAGAAACACCAAGCAAAATCGTCGAGGAGCCAGAGAAGGTACAGAAGCCCAAGCAAAAGGCAGCCAAGGCCAAGGCCAAGGCTGCCCCCGCCCCCAAAGCTGCACCTAAGGCTGCTCCCAAGGCCGCCCCTGTGCCCACCACCACCAAGCCCGCAAGCTACAGCTCGGATGAGGATGATGGTATCGACAACCGCGAGTTCGCCCGCCAGTTCGCCAACATCAAGCAGGGCACCGTCCTCAGCACGAAGAAGCAGGACGAGAAGCGTCAGAAGTCGGTGAAGCAGTCCCGTGCCCTCGAGCGTGAGGTCCAGGCCGAGCCTCAACAGGCTGCCCCCAAGGGTGTTTCTGCCCCCTCTTCTACTACCGGCGTCGATGCCGATGACGACGAGTCCTCGGTCGCCTCCCCGGAGGTCAAGGCCCAGGACGCCGGTGACGTCAGCGATATGCTCGAACCCACGACCTCGGGCCCTTCGGTCCTCCGCCTTACCGATACCGATAAGGTAAAGCAGAAGAAGGCAAAGAAGGAGAAGCCTCTGGAGAAGGTCGAAACCAAGAAGCAACGCCAGAACCGCAAGAAGGCCGAGGCCGAGAAGGCTGCCCGCGAAGAGGCTGAGAAGGCCCGCCAGGTGCTGCTCGAGAAGCAGAGGAGGGAGGCCCGCATCGCCGAAGGCCGTGCTGCCAAGGATGGCTCTGCCTTCATGGCCGCTCAGGCTGCCAAGTCATCTGCTTGGACTGGCAATGGCGCGAACGGTAGCTCCCACAGCGATAGCGGTGCCGAGAACAACGGGTTCGTCTCTGTTGAGCCCTTGGACACCTTCAGCAGCAGCACTCCCGCTGCCGCCCAGCCGGCCAAGGCCCCTGCTCCCGAGGCCAAGAAGCCTCAGACCTGGATGTCGTCTCTGCCCACTGAGGAGGAGCAGATGCAGCTCCTCCGTGACGAGGAGGCCTGGAATACCGTCCAGACCAAGAAGTCCAAGTCCAAGAAGAACAAGGCCTCCGCCACCGATAGTGCCAATGAGTCCGAGTCCGCGGCGGCCAAGCCTCAAGAGGCTTCTACCCCGGTTGCCACCAAGCCTCAGGCTGTTAACGGCAACAAGTCGTCCAAGATCGTCTACCAGCAGTCTTCCTTTGCTGCCCTGAGCCCGAAGGAGGAGGAGGATGAGCCTGAGCTCGTCGAGACGGAATGGGACGTCTAAACCGGATCAGTCCTGCGTTCTGGGTATTAGACCGTTAGTACGAAAGGGGAAAACGGATCGAGGGGGTAATAAGCTCTATCATTAATCAACATGTGCTATTTGCGTCCTTGGGGTGGATATGCGAAGGAGGAGGAGAACGAGGATGCTCCTGTTATGTGTTCGCGTCGCGGAGTCGATCTGCTTTATCATTTGATCATGGGGTTTGCTGCCATTTATACAAGACAAACGTTTGGCTTTTCTGAAGAACCACGTGGGCTGGGCGAGGAGTCTTATGTATGTATATTAACGTCTTTAAAACGCTGTCGTGCGCCGGAACTAGACCTTGACCACGCTCTGCATTTCCACATTTGCCTACCTCGTCCGTGTCGGTTCTTTGATCTAGTGGCTTGATGGCTGAAATCAATTTGATGACAAACAGGTAGTATACTTGGACAATAGTAACCTACAACCCTGCCTCTGGCTTTAAAGTTTCATGATAAGAATGCCGTCTCTCCTATTTGACAAGGAAGATTGTCTACTCACGGCGGTATGGTGGGCACGGGTACGTCTCCCTCTTGGTAGTTTTCGTGTCGAGCTTCGGTCCTTTTCATCACCGAGGTACGGCCTACGTAAACCGAGCAACCTAACCACCAATCTCTCGCTTATTCTCGGCGACCACTTCGACCTTGTGCCGGTCAGGCCTTGCACGGATAACCGGCAATGGATTGAAACAATTTGAACATCATTTACCGTGTATGAAACCGAATCAACGAGTCCTTTGGTCACAACCTCGGCACGTAGTGGTTCAAAACGCATCGACATCCAACGAACAACACCAACAAGCCAACAACCGAGACCGTCAAAATATGAGTACGCGAGAATGGTGGCATGGGGGTCTTTGGACGTATACAATCTGCTTTTGGGTTTCGCTCGCTTTGCTAATTTCGTACCATGGACTGGGATCAGCCATGACTAGAATCCTTCAATACCTTTATCACACGGCATGTGAAATTCTAACACTTTGCAATTGGGACAGTTGAAGCAATGAATGAGAATTGCTTGACAAAATTACACCGAACGTATTCATGTACAAGCCCCCCATCAATGACGTTGTCATTGGGTTCAACCTACAATTCAGTCGGCATCATTTCAGGACCCTTTTTTACGAGACCCGGAGAATACACGTGCCGTAGTCAGATCTGGGTGAGATGCCCGAGATTGCCTTTTTGACCAAATACCAAAAAGAGGCAAAGCGTGTCGTTCACAAGAAGATCAACCCCCAAATTGCGTGGAACATTTCGATGCATTTTCTCGGCAGCGCCAGGCTGTGCACGGCCAAGCGTCGTCTTGGCGGTGCCACGGTGCCTGTGTCGCGGATTGTGGGGTATGCAATCTTTAATGGCTCCCATTGGCTGGGCGCAACTTTGACGGGCCTGGCTTGGAGCGTTTATGGATCCGTCCAGCCGTCCAGCCGTCCACGCCTCCTGGTGCGTGCGACGTTCATTCTTCCTTCCCCTTTGGCTGTTGCTCTGCATCTTTGGCTGGCTGCCCGGCTGCAGTGCTCCCCGACCTCCAGTGCGCTCCCTCCTGCCACACAATCATTCTTCCCCTGGTTTCCTGTGATGGGCTGCGTGCTCTCCTCACCCCCTTCCCTTCGTTACTTCGCCGAGCCCCTGGGTTCCCGCTCGTGGGTTGGACGGGGAACAAGCCCGCCTCGTTCCATCAGCTTTTGGTCGTAAGTTGGGAACAAAGTCCCTAGAATTGTCGTCGATGGTGTAACCGCTGGAGAGCGCTTTGAGGTTGACCCCCCATTCTTTGCCCACTCATCGATCCCATCTCCGGCTTCATGGTTCATTGACTCCATTCCTTCTCCCTCCCGTTTCGTTTCCAATATTACCGCGCATTCTTGTATCCACTGCATCTAACGTTGGCTGCGAGTTCCGATCTTGGTTCCCGCGATTCTCTTTCCACTTCTTCTTTCTGTTTTTACAAGCGACCGACCTAGTTCGCTCTACCTAGCCATCTCCATTTCGCCCCCTTTTGCGCTCCAGGTCTGGGCAATTGGCAATCAAGCAATCAATCTTGTGCAGCTCTGCCCCTCGCTACCTGGACAACATTGGACATTGGAACGTCTGTTGGGCGCATGTACACTCGGCTTTTTCTGTATCCGCGCAACGGGCAGTCTTCCTCCAACCACTTGTACGTTAACGTGTACGCCGGGCAGCAGCAGCACCTTGACGGTCCCCCATGCCAATGCCCGGGTGCGACAACAACGCAACTCTTCCACCTCCCGCTGTGATTTGGCAGACGTGGATCCATCAACATCCACAGCATCCTACGCCATCCATTGCCAACGACGACTGAGCAGGGCACACGACGCACATCTAACCTTCTACAAACCTTCCTCCTCACCTAACCTACCTGCTTGCCACAGTAGGGTCCTGCGGAGAAGCGAGCCGGCTAGGGTTGGGAAGCACAAGACAGGCCACCACACCACCAGGCCATCGCATTACCGGTACACCGCAACCACTCGCAACTCGAGCTCACTGGTAGACGAAAGTCAGCTTCCGTTTTCACCCACGCGCCTTGCATTCCCGGATCCTCCGCTACCAGTCTTGTTCTGGCTCTTCAATACGACCCCCTATACCGCCGCCAACAGTTGTCCCCCGAAGAGCGACTTGTCCACATTGACTACCTCCACGCTCGTCACGATATCTCATCTTTACGATTGATCCACGTTCAGAGAGCGACTTACTTGCTAGTGTAGCTTTGCGGACTTTATGAAATACACACAGTTGGAAACTCTATCGCTATCTCTGTTATAGACTCCAACGGCTCCTCCGGACTCCATCAACCGTGACGACGACGACCCCGCTCCCACGAACCAGGGACACCTTGCCGAAACCTCCCACGTTTGGGATATATGATCTCGGTATATCGATCCGGTAAAAAAAATTATCTATAAGCAGCAAGAGGAGGACCAACAAAGAGGGAGTGTCAAGGTTGGGAGAGAACGGCCAGCACTGGCCATAGTGCTAGCTGAGGATGTCTATCTGCGTCGCCATCCAGTCGGCCTTGTTCTACTACCTCGCCTGCACCCCATGTCTCCAGCTTCGTCATGAACACCGGACACACAAAAAGGCAAAGAAGGAGCGGAAGGAAAAGGCACGAATCATCGCCGAGCAGCCGCACCTATATCGCCATCCGGACCCCTATAATACGAACCCCTACTGGGCCGAGGAGATTCGCATGGGACCATGTCTACCCAAGAAGAACAAACCGAACGATGCCAGCAAGAGTCAGAGCCAGAGGGGCTTGATGTGGGAAAGTCGAGATGGAGTGAGCTTAGCAACTGGGAGTACGCATGCGATCAGCATGGCGCGGCCGACGACAGCGACGCCAATAACACCAACAACGGAGGAATCCAACAATAAGCCTATTGGTTTCGTCCACCCCCCACTCGCAGACGTAGCAGCAGACCTAGCAACAGACGCGGAGACGGAAACTGTTAGGCCAGATACAAGGGGGCCGTCTCCTACTTCCGGAATTCCAGAACAGCATGACGATGCCGTCAGTGCCGTACTGAGCAAGACGGCTTCCGCAACAACAGTCGGTACCGACTGGAACATGAAGCGGTATCAGCGCGAGGATGAGGAACTCTGGGGCTACGATGATGAGTCCATCAGGACAAGTTATAAGCTTATGGACGCCATCAAGCAGGCTGGATCGAGCGCTGGCCGCTATGTCGAATCCAAGCTGGGGCTCGAGAAGCAGGTGACGGATGAGGATAGATACAACTTTTACTCCTCCACCAAGAACCCGCCCGTCAACGACTACCATCCTCCGGTCGTCAGCAGCAAGCCGTCGCACAAGAACGCGCGTGCCTGGATGTTGCAGCCCCCACCTCCCGCCAAGGTGATGGAAGGCAAGGTCCCTGTTAGCAGGAGCGCCAGCATGACGAGCGTTCAGTCCAGGTGGACGATGGGCAGCAGCATGTCTACGGAAGCACGGCCATCGCTGGGGAGAATTGTCGGTGACAAGGCTCTCGAGGCTAAGATTCAGCAGCGAACTGCCAACGGGGATGGATATCTGGACCCGGAGTTGTATTCGGTTGCCTCGACCATGTCCCGGGCGAGATCTAAGAGAGCCACCAACGGTTCAATGGCACGGAGAACCAGCAGTCGCCTTACGACCAGAAGCCAGGACCTGTCTGCGGGCTCTGACGGTTCCGACGAGGATAACGCAAGCACCAAAGCACCGAAGAGACGGACCACACGGAGACGTAGCAACCGCAACGTCATCACCCCCGATAGCGATGAGAACGAGGAGGAGGACGCCTACATCTCCAGGAGCCTGGAGTCGCTAAGCAGCAGCCACTTCCCTCCCCACGCCGCCCAGAGGCCCAAGCTCCCCACCATCAAGAGCGCCGATGATGCTCGTCTCGCTTCGGAGGATAAGACGCTGTCTTCGTCATCGAAGGTCAGGCCCACCAGCAGATCCAGCACCAAGCTCGTCCTGCAAGACGCGACCAACTCGTCGAGCTCCGTGTCTTCTTCCTCTAATAAGTTGAACCAGAAGGAGCGCATGATTGGCTCCATTGATAGCGGTCTTGCTATGCATGCGTAATCGGGCCTCAAAGGTCTATATGCATGTCGGAGAGCGATATTGTAAGGTGGGGCAGCGATGGACGGACGAACATTCATCTTGCCACGGTTCTCTGTCGTTGCTGTTGCCGTTGTCATCCAAAAACAAAAGCATTGCGTCTCATTTGTGTGTTTCCTGTCCCGTTATCCCAAACGCACGCTCGCACGTACGCACATACGCCTTCATAGAAACGGGGCAGTTTCAAGTCAAGTTGTTTAAAGTCTAGCATAGCCATCATTTTTTCTTTTCTTCTCATTTTTACTGTCCTTCCGTGCTTTTGTTTTTTTGCGAGTCCCGTGTACAGAGAGCATTACCACCTTGGCACGCGTACGTACCTCTCTACCTACCTACCTACCTACTTACCTACCCCATCCTATTGCTTTTGGTGTTTTCTGTTCATTCAACATTTTGCATGGGAAGAAAAAAGGAAAGGAAAGTCAAAGAGTAGCTCTGAGCGTGGATGGATGCGATGGATGCGATGGGCACGAAACAACAGGATGGGTAATTCCTGTTGTAGTGCGTTGCATGCAGTTCAGGATTCTCGTTACTGTTGCTGTTGTCGTTGTGGTTTTCTTTCAAACAGAGTTCGGACTGAAAAGTGGAATTGGGATCATCTTGGGGATCAACATCCAACATGTCATGTCGGTGTAGGGGCGTTTCAGGGGTCGAAGGAAAGGGAAGGGAAGGGAAAGGTGTCGATCGAACCGTGGCTGAGAGACTGAGACTGCTTTTGGCAAGCAGGCAGGCAGACAGAAATTCATCACAATTGGATTGATCATTGCTGCCCAAAAATTGTAACATGATTTGAACCTACCTTCTTACCTGAAGCAAGACCATTGATGTGCTCTGTAAAACTGAATGTGAATGATAAGTGCATTGTAAATTAAGGAACTAAAAGACCGGGAAGTGTCTTTCATCCATCCATCTTCTCTGTTGATGCTGGAGATGGAGAACGGATCAATCAACGGGGAGAGATACTGCAGACGGAAAGTATTCAACCTTGGGCGAATATGCCTCCATTCACAGGTTCTGCCGCACTTTTGTTCATGCTTCCCCTTTCTGCTCATCATACGAAATGATGCCCTCGTGGTTGGTTCAATTTCAGGTGCTCACCTCTTCCAAGTCCTGCCCGTTACATATATCCGTTCCATATTTCTCAGGAGGGCGCATCGATAAATATAAGCAATCCTACTAACACAAACCAGCGCCGGTCCAGCAAATACAGTCCAATGCTGGGTTGTTTGTTTCTTGGAACTCCTCCGTTATTGAAGAAAACACATAAACTGGATGTAAAAACGCTCCTAGACAAGTTGACTAGAGGTCTCAGGCTAACACCTTTATAGGGGTTATTGTACAACAATTGCAGTTGAAAGGTCCTACCCACAACCTTTACACTCAAACCGCTCCATAGATTTCTTCCTGGCACTTCTTATGAACCGGGGAATCAGAGGTCAACACCCTAGCAACAACATTAACACCAGATTTTGAAGAGGTGCTCTACCGCGCCTCCTCTCCTCTAGGATAGGAGCACGACGCCTGCGCTGCCTGTACCAGCTTGCGATCTCGCTCAGTCGTAAAAAAAAAACACATGGAAATGAAGTGCAAGCTCATCTCTGCCTCTCACCATCCATTGCTAAGAAAGCATTTGGTGAGTATGTTTGATATCAGAAGGTATTCTTACCCCTTTGTACGGCCCTTCCTCAGCGGCCACACGTTCATGAGTAATGACGGAGCCATCACACACCGCGTGCTGGTCGACCAGACATCGGCAAGCCGAACACAGCGCGTCGTTGTCTGTGTATGCGGGATCCCATTCACTATTTGGCATCGATGATACGTTAGCAGCTGTGGGACCAGGGATTCTTGCTGATGTGGTTGACGGGAAATTGGAACGCACCTCCATTTTGGTTTGATGGCATGTCGATTTGCATGCGAAGAGAGGAGAGGTCTGATTGAATTTGTTTGACATAGCTGCCTGATTAGCGGTGCCGAGGCCCGGATAAGAAAAATACACTTTGTAAAATAACTTTGGAAAACGGTAATAGTAGATATTGGGAACACAACTAGTTTTAGGTTGAGAGACCTATTCACACCTCTTTTCCACTACATGTATCATGAAGCAAAAGAAAAGGAAGAAAAGACAAGCGATGTCGCGCCGCTTTGGCAAAAAGCGCCAAAAAAAACATACAGCACCTGGGATTCGCTAGTCGTCACCGACCCAACTACTAGTCAGGCGATATGGTAGCTTATTAATTAACTATCCCCTATTTTCGCTACTTACGGGGTTATATTACTTTTTAAGGTCTAGTTTCCTTTTCGCTATATTCGAAATTTGTAACCTAATTCTACTATAACTATTATTCGATCCTTTCGTTACTGCGCTAAGAATTTTAAGCGTCTTCTTATTTTAATCCGATTTTTATCTCTTTTAAATCGTCGGCAAAAATACAACCCGACGGTAGATTCGTAGTTACTATAATTTAATATTGTCGGAATACACTAATAATTATCGTTGCGATATTTATAATTATTTCGTTACACTATTTTAATTCCCGTGTAAAATTCCGGCGTAGTAGTAAATAAGACGACTCTAATTAATTCAATTAGCATAATAACCTCTAATTTTAAAAATTAAATTATTGATTTTCTTTTTCTAATAAATATATATAAATTATTTCATCTTTTTTATTACGATTTATATTTATCTTTAGTAGTAATAGGAGGCGTTTACTTAGACTCATCGTCTATTAATTTCCGCTGTATTTTTTAAAAGCTCTATAACATTGACAGAAAGGCTCTCCAAACTAGAAGCTACGGTATTTATAGATTCGCAGGCTAAATCACACATCCTCAAGTTCAATTGACCACTCGGGTATTTCCTCAAGTCGGATGCATTCCTCGTTCCTTAGCTCCCGAAAGGCATCTCTCCCTACCTCGTTAGGACGAACATTGATTCCTGGTCTGATATGTGGTTCGTTGTGCTGGCACGATCTTGCCAGGCAAGAAGTTCGGGCTAAATTTCTAAATATTATTGTGTAGGCCGTGTTCGTTCCGGCTGGAGTGCAGTAAGGGAAGCTCTTCTAACCCTAACCCAAAGCTTTTCTGCCACCAAAAAAAGGCTTCCGTTACTGTACTACTTACTGCCGGAACGAACACGCCCTTAGGTTTGACTGTTAACTAACCGAATCGAAGGCAATCAGAACGAAGTTTTTTTTGTGAAAATCCGCTTGTCTGCGCAATGGCAAAGGGCAATCTTTTCTACTCATAGTCTTGCCTGTTAAATCCTCCATTCTCTCCAGATCCCAAGCCACCCGTCACAACACGAGTGAGGCGGAACAATTCCTCGGGGGAAGCCGTAGCAGAGCCGAATTTGGTCCTGGGAGGATATAAGAATTCGCTACGACAGGAAGACACAGCACGAGCAGCGGCTTTATCAGTCAGAACCTTGGTTCAGAGAGAAGCTCGGTTTCGTAGGAACCGATGCGGTAGGCGATCCTTTGGCGGCTTCTTCAGATGTGCTTGCCAAGTCGGCCATTTCGCTGTCCACCCCCTCCTTAGGGAGAGGCGCTTCGTGCTTGATAGTGCCTTGCTCAGCCCCGTATTCCAAAACAGCAGAAGCAGAAGGAGAAGTGATGAGGGCAAGCTCGTCAGCAGGTTCGGCTCCTTTGTTGTCGTGGCCAACTGTGGTGCTGACCGGCATTTCGAGCACCGGTAGAAAGCGGCTGTCGAGGTCATCGAGCAAGTTCCTAATCTCTTTCTGAGCTGAGGTCAAAGCCTTGAGGACATTGTGGTCCTCGATGACATGCTTGTAGTCGTCGGACACCTGGCGAATTACCAGCTCTACTTCGGACTTGATACTTTTTTGAAGCTTATCGAGCAGCTCCTCAAGGCTGTCCTGAGCAGCATCGACTGCTGAGTTGAACATTGTTTTTTGCTCGTTTCGCACTTGCTTGGCTATGTAGCCCTTCATACGCTCAAACGAACCAGCACCTTTTCATAGAGCGCAATGACTTGTCAGCGGAATCCATTCGTCTCGTTTCAGTATCGATGGTTGACATACCACTCTCTGCTTTGCAAAAGTTATATGCTTTCTGCATGGCTTTCTGGACTGCCGGCTTGAAAGACCGATTCGCCTTTTTTTGATCATCAGACTGAATAAGCTTACTGAATTTCACGGCCTTTTGCAGCGACTCCGCATAGTTCTTGACTCGGCAGCTCACCAATTCGTACGACGCGGAGTTCTTCAGCTGTGGACGTCTGTGCATCTGGTCTTGAAACTCAGAAAGACATTGGGACAGATCCTGGCCCAACGACTGGATGATATGAGGGATTGTGTGGGAGAAGGTGCGCTCCCACGGCATGGCAATATGCTTCATTAACGGCAGGCATAGGTCTGTAACAGGTCAGAAAGTTGACGCCATACACATGAACAGGCTACAATCGGACTTTGTATCGGAACTTGCCTTCATTGAAGTCCGTTCTGCCAGAGGGTCCTGTGTACTCGCCACTATCTCGCTGTTAGTGACATATAAAAAGCAAGAACCAAGCGACTTGAAAACACATACTCTCGCACGCAAGTAGCTCGATACGTGGGAAAGGGAATGCCTCCTTCACGCTTTGGCATTCCCCATGATGTTGCTATTCTGGGCGCAGCCGTGGATGCGCGAGCAGCAGCTGAGTCAAGATTGTCGTCCAAGGCATCCCGTATCGCAAGGTCGCACTTGTTGACTGCCTCTTCAATAGCGGAATGCATTTTCTAAGGCTTGATGTTACGATCAATGCAAACCACACAGAATTATGTACCACTAAAACTGAGATGATATGGTGGCATTCTTTTTCTTAAGGGGAGGTGGATGGTCAACGTACCTCAGACAGCTCTTTCAAAGATTTTTCTAGGAAATCAAGCTCTTCGTCCTTCAAGTCCTTCGCCAAGTCAAGTGGTTTGTCAGCGATGAGAACCTGCACCATTAGTTCAGTGACAAGGCTATAGAGGTTCGTGAGATACCAGTGGCAGATATCGGTGCGTGTACTAGCGACTGTTCTTTGGGCATGCTCCTGCAAAGCTATGATCTCCGTCTCCTCAAGGGATAGATATCCGGTCGTTGGCTCGTCATTTCTGAGCATGCCGGACATTTTCTGGTAAGCACGGCCCGAGACGCAAAAAACAGGAAGCCTGGCAGCGATTGCTTGATAATCTCTGGGCGTGTAGGAGTTGCCGTGTCCGTCTTCACCCCGAGTGGAAAGACTCTCCTCATCAAGCCTAAAATGAGTTAGCTTCGTTGGCCTGTCAAACTTGGGTTATGTTTGGCTGGTGTGTCACTCATACTCTTTGAGTCCTTCAGCAAACTGTTGCCGAATCACCGGCCGCGAGTACTGGTTGCGATACTGAATACAAGCGCTCTTGATGCCAGATTGGAGACTCCCAATCTCCATCCTTGTTTTGTCCAGATCCTCACGTAGGGATTTCGCTTTGTCTTGCAGATCACTCTTCTCGGCACGATGGGCTTTTTTCTCTGCTCGAAGAGACGCCAGCCGCCGGATTGCTTCCTCTCTGGAATCAACCCTTTTTTCCTGGCACCCGGCGCTATCATCGAGACCGTCTTCCCCGGAAGAGGAAGTACTTGTGACTTGCTGCGCCGTCCCGTGTATAAGGGTTTCATCGTCCTGGGAGTCAAGTGAAAGCTCCAGCTGCTCGACCTCTTCATCAAGACTATCAATAAGGACAATGAGGTCCTCAATGCGCTTATCGACCAGAGAACACTCCTTGATCAGCCGCTCCTCGGCTTCCTTTAGTATAGCCATGGTCCTGTAATCCAGATGTATCGAATGTTCCCTCGGCATGGACCTCAAAGCCTCCGTGACCGAGATATCATCTGTCTTGGTGCAGACGACAGTTACAGTTGAGTAGAGTCCGTCGAACTGCAATTGCCTCTTGAAAGACATCCCAAGGAGATTTTGTGCGACCTTGTCATCAACAATACGCGTAATGGGGGCAACAACCCATAGGCCTGTGCATTGTTGTAAGTGCGTGGCAGCCACTGCGGATCTGGCGGCATTGGAATCATGCAGACCAGGCTGTTCCTTCATTAGCAGGAAGCTTCTCATAACGAATAGATGAGGATGCTCACCAAGTCAACCAAGACTAATCCTGGCTCCAGGATGCGTGATCTAACAAAGACCCGTACGACCTTGACCAAGGGCCAGTACTCCATCCGGTCGCTGTTGTTCTTCTAGCCCCGAACTCGGTCCTTGGAGTCGATGTACTCCCGCAAAAGGTCCGTAAACGCGCTCCTTGTTGGTGCCGTAATCACCTTGACGGTACCAAGCACATCCTTCACGGGGGCCTGCTGTGCCAGGGCTTCCGGAGAGAATTCAAGCTTTGTAATATCCTCTTTACTCAACTGCGGGTAAACAGATCTAATCTTGTCATAGGCAACAGCAGCTCGAGGCTCGCTGCCCAACTGCTCTGCTCCAACAATGTCGTTGCCTGGTGCTTTGAGGTCCTCGCGGAGAGCCTGAAGTTCTCCGATCCAGTCATTCGCATGAATGAAATGGATTTCAGCCCTATAGGCCGCTTGCTCATCCTCCGTTTCATTGTGCTGAATTTCGGTGATCGTGGCAGTGCATGCGCGCATGCCATTCGTCGGCACCAGGTTCTCCTCGTCTAGAACGGCATTTATCATGGAGCTCTTGCCAGCACCGGTGCTACCGACAACACCGACAACTGTTCTTTGCTTGCGGGACTGTGCCTGGAGGTCATCAGCCTGCTTGACCCATTTAGCAACCTCAACAACGCTAGTTGCGTCAGCAAAAGCAGATTTAATTTCTCGAAGGAGATTGTTCCCTGCCTCGAGGGCAGCTTCAAGCCTCAGGAGTGAAGTCTCAGACTTGAGCTGCTGGAGTGACGCGAGTTTCCTCATGTTTTCACCGATGCTGTTCTGTTTGCCATCGCGAGTCTCCGTCGTTGGAACCCGAGCAGTACGCGACGTCGAGAAAGCTCTCAGCCTCGGTCCCATGGAACGCTGAGGAGTGGGAGAGAGGTTCACTCGGACCACTAGATATTGTACGCATGTTTCATTAGTCCTTGTCTACAGACCAACCATGACTAGATGAAGTAGGGCGGATAGGAATGCAGAAGGGTAGTAAGCTCACCGGAAGAAATGAGGGAAGTCCTTCTGGACGTATAGATGCCTATCATGATATGAGGACGACGTCTCATGATTTGACGGGTCGTGCTGTTGCTATGGTGGTGAGGATAACGATGTTTGGTGTCGTGTGATTTAGTGCCTGATAGTCATGAACGAAAGTGTGAATGTGGCTATTATGATTAACAGGCGACAACTCTTCATGAGGCAGAAGCGCAAAGTGATATGGTATCAGGAGGCGGGGGAAGTTCAGGAGCAAACGAGAAAACAACAGAAAGCCAGAAGCTACTTCGTTTGAAGAGGAAGCGTTTGTTCACGGGTACGCTCAGCCGAATCGTTGCGTGAATCTCATACGGCTCTGGCTGTCCACAACGAAAGAGCAATTCCTTATCCATAGTGCAGGCTCGACTGGGATTGGCAGGACTGCGACTTGTGCAGCCTTGTATAATAAGATAAGGATTAGCCAAGTTGGGTATGACTTCTTGTGAATAGGCTGAACGACAACGAACGAATCAATGATGATGGTGATGTATTGAGTAGAGTAGAGGTCAGACTGTGTGTAAAGTCTGGAGGTCTAAAAGTAGGGCAAGGGAGGTCCCTGTGCGGTGGGGCCATGGCCAGTGAAGGGAGAAGGGAGCCATGGCTGGCCGCACGTGACACGGGACACCTCCAACACACCCCCGTAACTTGGGCCACCGTACACCTGGCCGGGCATGGCATTGCTTGCCCCCGCGCCACGGTTAACGACAACGATGACGATCCAACATGGGTGAATGTGGGTATTTCAAAAGGGTAAACAAACCGAGCTGATGAGTCAACTCTCAAGGCAATGAAAGCAATGAAGTAAACACCACACGCGCCGGGGCGCTCCTTAAACAATCGGTCACCTCTGTCCCATCATGGAGCAGCAAGAACAACAACAGGGCAAAACCAGACTGATGGAGGATGAGACCGAGGTCACAAACTTCGAGACCACTCCTGTCACAAACAGCTGGTTTTCGCGCTCCTGGTCCCTCTACGCGATATCTCTGGTCACTTCTCTCTGCTTTCTCGCCGCGCTTGTCGGCTTACTCGCAGCCTTTGACAAGAAAACTGTTGACGACAAGCAGCAATTCACGCTGAACACCGCCATTGCCGTCCTCTCGGCCGCGACCAAAGCCACGCTTCTCTATTCCATCAGCGATGCCATCGGACAGTGGAACTGGATCGTCTTCTCCGGGCCCAGGCGACGGCGCCTTCTTGACTTTGACCGGATCGCGTCAGCCAGCCGTGGTCCGCTGGGCAGTTTGATTCTGCTTGTGGACAAGAACGTGAAGCGCATGTAGGTGTTTGCATGTCTCTTTTTTATCCCGGTCTCAACAAGATGTAGGGTTTAACGCAGATAATAGTTCGATTGTGAGGATGGGTGCTTTGTTGACGCTGCTCTCTGTCGCCATGGACCCCTTTGCTCAGCAGTTGCTCAAGTACCGCCAAGTACCTCGATATCGTGAAGATCTTGACGGCGAAGGCGCTTCCGTCTCAAGGGCTATGAAGTACTCTCGGGGAAGCAAGTACGTGCTCAGGGAAACAGATTCAGATGGCGGTGCCCGTGAGTCTTTCTTTCAAGCGCCCTCCTGAGATTCCACGTATTTGATCAGATCAGCCATACTGATACAAGGCGCGAGAACGTCGGCATCTACGCAGTCGTTGATGCTGAAGCCGATTTAACCATGCAATCGGCTATCATGTACGGCATCGCGGAGCCACTGGAATCAGTCTTGCAACAAACCAAATTCCGATGTCCAAATGGCGAATGCCCCTTTAAGGGTGACTTCGCGACTCTGGCCGTTTGTTCCTCTTGCATGAACTTGACCGACCAGCTTCTCATCAAAAAGGTTGACCCGGACAAGCAGCTGAACATTAGTCTCAGTCATAGCAAAGGCGCCAGGAGTGTGGTTACTAGGCGCGGTGATCCCATCGTCCAATACAGTCTTCCCAATGACCAGTATCTTGACAACTCCATTGCTATGACCATGAAAGGCACAGCAAACCCAGCCGAAGTCATAACCCAGGACAGACTGGACTGGCAGCAGAAAGCAAAGACACTGATCTGGTCCCAAAGCATCATCAGACACCGCACCGATCCCGTACAGCTGCTCCCGGACCAAGAAAGCAACCAAGTCGAAGCAATCGAGTGCGCTCTCTACTACTGCGTAAAGCAGATAACAACCGCCAACGTAACCAGCGGGCGTTACTTTGAAGAATCCATAGAAGACACGCCATTCGTCCGCGATCCCGAATCATGGACCTTCGACCTTGACGGGGATAACCTCCAAGGCCTCTCCAACCTCACCGCCGCCCAAAACGACAGCATCGCCTTCCACCCGCGCCTCTCCCGCTTCCCACGCACCGACCTCTCGCTCCGTCTCAATTTGGATAACCACCATAACGTGTACAACATCAACCAAGTGGCCGTGGACGGCATAAGCGCTTTTATGCAACGGACCTTCTCGACATGTGTCTCCCCGCTCACCAACTGCTCAGACTCGGCTGCAGGAATGGGCTCAAAAGATTTTGAAGCAGCAGCTGTCTCCCTCTCCGACAACTGGAAACCCATCAACGGCTACTACGACCTCCGCTCCAACTGGTTCTCACCCAGCATCGCTCGCGTATTCTGGGAGACAGACGACCTCAAACAAAAATGGGCCAGCATCGCCCAGGGTCTAACCAACGTGATCAGACGCGGCGCAGACAACCTGACAGACGCCTTCGAGTACGGAGCCGACAACCCCGTCTTTGGCGGCATCAACGAGGTGCGCAGCGTAGAATATCTGGAACCGGTTTACCACATAGACTGGTGGTGGATCATACTGCATTGCGCGCTTGAGCTGGTCGGGATATTGTTTATCGTGTTGACGGCGTTGAGGTCGACGAGCTGGTCGTGGAAGTTGGGGTGGTGGGGGGCTAGGCTCTCGGGTGGCGGAGGGGCCGCGCAGGGCGAGGTGTTGATGAGCAGGAGGAAGGAGCCATTGCCGCTTTGGGGGACGAAGTGGTTGCGATTTTGGCCAACGGCCCGGCGGTTGCGAGTGTTTTGGATGGTGCTAAGACAGTGCAGGAGATGGAGGCTAGAGGGAGGGTTGCGGAGGTAACGCTGTTGACGGATCACGGGGCGGACGGGATAGGATTTGTGGATGCGACGACACGGAAGATCAGTCTGGAGGCTCCGTATGCCTATCAACGGCAAAGAGACGTTTCGAGTTCTTGGTTTGGGACGTTGGGAACTTGTCAGGGGAAAGAGAGAGAGAGGCGGATTCGATAAGTTGAAGGGCGCCGGGCGAAAGTTCTCAAACATAAACCGAAGACGGACAAGAACTTGGCAGAAGCGTAGTGTATTCGACTTGTTCAGTTTAGTTCAAGGCCTCTTGTGTACCGTATAAACTCGCGAAATTGTGATTAGGGAATGCAGGCACAACGCAGGGTTAAAGATGTAAAAGAGCATGTATGCCTAATGTATGTAGTTGTATGTGGTTGACCAACACCTTTAACCCTGCATTCCCGAATCTCAATTTTGCGAGTTTATACGGTAGATTCAGATGCATGTTTACAGCTTGTTTGTAGGTAAGTTACCAGACTACGAGGCCCTTCCCTACACCGGGCCGGTACCTCTACAATAGAGACGGCGTATTGATGCCTTAGCTGCCCACGGCTGACTCATGTCTCCCCAAGAGGTCGAAACCTACTTGGTGGAACCTTGCCTACCGGACTCAATACCGGCGGTTATGTCACACGAGGACAAAGTTCGAGGAGTACTGAGATTCAACGAGTTAATAATACGAGTGGATGATGACGACGAGGATGATGAGGATAGTGGTGAGGATGGGAACGAAGACCAAGGAGAAGACGACAGTGACGAGGAAAGTGATGAGGACGAGGAGGACTAGAAGACAGCGGGGACTGGTTTGTTTGTTAGCTCGAGACCTCGCGTCAACTTCTCTAGGCGTTTTCATATCTAGTTCATGTGTCTCGCTCCCAGATCAAAGCCCAATATGTCCTGAATATGCTAATTCCGATGCTGAGTAGAGGTATGTCCATTTACATCTTGTTGATGCATTTTCAATCCGTGCCGAGGCATTTCAATGCGTTCTTGTGGAGTTTGGGACAGTCCGGGATAGATATTTTCCAGTGATATGACAAAAGAGGAGTTACGATACCCCCGAGGTGTCCGGAGAATGGTATAGACTACAGTTTAATGCATCAAGTACCTCATACATTGCATCTTTCGGAAGTCCGTCGAGGAAAAATTCCTGCATTGCAGGATTACGCCATCCCCTCTTTTCTCTCGGTCTATGAGTCAATTTGGAAGAGCTTTTACTATGAATATTGTGGCCCATCCTAAAAGATTTCTCTGCCTGTAAAGTACCTCGCTCCCAGTTCTTTCCTTGCGATCCGTCTGTGACCTTCGAAATATACCCTCCAGTCCAACTTTCCATCTCCACAGAATTTAACTGAGACTGGCACCCCTTTTCCTCTTCAACCCATCAAACCATCAATCAAGCATTTTACCTACCTACCGTCTACTTTCTGATCCTTCTCAGATCCAACCACCCTTCGTTAGGTCCCTAGAGGTATCTGTACTACAAGACACCTACACACACGCTTCGGCTTGTTATTTGCCCGGACCCCTACTGCCAAGTCAAGCCTCCCCAATGGACCACGACGAGTATGAAGAGGAACGGACTATCAAACAACGACGGAGGATGCGAAAAAGACTCTCAAGCTTGTTGGAAGAAATCACTGGAGAGTCACCAGACGGTTTGCATGATCCCCAAAAGCTTTTGAAGAACACCCAGCGGGCGGAGAGGATTGCCAGACTCAATATGCATATTGCCGAAGCAGATATGAAAATTGCCTCCACGTTGAGAGGATCGACTTTCATAACCTCCGAGGCGTTCGACAAACGGATGAGGGACGCCAAGCTACGGTTTGCGTCTGCCAGCCTTCATTTGGAAGAGCACTCTCGTCTGTTACATATGGAGAACAGCTTGATTCCAAAGCTCCCCGGGAACGACCATGGAGCCGCCTTCAGCGACGTGGTCCGTGCCATGTTTAAGGACCAGGAAGGGCCGGACAGGAGAAAGAAGCGTGCCGAAATGTGGCTTAGCAAGGCCGAGGACTACTACGAAGGAGGACATAGATCGAGCTGGTATGAGATGAGTGGGTCCACTTGTGTGTCACATCACTGGGCGCTGGGTATGTACTACATATGCCAGGGCGGCGCATATTGTGCCGTATTTTCTTGATGATGGAGCCATCCCGGAGCACCTCTTTGGCGAGATGGCGCACGAAGTTGACACTCCAACGAACTCGTTGCTAATGACCCACTACCTTAAGAGCTGGTTCGACGAGTACCAAATTGTTATCGTCCCAGTCGATCCGTCCGAATCACCCATCACTAGGTGGAAAATTGATATCATATCATCCGATATCAAAGATTCGCCGATCGATGGGAAGGAACTCGAGTTCCTAAACGACCACCGCCCAAGTGCAAGTTTTCTGTATTTTCGGTTCATGCTCACCCTAATTCGAATCAGGGATAAGCAAAGGGCAGGGTGGGAGAATATCTGGGCTCGCTATAGAACCACCAAGCCCTTCGGTACACCGGGGCGATATTGCAGAGACGGCACGTTAATGGCCATGGCTGCCCACAGCAAACTGTCGGCTCCTGAGGAGATCGAAGCTTTCCTGATGGAACTTTGCGGACCGGAAACAATACCGCCGGTAGTTTCGTCGGAGGATGTTATCAACGGTATGAGGAAGGAGATGGAAGTGATTGTGAAATGCGTTGAGACTGTAGAGGACGAGGAGACTGGTGAGTGGAATGATACTGAGGATTGGGGCAGCGACGAGGACAGCGACGAGGACAGTGACGAGGACAGTGACGAGGACGAGGAGGACGAAGAGGCTTACGATCGAATCTTTGATTTAATAAGAATTAATTAAATTATTAAGGGACTTAGAAGGCAGTGGGGATTATGATGATACTGTACGCAGATAGGGATAATGGTTTACCATTGTTGATGCCAGGTATTGTCATGAATCACGGGCACCAGCTGACACAAACGAGGGCGACGTATGTAATCGACGGTGACATCTTGATAATTTTCTTTAAAAAAAGATTCTATCTCTTTTTCCCACATCAAAGACGCAAGATATCTCAGGAAGGTGTAAAAGTACTTACCGCACATTCGCTTTGTTGTTCCTGTTCGCATTACTCTGGAGATGCTTAGAGGTACCTGGAAAAACTGAAGAGGGAAAGAGGTCAGTCAGCTCGGAAGCCATTCACTCTTTCCAGATTCGACCTACGAGGTTATGCAGCACGCAGGCACTCCTACCCTCCTAAAAAGATGGAAGGAAGGCACCTTCACCCTCTAAAACCCCTTCCATTCCTTTCCCGTCACGTGTCTGTCTTGGACTTGTTAAATCCTTCAGCTCTCCCGTCTTCCCCTACCCGAGAGCAACTTGGAACTTTTGTCTCTCGGAGTTCATTCCGTCATTTCATCCATCGTCTTCTTGGCCACGACAGTCGTTACTATATCCATCACTCCATCACAGCAACTTATTAACTCTCGACATTTATTGTCGTTCTATTGTCGATATAATTGCCACCCGTGCTACCCTCTCTGCCAGAACAGCCCTGCATCTCGTCGGCACGATGGCTGAGGATTCGGAAGTCCATGCCAGACAATACGGAGGGTACCCGATAGTATCGGCTGTGCCGTCATGGAAAGTTGGTGTGATTGTCTTATGTGCCATGCTCGGGGGAGCCGCCAGCATCTTCTTGTTCTCTTAGGTATATGAGCGATGGATTCGGGCAATGATAGCTGAGATTTGGGCAAAGAGAGCTAGGAACCCCGCGGAAAAGTAAGTCGATTTCTTTTTTTTGTGAACTGCAATACCTATCATATCTCGATGACCCACAGCTAACCAAAAACACTTGACCAGCAACAACGATATCGAGCTGGGAAACCTGCCCCCGAGGACGACGCCCACGAACATGCCGAACGAAGACGAGAACGGAGACAGGGGCATCATCGAGCTGAGAGACCCGCCCCAGACGACGACAACCCGTACGGAAATCCAGAACCAAGATGCGAATGGAGACTTGGGCACCGGAGATCTAAGTGACAGAGATGTGCTCGAATTCTCCTCGGAACAGCACAGAGACGACAGCGCACGCGGCTGGAGTCCACTAGACGCCTAAAACGTTCGGTGGTGATTCCGGCAAAGTGGGACCGATCCGGGGAACGGACATCGGTGACCCACCGGCCCACTGATCAGCGGTCTGGCCAAGAGCCGCACGGATTGTCCGCAAGTGTTTCTATTCTGGGCCGAAGCCCAAACGCTGATCCCTTTCCACATTTTTCGGCTGTCAAATCATCGCATCAAAAGAAAGTCCGGAATCACACGTGCGACTGGGTTGCACAGCATGCATAGGGCACAGAAACCCCAACTTATCCATGCATAATATCCCGCGACCGCTATGGAGAGAAGTCATCTTACAAAAATCTGGAAAACATATATCGCGGAATCGAAGCAAGGGTATAACATCTGTTATGATTTACACAGCGTGGGATATCGGTGGACGCCTCTTTTCGCCGGAACACTGGTCCCGAGCATTGTGGCTTTCACACTTATAGCGGACGGGATGGTTAAGGGGGATCCACTGATGAAAATAAAGGACCGGGTAGTGGGGAATTGGCTATCTCGGGTACAATTTCCGATTTTAGACCGACCCCAACGACCAAGAACCAGCCAGCCTTCACACAAACACTGAACAACGACGCCGGCGTCAGCATCAAGCCATCAAGTCCGCGGAAGGTCATGAAGAAGTCCTGCAGCGTTGAGAGTGTGTTTGGACCAATGACAGACCTGGAAGTAAGTTTTCCTGAATCTAAAGGCCCGAGAAGGCTAGACCAGCACGCAGACTGGGGTTCGATGGCACCCAAAATCACCAACTGCAGTCTTGGCAGGGGTATCCCACCTTGAGCCCACCATTCGATGCAACCTTTTGATCGGAAAGGGAAGGCCGCCAGGGTTGTTCAGACTCTTCCCCTCGAGCTATTGAATCTGTCAATCCGCTTAACATATTTCTGAGCACAGCGCTAAAAGCCCAGGCAGCACACCCACCAGGCTAAAAAGGCGGTCCCAGAGATTGCAGCGAGAGAGGAGATACAGGAAAGAACGAGGAGAGGAGGAATTACCACAGCCAAGTCTTCACTCAACCCATTTTGCGTCAGCTGTCCTCACGAGCTGGCCTTACGGTTCCAGGAAAACAACATCATCATGCCCAAAGCGTCTTCATAGCTTTTTTATGTATGTAGGTATAGACAATCAGTTCAGCGAGTATCGATTCTTTCATGCACCAAGTTGCCTCACAGTACCGCATCGCAGATCTTCATTCTCCGTAGTCGTCTCTGAACTGGAAACGCCCCGGTTCTCTGAGAGCACTGACTGAAGACATGCACGGTTCTGTCCCCAGACCCCAGAAAACGTGGTTAATTTCCACTTGCATTATGACAGTCCAACTGCACAGTTGTCGCCCGGCCAAGCTGGCTTACCGGCACGTTGACCCAGCTTGGGCGCTTGGCCGGACCGGGGCCTGGCTCATCTCGTCAACAAAGTCCAAAATCCAGCGAGCTAGACTCTTCGTGGACACTCGGGATGCTAGCCCTCAACACCGGTGCAAGATCGGGAGCACTATGAAAGGTAAGCTTGCCCACCCATCCGGCTCTTGTATCTTCTTCTTTTTTTTCTCCCTACGTCCCTTTTGGTCCTGTTCAACCCCATCACCAAACGGCGTGCTTTCCAGCCGTGCAAGCCTTGTGTTTGCGTCCTCTCTTTGAGATAATATCATTCATACACTCTTTACGGTCCCTTTTCACGGGTATAGTCATTCTTTTCAAAACACAAAAGCTGATATCATCATGCACAAAAGTCTTGTGGCAGCGGCCGTCTTGGCCGCTACCGCCCAGGCCCACGCCGTCTCGGAGCCCAAGGTCAACGTTTACTGGGGACAGAAGGGAGACACTAGGCTGAGGGATCACTGCGACCAGGCCAACTTCGACTATGTTACCATCGGCTTCGTCAACAACTCCCCCGAGCAGGACAAGTCCGGCCTGAACTACCCCGGCATCAACTTCGGCTCTCACTGCGATGCCATCTACTACACGAACCCCCTGACCAACCTGGCGTCTCCTCTGCTCAGCAAGTGCACCGTCATTGCGTCGGATATTCAGTACTGCCAGGAGAAGGGAAAGAAGGTTCTGCTTTCTGTCGGTGGTGCTGCGGTCACGGGCTCGAGTTATCCTCTGTCTAGCGATGCCAAGGGCGAGGAGTTTGCTAGCTTCCTGTGGGGAGCCTTCGGACCCTACGATTCCAAGTGGACGGGACCCCGTCCTTTTGACTACGCTGGTAACCACGTCTCGGTTGATGGTTTCGACTTGGATATTGAGGTCAACTTCAGCTCAGGTATGTCAATGTGGGGTTGGAGAGTCAAAATCAGAAATTGACCATTGGCTAACTCACTGCAGTCGGCCAAAGTGCTTATGTCGCCTTGGCTAAGAAGCTTCGCGAGTTGTACAACGGCAACAGCAAGTACCTCCTTACCGCCGCTCCCGAATGCCCGCTTGATGATGCCAACTTCAAGATGAAGTCCATCATTGCCAACGCCCAGTTCGATGCCCTCTTCATCCAGTTCTACAACAACCCTGGCTGCGCGGCTGCCTCGAACTCTGGCTTCAACTACCTCCAATGGGAGCAGGCCATTGCCACCGGCAAGAGCAAGCACGCCAAGCTCTTCATCGGTCTTCCTGGCTCTTCTGATGCCGCCGACTCTGGTTACATCGAGCCCGTCAAGGCTGCCGCTCTCATCAACACCTACAAGACCCGCGCCTCTTTCGGTGGTGCCATGATCTGGGATGTCTATCACGGCCAGAAGGTGACCGACGGAAAGACCTTCGTTGATGCGATTAACACTGCCTGCCACGGCACCGCTAAGCCCGCCACCGCTGCCCCGGCTCCCAACGCCATCGGTTGCACGGCTTACCACACCGTCACTCCTGGTGAATACTGCTATCTGATTGCCCAGAACTATGGCATCACTATTACCGAGCTCATCAGGTATAACCCTACCATGAATGCGGCCTGCGCCGTTCAGAGCGGTCAGAAGCTGTGCGTCAAGCAGGGTATTGTGACTCTTGCGAGTACCATCACCTCTGCTCCCGCTGTCTCCTCCACCGAAGCCGCTAGCTCGAGCTCTGAGGCTGTCAGCACCGCTGAGTTCTGCGAAGACGAAACTACCACCTCTGCCCCTGCCATCACTTCCGCCCCGGTTGTGATCTCCAGCAGCGCCATCAACTCCGAGATCATCAGCAGCACCACTACTGAAGACGACTCTTGCGATGTTGAGATTATTTCCGAGGATCCTGTTGGTTCCGCTACTGAATCCGTTGTTGTCTCTTCCACTGAGGCCCCTGTTGTCTCTGCTACTGAGTCCGCTGTCGTTTCCGAGACTGCTTCTGTCACAGAGCCCAGCCTGATCAGCGTCAGCTTCAGCATCGAGGTCCCTACCACCACCGATGATGCTTGCGAGGATGACACCACCCCCTCCGAGGTCCCCTCCGCCACCGAGGGTCCTTCCGATGGCTCCTCCACCGCTATTGATCTTTCTATCATCACTTCTGCCCCCGTCGTTATCCCCTCCGGCGGCAGCTCCGAGATCATCAGCAGCACCACTACTGAAGACGACTCTTGCGATGTTGAGATTATTTCCGAGGATCCTATTGGTTCCGCTACTGAATCCGTTGTTGTCTCTTCCACTGAGGCTCCTGTTGTCTCTGCCACTGGGTCTGCTGTTCCCTCTGACCCTATTGATGATGAGATTATTACCAAGGATCCTGTTGGTTCCGCTACTGGATCCGTTGTTGTCTCTTCCACTGAGGCTCCTGTTGTCTCTGCCACTGAGTCTGCTGTTCCCTCTGACATTGTTAGCGAGAGCATCCTTCCCAGCGGCGTTGTTCCCAGCGGTGTCGTTCCCTCCGGTGTTGTTCCCTCCGGCATTGTCAGCGAGAGCATCATCCCCAGCGGTGTCGTCCCCAGCAGTGTCGTCCCCAGCGGTGTCGTTCCCAGCGGTGTCGCCCCCAGCGGTGTCGTTCCCAGCGGTGTCGTTCCCAGCGGTATCGTTTCCAGCATCATCTCCGATGTCACTTCTGGGCCTACCGATGGCAGCAACGTCGTTGTCCCCTCTGCCTCCGTCTCCGTTCCCATTGAGAGCGGTATCTCCTCTGCCCCTGGCGCCGGTGTCACTTCCGCCCCCGCTGAGGAGTGGACCACCTCGACCATCTACGCCACCACCACCTCTACCATTACCAGCTGCGCTCCTGAGGTGACCGACTGCCCCGCCAAGATTGGCCAGGTCACCACCGTCGTTGTCGCCATCGGCACCACCGTTTGCCCCGTCACCGCTACCGAAACCTCCGCCAGCGCTCCCACCGGCATCATCACCTCGGTCCCCATCGAGTCGATCCCCGCTGGCTTCACCACCTCGACCATCTACGCCACCACCACCTCCACCATCACCAGCTGCGCCCCCACCGTGACTGACTGCCCCGGCAAGATCGGCCAGGTCACCACCATCGTCGTCCCCGTCGGTGTCACTGTCTGCCCCATCACCGAGGCCTTCCCTCCCGCCACCTCGGTCCCCGCCGCTCCCTCCGCTGGTGCCCCCGGTGCCCCTGGTGCTCCCGCCGTCTCCGCGCCCGCCGTTCCCTCTGGCGGTGCCGGTGTCCCCGTCCCCTCCGGCAGCGCCCCCGGTGCCCCCGGTGCTCCTGAGGTCGACACCACCTCCACCATCTCCGTCACCTCCGTGAACTTCACCACCGTCACCGTCGCCAAGCCCACCGCTTCCGCTCCCGGTGCTCCCGGTGCCGGTGTCCCTGCCGCATCCTCGCCTGCGGCCTTCCCCTCCGAGGTTCCCTCCGGCGGCGCCCCTGCCGTCCCCAGCGGCACTGCCCCCGCTGGCACCGGCGTCTCGCTTGCTCCTTCCAGCGCTCTCGCCAAGCCCACCGCTTCCGCTCCCGGTGCTCCCGGTGCCGGTGTCCCTGCCGAGTCCTCGCCTGCGGCCTTCCCCTCCGAGGTTCCCTCCGGCGGCGCCCCTGTCCCATCCGTCGTCAACGCCCCTGCCGTCCCCAGCGGCACTGCCCCCGCTGGCACCGGCGTCTCACTTGCTCCTTCCAGCGCTCCTTCGACCTACAGCATGCCTGCGCCGCCTGCTCAGACTGAGCCTGCCACCGGCTCTGAGCCCTCGGAGGTTCCTGTCACTGCAGGTGCCGGACGCAACGTTGTTGCAATCGGTGTCCCTGCTTTGATGGCTGCTTTGATTCTTGCGTTGTAAATTTTCGATATGCACGTGGCAGGAATGTTGAATGGAGGATGAACAACTGAAAGGGATGCACAATGGTGGGTACATGGATGAAGAAGAAGAAGAAGAAACTTTTGGACATGCATGATTAGCAAGCTCTTTTTGGACATGTCAGAAAGTTTTCTTTTACACAGTGTACTTGCATTGTACCTATTACCATCTGCTTGCATCTCTTTCTCATTCATGTCCATGTTCATCCATGTTTTTGCATGCATTCATCCTAGAGATATCCATGGGGTCTACGGTTGAAGAAGGGAAGAAGGAAGGGATGTTGGAATAGCAACAAGGCAAAGCGAGCGAGCATATCTGGTTTTTAACTTCATTTTCCTATCTGTCACATGTTTCCTAGAGTAAGACTTCACTTCTTCTTTGTTTTTCTTTGTGTATATATCAGATGAATAAGATACGATGATTACATCTTACGCTTGGCGCTGACATGACCTGTCTCAAACTCTCAATCCACTCCAGTCCATGAGAATGTCGAAGATGGTCAAGAGAAGACGTGTGTTGTCGATTACCGTACCTCCTTCGTTATTGGTACGACAATCCGCGCTGCCTACCTCTACCATGGGCAGACGGACTAGCTAGACAGGCACAATCCAGTCAGACTGGTGTGCGATGACAGTCCTCCATAAAGACGACTCGTCAGACTTGAAACCTCGTCCAAACCTCTTGGCTTGACAGTCATGAGAATCCAGCATCATCACCAGTCAAGCCCATGAGTGTTCATCAGTTATCTCCCCTTCGTGGTGTGATGTGTCGGTCAAACACCCAAGGCTGTATAAATTTCAAATTGCCGTCACTTGGCATTGGTAGCCAATCTCAGGTCTATTGATGATCAAAATAGAGCCAAAAAAAGAATCAAATGAAAAAGACAGCTTCCACTACGAAACCACAAACAGAAAGAGAGAAAAAGGTCCACTCAACCATAGAGGCACAAGTGACACCAGTAAGTACCTACAAATCAAACTGCTTACGTGCTTACCTGCTGCTAACCCGCTTAGCTCACCTAGCTCAAGGGATCTCGATCTAACTTGGTGATCTCACTGCTTGGCTCGAACTGGATCTTGGATTCCCCTGGACCTATGCTTCCCGTTGTCCCCTCACCCATTAGACGGATTTGGAGGGATACATGCGAGCTAATCGCTGTCCAGTTAGTCTCAGTGGGTAGTGGGCAGCCGTAATGGCAGTGGGTAGAGGTAGCGGGCAGTGGGTCAGGGAAGTTGTTGTGATCCCGGCCATACCTAGTTCCCTTGGTTTTTTTTTCCTTTGACACATGTTGGTCTACCTGGGTTGGCGATAGTCCTTGGCTTGTTGAGTCTTGAGAGTGGGAAAGTGGTAATGGAGTTTTGTTCATCATTCATGCCAGCTAGAAGTAGCTAGGTTGACTTGACCGTCTATACTATACGACACTCGCTGAAAGCTTAACTACCTACCAGATAAACAAGTCAAGCACCAGTCCCGGAGGAGCTCACTGACTAGGTAGGTAGGATTTGATCGGTGAAGTGCAGTTACAAGTCAGTCAGCCATGCTGATACCATTCGGCTCTCTACTACTTCATTATAGCCCAGCTTCAACAGTGAGTCTCTAATGATCCATTCAATTCACGACCATGACCATCTCCCGCCCGTCGGCATCGAAAACTGCAGTCATGTCTTGTTCACTCCCACACTGTTTCCTTGATGGCCTTGAAAGTCAAGTCAGACTATCATCACTCATTTCTCCTCAATTCGCCCGTCCGCCTGATGGCTTATTTGCCATGGTTACTTTTCCCTGGTTCTTCTGGAAGCTTCTTCTTCTCGCTCACGCACACCGTCACACCTTTCCATGGCTTGCCTGCATCGATCGAGATCCGAAATCAAGATCAAGATCGTGAACGTTCACTCGCTCGACATAATGTGATGTGATTGCCCGAGATACGAAATAGGACATCCATAGCGAACGTAGTGTACACATCAAACTTCCCCTCCATTATTGACAATCAAAGATGAACTAAGCTAGCTCTGCCTCAGGTAAGTAAGTAAGTAGCTGGCGGTGTTGCTTGCTTGATAATGCCTTACTCATCTCCTTACCTACTTCCAATTCTCACTCATCTTCACCTATGTACCTTCACTATCCCTTCTCATTCCTTTTTCAGTCTCACTACAGCTCAGTAGTACCTCAACTACCACCAGGGTACTCGGATATTTTTTTTTTTTCCCATTCCGCACCTCAGATGAAACAGGTTGGTGGTAATGGAACCCGTCCAGATGGAGATATGTACGTACTATACATGTCTCTTGATGGAGTGTGCGCATGGGGAGATATATATGCATATCTCACAACCTATAACCCAAACACCCGGATACCCTAGAACGCGCGTGGCATAAACATGGCATGGCGTGACCATAACATCCACATAGCATGATGTTGAGTGCAAGGTGTGGCTATTGTGGCATATATTTGACTTAAATTCGCCTGAACCGGAGTAGATGGCGCGCGGATGGGGCTTGCCTTCACCCCCAACTCGCCTAATGGCAAGCTGCCTCGACTTTGCTTTTTTTCGGGCCGTAGAACTGCTAGAACTGCTGCTAGAAGGAAATGTGTTTCGGGACTTGACTGGAGAAGGAAGGAAGGGGCTGAACTCGGACATTTCCCCATTTCCCCATTTCCTTCAATGTCTTACCTAGTCCCTCAAGTCCTAAATGGGACCTGGCGGCTACCGACTACTGCGTAGGTAGTGCGTATTGCGTAACGTGTAATGAGCAGTTGAAAAGAAAGAATAACAAAATGTGGCGCTCCCGCGGCGTTTATTATCGTACCATCTTTTAACGTAAAGATGTCTCTCTTTTTCGTTTTTGGAGTTCGTTCCACAGCTCTCAGTTCCAGCTCCGTGGGATGGGATGGCATGGCATGGCATGGGATGTACCGAAGCAGCTTGTACCGAAAGAGAAATGCTATGCAAGCAGGGCAAGCTATGTTCCAGTCGAATCGGCTAGCTGCCGCTTACTGGGCTGTTCCCTCGTCACGTGCGTGCCTGGGCTATAATGAGACAGTACATACCAAAAGTAGATTCGGGGCAAAGGCCCGGGTCCGTCCAGGCCCAGATTCAAGCCACATTGACTCTCGCGTGGGTACCTTGTCTTGGTAGCCTTGGTAGGTATGTACCACCGTTCTTTCGGATACACGTGGGTTATTGAAGGAAGACAAGGAAAAAGTAATGCATGTATGTCTCTGATTGACATTGGACCTGGACTTGATCCGATCCGTTCTGGCGGGACCACCGCGGACGCGGAGTGCGGACGCGGACGGACTGGAAATGGGAGGGATGCGTTCGTTCGGATGCAGTGTGTGTGTGTCCTTGGGATTTGCCAAGCAATTGTGGGATATGCAGGTAATAGTAGGTACTTTCCGAACGACTGGAACGAAAGCAAATCCAGGTAGGAATAATGTAAATAGGTACCTACCTAAACCTGGTTGTATGAAGCATGCGGCCAGATTCAGATGCACAATGTAGGTGAGCTTGAACGAGAAGAAAGCTGGAGGTAAGTAGGCATGTAGCAAGTGGAATGTAGTGTATGCATGTCTCTGTTTTCCTCGTGAGTTTTTGTGTAACGGTCTAGAACTTTCCCCTCCTTTCTTGTCCTCCTCCTCCTCATTCTTCTCATTCCCCTCAATATTTTAGTTTAAGATATTGAAACGACGAGACAGCTCGGCCTGAACAGTATGGGGGTTCCAAGATGAGCAAGTTTTATACACTGACTGGATACTGTGTGAACTTTCATGACGGGCAGAACACTGTGCAGAGCCAGTTAGGCTAAACTGGACTAGTACTAACCTATGGGTTGGAGAGAAGAAAGACACCTCGGTCAGTCCGGGAGACGCTAAAAAGGGGCGTGTGCTTTAAGGGAGAGACCGAGCTCGATATGTTAAGGGAGCGATAGTAGTGTAGCTTATGTGTTGTACATTGGTAGCTGAATGAGAGAAAGATAAAGCACGTGAACGTAGATGGGTGGACAGAGAGGTAAAAAAGAAAGGAAAGCTTCTAGAAGGTTTGATAAGATGTCTTACAACGAGTCCTTCCCGAGCGAGATTCATTGCTTGTTTTTTTTCTCTCGCCTTGTGCATTTGTGACGATGAAAAACTTCATCATTGCAGCACTGTTACGTTACTATTGTGGTGGAGAGTTGGAAGAAGAATCTGCGCTTCTTGCACATCAGTTCATCCGGGGTTAACTTCCCCTTTTCTTGCTTTTCCTCTCTCTCGATCACCGGGCCCGGATCTTGCGTGCCGGTGCACGACACTTGCCGGTACTCCTACCCGACAAGGCCCGTGGACGATCAGTGGTTGGGTATGTGACAGAAAGGGGACAGCCCGGCTGTACGGGTGAAACACGGCTTTTCATGCTGGCCAATGTAGTAGTGGAACGGAAGGTGATAATTTGTTTCGGCACCGAGTGGTGTTTTTCACACAGAAAATCTGAAAATAGAAGACCTCACTCACCTTCCATCTTGTGGCTGATGAGTTTTAAATGCCCAACGACAGCGTAACAATAAAAACGTGTCCGAGTGATGTGATTCACACCATGTATGGGCACCCAGAGGCCAATGCCGAGTGGCATTTGCGCAGTCAATGGTCTGGGGGATCGGCCACTCGGCGATGAACTGGAGGATTCTCGGCTCTCACCTGTGCTTGGCTGGGCATCCACCAGGCGTGCTAGGTAACGATCAGGTGAAAAACGTGCTTTGGTGATGGCAACATCCCCACTAACGCCAGCACTCGTCAGATGCCAGCTCACTCCAGGAGGCATGTAACACGTTTTCTTCCTCGTGCAGCGGGAGGAGCCAGAGAGGAGTCAGTGAAAAGTTCTCCGTCGGGGTTGGGGGCAGGCGAGGCAGGGTAAGGGGAATAATTTGGGCGAACCAGTAGTCAAACAGTGAAAAGTTGTAGCAGACTTTTCATCGGGCCACCGGCACCTTCCCGAAAGGACGTCCGCGAGTTTCTCTAGCAGGGCATGAATGCACCTCGGACTCTCTGTGACGGGGAATGGGGTCCCAATATGCCAGCTCGTGTAACTGTGATATTGAACTCCATGCGTTCTGGCTACCAAACCATGACATTGTATGTCGTTGGAACTTTCATTGCTTGCACACGCTCGCATCACACAAGTATTGGTAGGAGGACTTGAGTGTAGGTCATGCGTGTGTGCGTCTGGACGCCTGAACGTGATCCTTCTGCGAGTGAATGCCTTAATGTTGAGGCCCAGAACGATCAGCTGGCTTGGCCGAAGATGGATATTTGACGAGTCTCGAAGCGGTGACGGACACCCCTTGGTATTGACGTAGGCGGTTGCTCTTGCCACGGCACAGCGGAAGAGTTGTGTCCTAACTGTCCGGGATCTCCCTTCGAGTCATATCCATCTCTTATTGAAAGCATTGACACTATTTCGGCACACGAGCCTCAGGGTCCATCAGGAGTCGGAGGCTGGGCCGAGTCCTTAGACCCAATAAGCTTCCATGAATAGCTGACAACAAAGACTTGCTCGCGATAAGAGATTCCCCTCGCAAGCTTGGACTTCTACAGCTTAGGTAAAACTGGAGTATTTCGGTCATACTACATCTCCACTCGGTACGGGCCGGAGATGGAAGCGGTGACCACCGGTCATCTCATCTCGAGATGATGTCGTTTTGTAAGGTTGCCACCGGCCCCTGAGGCAGTTGAAATTTTTTTTTTTTTTTTTGATTCCCATTTTCCATGAGTTTGATTCGGTGACCTCACTGAGCTCACTTTTGACAGCGGATAAGACCGGCAGTTTCCAAAGGTGTGAGGACTTTTTTTTTACCCGGCTTGCTGCTGTGAAACCATACGAGGCAGGGCAGGTTCGATGATGTCTGTTGCACACTGGTAGTAAGTGTGGATGTAAGCAGTCGGGGCTCAAGCAGGCGGCCACGAGCTACCTTACGTAACGGATCACAGATGCAACTGCAACAAGCGTCAACGGCGGTGATGATGGATCGCTTGATGGATCGCGCGAAGATCGGGCATGGAACTCATGTGCCATCATCTCCACCGATATCTGGCATTAGTGAGCTGGTATGGAGGCGAAGGTAAGGTAAGTCGATGGAGGCGGAAGCGGAAGCGAGTCCGACTCCGGGCCAATTCCACCTTTCTTTGCAGCTGGCATGGCCCCTCCCAGTCTTTGGGTGTCTCCCAAGCGTGCCTGGCGTGCTTCTCGTTCAGTAGCCAATATCGTGACGATCTGGGTGTCCGTACCATGTACCAATTTCCACGAGAAATGGGCGTGGGCAGGGTGAGCCAGCCAGTCAACGGTATCGATATGAGGCTCGCGTGCGTAGATGGACACAACGTTTGGTGGTTTCGCCGTCGGGAAGCAGCTTCGGTTGATGAAGCTAATAAGCGCGGATCTGGCAGATGAGAAAAGGTTGTTTCGCGGAGGCATGGCATTCAAGATGTGAAGGGATGGGTGAGGCCGTTGTTTGATAGGACGCTTTGAGAGGTGGTGTCTCGTGTGTGTACATCTAGTACATAGTCTAGATAGTAGATATCTCAAGTATCTCCGCGGTTGGCGGCTTTGGCGGGCGTCGAACCTAACGGTCGGGTCTGGACAGGGACAGACGGCTGCTTCGCCACTCAGCTTCCACTGGCCCGCTGGCGTGTGAGTGGTCTTGGTGGTTCCTCAGTGGTCCAGGCCTAGAACGGCACCTCCAGGACTGCATCACCAAAGACGTGGATGGCGGCCCGGATGAGAGACCCAGAAGAGGGTTAGATCTCCCGAAGAGTTCTCAGATGACATGTCAACATGCCAGTGCCGGAGAATGCGTCCTTCTTAACAGCAAAGCCTCGGGTGTATCTCGCTGTTACAGAAGACTCAAGTGTCGTCGCAGCCGTGTAACCGTGCCTGTGAGAATAGCTCTGCTGCCCTTTCCCTTCGGACCATTCAGTGGACTCGACTCCCCTGACGGCGTCTCCTCCGCCCCATCTTTCCGAACTCCGTACAGTGGAGGTGGAGGCCATCCCAAGCGGCCGGGTGGGTAGTCGTGTCGGCGACGTGAGTGGCCAGCGTGTTTGACAGAGGGAAGTGCCGTAAATGTCTTCAATTGCCCCCCCAATGAAAGGTGGAATTGGCACCGGCTCGTTCTCATTCGATAGCCGAGGCTGCATCATTTTTTTTCTTGGCTTTCTCTGCTTTCGTTCATTAACAATCATAGCGGTGGCGGCGGACGCGGAATGGGTTGACTTGCAACTGCGGAATGAAACTTGATGAATAACGGAGATGGAAGCTTCCATTTTTCAACATGAAACCTTCTTTTTATTTCTCTCGCTTTTTCTCCCTCCCACGAGTCCACGACTCCCACTCATTCCATCCCACACTCTGTCCGTCTTATGAGCCAGACTGAACCTGAGAGCCTTGCGCGCATTCCGCAGGCCGGAGCTGAAGGAGGCGAAAAAGTAAAAGTGGAAATGTGATGGTGCCAAGTGATAGAGGAGTACAACACTCAACAGCCATGTGAGGTACTTTGCAGTCGAAGGGAAAGACTCTGTGATAGCTAATCCCTTGGTGGTGGTGACTAATGCCCTGGATGGTGCTGGATATGTATGTGCCTGGCGAGCGTGGCCGGGGAGAGGAACCCGGATGAAGGATCATCGAGCGAGGGAAGCGAGGGAAGGGGGAGAGAAGAGAAGAAGGACCCCAAGATCCACTGCCCTGAGCAACAATAAACTAACCCCACCCATTACCCTACACTATTAGGTGAACGGGTCTATCTACAGGCTATCGAACCGTGCGCTTATTCATGCTTTGGGGACTTTTTGGGTTTTTGTTTCACTTGCTCATCCACAATGTCCATCACACATACTCGGAGTCTAGAGGTAGTAGCCATGACAAACTGAGGAAAACCTCCAGTTTAGCAGCTGGATGAACACGAGTCAGACACCTCTGTTTAGTCAACAGTCACCTTATCCAGCTTCCCTTGTTGCCGGGAATAAACTTGATGGGACCGGGTACCTGTAGCTGAACCCAGGCAGACCATGACAGCTGACCAACATGTCGGATTCAACATCTACCTGTCTCCCACAATATTTTAATGTAGAGAGACGATGATCGTGCCAAGCTAGAGGAGGCGTGGTCAAGATCTAGATGTACACATAAACGCACATATAGAGACCAGGACTGATGGTGCAGTCCAGAAGCAGTCTTCAGGTGCCAAGCTTCCCTTTCCAGCAGCAGCTGCCCACAGCGCCCGCCGTTGTTGGGGGGCCACGAGGGGGGCACAACCACACACACACAAACCCGACCCTCGCATCGCTCATCAATGGAACTGCCGTCTCAACGGGGGCACGATGGGGGCACAGGCCACACTGGGGGTAGGTAGTACGTACAGTGCGGGTAGCGGGTGGGATTCTTTCGATTCCCTGGATTCCCACTACGGTGGTCCTAACGCATAGTTGTATGCAGGTGCTGCGGGTCACCTCCCAGGGCAAGTACCACAGTTATCGAACGACCTAGCTTGGGACCCAATGGGGCATTCAGAAGGCCGCGGAAGTGGTAGGTCGCAAGGTACAGTGGGCAACAGGCCCTGCTACGTACCACTCCATGGAACCTCTGTGGGCTCACATCCTGGGACCTCCAGGCTCGTCCGAGAATCATCCTTAATTCCAACTTCCTTTTTTCCTCCCATTCCCTTTCCCTCCGATCCTCTTTCCTCTCCGCCTGCTTTTGTCACGAGGGTAAACAACTTTGTCTCAGTCTTGGTTTCCTGCGCTGTGGGCATCGAGGGTCTCGTGGGCTTTGTTCTGGGCCTCGCCTTTCTTCTTTAATAGATCTCTCTTCCAAATACCATCTTGTGTTTATCAGACTGGGAAAAAAAAGTTGCCATCCCTCCCCTCCTCCGTCTTCGTCACCACAGATCGCGCTGTCCACATCCAAGATCCCGTCACAGCAACCCAATTTTCAACAGACAGTTCAATACTAGACTCACCTACGCATCCATCCACGCTGTCGCCCTCAACGCCCCCGGGTCCCGCCTCGCCGACTGCCCAATGCCGGCTTCCTCGGGGCAATCCTTCCTCCACGATGGCTACCATCGAGCCACGGCTTATGCACCTCTCAACCGTACTCAACACTCAGCAAGCCGATAGCCCTTCACCTGTCCAGCTCGTTCCTATAACGACCCCCGTGAACAACAGCTCGCTCTATCTACCCACCTTGCCCCGCGATGCTGGACAACAACAGCAGCAGCAGAGAATCGACAAGCAACTGCCGACACTGCCACCGATTCATACGCTCAGTAACGAATCCTTGACCAAGCAGACGCCAAGGATAGACCCTTTTGGAAGCGATCCTGCAGCTCGTCACCCTCCTTCGAGTCATTCCCTCCAATTGCTGCTTTCAAACTCCCCAGAGACGAGCAGCACGCCCCTCTCTCTGCGCAGGCCTGCAGGCGACCACCCCGATGCTCTCCAAGATGCCTACAACAAGAAGCGACAGCGGGCGCTCGCTGCCAAAGACGATTATGTCCAGCTGCCTCAGCCGCTCAAGAAGCAAAAATCCACCCAAGAGGTGGTCCTTCAACAAGTAGTCACGGTCCCACCCATTCTCAACGGGCTCCACGAACCGCCACCCAACCCCAACGCCAGCAGGTTTCCCCCAATACTCTCCGGCGTTGTTGACCATGAGCCACCGAGGATAAGCGGTTACATGCATGATCTCAGTCCTCCGACCCATATCCCTGCCTCGACAACAACAACACCACCCGCGGAATGGTCCATTACATCACCACCCCCAACAGACGGAGACAAGACCAGTGGCGGAGCCAAGGCAAAACGAAGGGCGGCGAAACCACGGAGAAAGTGGTCCGATGAGGAAACCAACAATCTTCTACTGGGTGTCAGTCGGCATGGTGTTGGAAAATGGACGACTATTCTGGAGGATCCCGACTACAAGTTCAACGACCGAACTGCCGGTGACCTCAAGGATCGGTTTCGGACCTGCTGTCCCGAGGAGCTTCGTGGGGGTTCAAGCAAGAGGAGTCCTGGGGCCGACAAGTCTACATCAGGCGAATCAACCACGCACACGAACAGCAGGCACAAGAATGGCTTGTCGCTGGACGCTCTCTTGAGCAACCCAGAGGCCGGACCGAGTGATAAGGATAGGGGTGACTCCGATTCTGCCCCTGCGAAACAGAGAAAGAGTCGGGCACACCGGAAGAAGATGGAAGATCTTGTCGAACTGGGAATCAGGGGTCCATTCAAGAAGTCTCACCGTCGTGAGAGGCGTCCATTTACGGACCTGGACGACAAGGAAATTCTGGCGGGACTCAAGAAACATGGGCCTGCTTGGACCAAGATCCAACGCGATCCAGAGTATCATCTTCAGAGCCGCCAACCCACGGATTTGCGCGACCGGGTTCGCAACAAGTATCCGGTAATCTACGCAAGCATTGAGAAGACCAATCCCCGGGACAAGGACCAACAAGCCCGCGGGAGTGCGGAGGCGTCTACATCCAGCATCAGTCTGCTGGAACCTTCCATCAATCCTACCATGTCGAAAACTCTCGAACCGACCATAGCACGATCGATAGAACCGCAAGTATCGCGACAGAGCTCCAGGGAGGAATTGCCAAAGTGGCTCCCGAGTACAACATGCGAACCGACAGAGACTCTGCCCGGTCTGGCTTCTGTCTTTGCTGACTTGCCTGACGGTCCTCTGTCGTCGTCATATTTCGGAGGACCGCCTGACATGGATATTTCCCGACTCCTGCTAAACGATGCCCAAGACCCTTCCTCGGCCTCGGAACGCCTGAGATACGGACAGGGAGGTATGGGGGGAGGGGGGGCAGTCATTCCAGGAGGTCAGGATGGTTCATCGGGTGGACCCGCCCATCGGAGGGCTCTCTGAACCGCGAGGTAACAGGTAGGCATGCAGAGAGCTTGCTACAATGTTGCGAGCTTTTGCCGCCAGCGAGAGAGATTTTTATCGTCTCTAACACACGGGAATTCTCGCACAGTAAACGGCCTGCGCATCGTTTGAACTTGACGACTTCCATTTGTTTTTGCTATGTTATCAGCGTATACGGGTTTCTAGATGCAGGGCGTAACCGGTCATCAAGGCGGGGTTCGAGAAACACTTTTCTTTGCGTCTATATACACCGGGCGGCGTCAGTCAAGGGGCTGACAAAGATTGGGATCGGGAAATCGGGGGCACGCATTTGTCTCTTAAGGAAAGAGAGAACAACTTTGGGAGGAGTGCATCACACATAGCCATGGAGAGCATCTCCATGGTTGTCACCGGGATCAGATCTATAGGAAGATTTGAGGCGGGAGCAACCTTCCACCATGGAGGAAGACGAGCTGACGAGAGAGATACAAAAGACGAGAAGAAACATTAGTGACAGACATGCATACTACCCAACAGCGTGTTCAAAGTATACGAACGAAGCAAATATGAGTTCGATTGACTTCAATCAATGCATGACCTGATGCCAGAGTGAATATCATGAGGTGCTTTCCGAGTCAACGTATCAAACACGAGCCTGGTAAGAGCGCTTGTTCATGATGTCAGGCCACCGCGGGTGAGAATGGTGATGACATTTCAGGGGCAACAGCCGGGAGAGGATGCGGAATGGATGATCATCGTGGTCAACCCTAACCCTGATTACCGACTTCTTTCAGCTGGCGACTGCTCCACAGCAAGTGAGGCGTTGCAGTGGGGCGCAAAACCACAATGTGGAGCACAGACCAAGCCGTTCGCGAAGCTGCCAAGCGCCAAGCACAATTGCCGGCTCTCACCGCCTGCCCACAGGCCGCTAGGGTTTTCGAGGCACAAAACACTTTTCATATTTACCTGGCCGGCCTCTTCGACGAACTTTCCCTCCCGATTTTCTCGACCAGCAAATCCATTAGCCAACCGTCAAAATGGGCAGAGGACCGTAAGTGCACCACCCCTACGGATCGCTGACGATGATTCTCGATTCGACGATGCTTTTCGGCGACGCAGCATTTGGATGGCCAGTTTCGAGTTCGGTCACGTCTTCGAAATTGGGCGCCAAACGCTGCAACACCAAAAGATCGCGTCGAGATGTCGCAAAACTGAAGCTTCCCGGCGACGGCGATGACTGACTCCGACTCCCTACTACAGGAAGAAGCACCAGAAGCGCCTTAGCGCCCCCTCGCACTGGCTTCTCGACAAGCTGTCGGGTGTCTATGCCCCCCGCCCTTCGGCTGGTCCTCACAAGCTCCGCGAGTGCATGCCCCTCATCGTCTTCGTGCGCAACCGCCTCAAGTATGCGCTCAACTACCGTGAGACCAAGGCCATCATGATGCAGCGCCTCATCAAGGTCGATGGCAAGGTCCGCACCGACATCACCTACCCCGCCGGCTTCATGGACGTCATCACCATCGAGAAGACTGGCGAGAACTTCCGTCTCATCTACGACACCAAGGGCCGTTTCACCGTCCACCGCATCCAGGATGAGGAGGCCAAGTACAAGCTCGGCAAGGTCAAGCGCGTCCAGCTTGGCAAGGGCGGTATCCCATTCTTGGTTACGCATGATGCCAGAACGTAAGTTCTGCCCACATCTATCAGCCGTTGGACCAAGCTTTGGTAGATACGCGTGGAAGTTCACCCTTCCACTCCCCCACATGTCCTACGCGACACCTTTGCGGGAAAGTGGGAAAGTGGAATGGGGGAACATATCCTCTGCGATCACACAACTACAAGCGAGATCTATACGGCTGGTATGTCCAAACTTTCCCTCCCACGGTTGACTAACCTCGTGTGCGTGACAAACAGCATCCGCTACCCCGACCCCTTGATCAAGGTCAACGACACTGTCAAGATCAACATTGAGACTGGCAAGATCGATGACTTCGTCAAGTTCGACACTGGTGCCATCGCCATGGTCACCGGCGGTCGTAACATGGGCCGTGTTGGTGTCATCACCCACCGTGAGCGTCACGATGGTGGTTTTAACATCATCCACGTCAAGGATGCCCTTGACAACACCTTCGCTACCCGCGAGTCCAACGTTTTCGTCATCGGCTCCGAGAAGCCCTGGATCTCCCTCCCCAAGGGCAAGGGTGTCAAGCTCTCCATCGCTGAGGAGCGTGACCGCCGCCGCGCCAACGCTCTTGCCCACTAAATGTGTGCAAGTGTGTTTTCTGGTGCTTCATGACTAAGGATTTCGGGCATAACGGGGGCTTTTGGCTTGTTGATACCTAACGATTACTGAAAAAGCATGCTGGGATGGAGTTAATACGGGAATGTAAATTTCAAGATACCCGTCGCGTAAGAGCGACGACCCTTAGCTCCGTACCTAGGTATTTCTAGTTTTAGATGGATGCCCAAACATGGCTCCTGATAACTGGATCACAACAACCGGGCCCTCGTGCCCTTGCCTTATTCAAACTCTGTCTGATCCATATCATCTCGCTATTGTGAATGCGATGTGCTTACGTGTTGAATTTTTTGGCGAGATCTCTCCGAGTCCCGTCACATTGTTCTAGGGTCCTACTAGCTTGGGTTCAACTCATCACACATAACTACGTGCGTGCCAACCATGCCCAAGATGGCCTTGTTCCGCGACGACACATCAACCAACAACCTCCGACACTCGCCCACTCGGCTCGAACCACTCGGATCATCCGAACATTCCTCGAGGCACCCGCCGCGTTATTCCCCCTTTCTTCCCGTCCCGCCCTTACCCATCAGGAACTTGTTCTGAGATTGGATCCCAAACCGACAACAATGCTACCACCATGAGAAAAGGGTGTTGGTGATATCCCCCTGTCCAGTGTTCATCCAGGCCTGTGATCACAGTCTTGATTGAGTTCAAGCGCGCCAACCAGACCGGACTTGGCCACCAAGACCAATCTCCCGTCCCATGGATCATGGACACCAAGGTAGGAACATCCAAACATCCAGAACATCACGGCTGCGAGACACTTGGGCTCTTGGAGTCTTGGACTATCTGTTGAGCACTGTTGACTACGATGTATTTGAGTATTCAGTGCGTCTAGTCTACACAATAGGTAGGCAGGTAGGTAGGTGACGGTCATGTTCATGTTCTTCGTTGTAAATCATTACTGGTTTACTGGTTTTTACGCCCGACGCGAGCAGAAGGCCCCAAAATCGTTGAGTGACGGACCGACTGGGGTTCACTTCTTCCATGCCTTTGCCAGGAACCTCAAGGGTTCAGTTTCAAAGTTGGAAGCTGGTTTACGTTTTACTTTGAAACCACACTGTGGTGTCTTTGAGTCTCTCTTTGAGGTGAAAGGATCAAGGTAGAATGATGGGAGCCGTGCAAGGTAGGTAGGAACGGGAACAGAAAAGTATCTACATGGACGGCATATACCAAGGCAAGTCGGTATTCTTGTTGGCGCTAGCTAGAGGTAGGTACATATTTCGGTGACTTCAAACTCGGGGTCTTACTAACTTCCCATTGCCCTGAAGCCTGACACCGCCTGGTTGGAGATCTGTGTAGTCTCTGCCCTTGCCTACCTAGATATTGATCTATCTACCTACTTACCCATCTACCCCTTCTTCCAGTTTCAATCTAGTCTCAACTGCCTAATATCTCCAACCCGATCACCAAGCGCACAAGGGGAAAAGAACATGAAGTGAAGTGGGGTTGGTGGCAGTCCTGAAAATGGTAGTCTGAAGGGACAAGCCATGGATGACAGAGATGGGAGTCAAGGGCAGACAGAAGGAAAGGGGTCAGGGAAAGGATTCCAGGGAAAGGGTCCGGGGAAAAGCGTAAGCGGGTGGGCGGCTAGAGGAGAACAGTGACTAACCCCTGAAGACTTCTTGGCTGCTCGGGGATGACCTTGAAACCCAGCTCTTGAAGACAGAAGTAGTCCAAGCAGCCAGTGGGTGAGCTGAAGAGGAGGGTACTTCGTTGTGATAGTGGCGCCGGAGGCCTCATATCGGGCATCAAGTAAGTCAGAAAGCCGGCTCGGGAGGCCTAGGCTGGGCTGAGCACGTACAGTGCTCATCTGCTGGTGATGCATGGCTGCTGGGTTGGGTTTGAGAGGTCGTGGGAAGCACAACCGCGGTTACCGCGCTGTTGCTGGACTGGCTGGCAGAACTGAGCTGCCCGGAAGGAGTCGGGTGTGATGGGATATCTTTGGTATGTGAGATGCGATGTGATGGTATATGGTTGTTGAGGAGTGGTGGAGTAGTAGAGTATCGGCGGTGTTGGCTGGACTGGGATAAGTAGATGGGGCATTTCCGAGAGGAGAGAGATTAATGGATCTCTGTAAAGGCTTCTCTTGCTCCCCTCTTGGTTCCGAAGACCATGGTGGGTCACCAGGACTCGGGTGATGAGTGTCGTTGATCCGGACGAATCATGATGTTGTTTGCCTGCTCGACGGCTTGACGGGGCGGTAGGGCAGCAGACCCGGGCCGAGGCTTGACGGAGGAGGCCTGGTGGATTCGTTAGGCTTGATACGAGGAGATCCACGAGAAGAGGAGCAAGAAGGGGATGGGAAGGGGGATGGGGAGGCTTTCCGTTTCGGCCTTGGCTTCACATTCACCCTTGGTTTCGCACTCATCCTTATGGGTGAAGTTTTGGGTGGATTGGGCTGGACATCGATGCCATGGACGGGGATATTCTTCTGAGCTCCCACTTCTCTTCCTGGTTTTGATGGGCAGTGCCCAGGTAAATCCACTGTGGAAGAAACATCCATCAAGTTAACATTATGCTGGTAACAGAAAACACTTGAATCTACCGCATCATCGAGGGGTAGATAGCACATACTCTGTGGTCATGAGTTGGAGCAGGTTCCGAGAGAGTCACTTACATCGAAATCCGATTTGACGAACCCTCGGATAAGCCGAAGTGACCGGTGTTTTTGTTGCCAGTGGTACCTTCGTTATAGACGCCGCTTAGTCTAGTTCTTCCGAGTGACTGTACATTATTCTCGGAATTGCGTCGGTGACTGGCTCAATATGTAGTTTAGTTGAGAAGCCGGAGAAAGAATCATCTCCATAAGACTCAGCCCTTGTTCGAATTTGCTCCGTATAATGACCATTTGAGCCAGTCAAAGCCCTTGTTGCCATCCTCACTGTGTTTTGCCGTTTCTTATTCCCTCCCTTCCCATGAAAGTGGCTTTTAAACGTCTAGTTCTTCTACCAGCGACCCTTCTTTGCGCCCCATGTAGTATGTGACGACTTGTCAAGTGCGAGTGTTGAAGGCTTTCGGATCCTCAGCGTAAGTCGCTGTCCTCTCTCAAACTGTGTGATTCCAGAACCGCGAGTGGCCAGGAAATGCAAACAGGAAATTGCCTACAGCTCACCACGGTGAGCGGATGCTCATTCCCCGATAAATTGTGATTGCCTTCATCTGGTTGCGGCGGCTTTGGGTATGATCAGCACTACCGGCAAGGTGAAGTCCTTTTTGTGTTACTCGGCACATATTCGCCTCGTTTAAAGTTCACGGCAACAATTCATCCCAGAGTTCTCCTGTCCAAACTTGGGCAACAGTGAAGAGACGACCGAGCCCCCTGAGCCGCTTGATCATCAAGCCAAGCCAGGCACAACAACGGCCGTTAGTGTCAAAGCAATGAGGCTGAGGCATACACGAACCCTTGGGAAGTGGAGGTAGTACATGTCAAGTAATCGCAAACCATATAGTATTCAAGAACCTAGCCGGTACCACCAATCTCCTCGGAAGCACGACATCCTAAGGCTTTCCTCGCGGTTCACGACATTTTATGAGGAAAGTAATGATTAATGGGGAAGGACCGATGGTGAGGAGAGGTAAGAGCCCGGGGTTGAATGGTGAGTTCATGCTGTTGGCGGGTGACAGCATATTTCGACGGTGTTGACTAGCTGGGACTTTACTTCAACATCCACTGGATGATTTGTGAAGCAATGTTTCTTTTTGCTCGTATGATTGTGTGCTAACGTTGATGTCAACGTCGTTAAAATCGAGTCCCTTTCTGATAATGTAAGAGGCCGTTCATTCCCCGTATGCGAATGCGAACTGAACTGGACGGCCGTAGCTCGTATGGGTACCTCCAGAAGCTGGTAAGCCACCCAACTGACGTTTCATCTGGCCCTCCTGCACAGTCTCGTGACCATCAGCTGACGTGCGGGTAAATGCTTGAAGGGTGCGGAAGGCTTTTCTCTCATCACGTCCATCTATCACTCCCAGTCCTGCTGGGAGGGGTGAGTGGTAGGTACCATCTTGACAAAAATTGAGGTGTCAACTACACTACTTCCCAGCGATGTCCGGATGTTGATCATCGTACATGCGATAGAAGCAAGTGAGTGCAGTAGTCTCGAGTCTGTGTGATGTTTGTCGCACCGTCTAGACCAATCCTGGCTGAGGCGTAAGGAAGGGAAAGGGTCACGATCGATGGGCGCTTGTTTATCCATGGTCATCATTGGTGTGCTGGCCATAGCATGCTCTGCCGCACCTTCTTGTATGGAGCGCTAGATATGCAAAGTTGTACGCTTGGGGTCAAGGCCATGGTCCGAAGCATCTTGGTTGAGAAGTAGCTTCCTGCGTAGTGCGGCTACGCTTGCGAAGTTTGATACTGGCTAAGTCGGAGATATCCAGCTGGTCAGGGATTTGTTTTGGATGCTATTGTGAGGACAGAGGACGGGCAATACAGTCAATGTAGTACTCAGACACAAAGGGCGCTGTGAGGATGCACACCAGACATAGTGATAAAGGCCAGTGAAAAGTCTTGAAGCTGCCATTGCTACTCACCACACTTGATCGTTGGCTCCCGCCATAACGGCGACTGTTGGGCTTCAGGCTTCTGAGGGGGTTCTGGAATCCGAGTCGGCACCGTGACCGAGCTTTCTGCCCACCGTGCCATCTTTCGGAGATGAGTGGGCAGGTGGGCGGCTGTCTGACCCTGCCGGCCTGTCAGCTCTGCGTAAGACATATTGCTTTTTCTGCTCCGAGAATTTGGAGGTGGCGTCTCGCTTGAGCTCTCGCCGATGTCGTCTGTAATGACAATCCGGACTCTTTATGCCTTGGCATCTCGGACCACGACGAGATAAGCGAATTCGAACGCGAAGAACCGAGAGTTAACAATGTTTGTGCTTGGAAGTTTGCCTTCTTTGCTCGAGATGATGAAGTGTATGGCATGTCGGCCGAAGGAGTGAGTGAGCATTGTAGCTTGAGACGGAATGCGGTAGGTGTGACGACGGGCAATTGCGGTCGCTGAGGGTGTGGGTAAAAGTTGATGTCTCACTGTTGGCTCAGCTTGATAGGTAGAAACCCAAACTCGAAAAGAAAGAGAAGAACGAGGAGGATTTCAACGGCTTCCAAATTCCTTGGTTCGAAAGAAGCGGTCTGCATGGTATGAAATGGGAGCCATTCCCACAGGAGCGCATCGACAACGTAAGCTGAAAGAAGACGAGGCAGGTATTCCGAGGTAGGAAGACTAGGTAAGATTCTGTCATGTCGTTGGTCTGGTGGTGGGACCGTGTAACCCCATGACGGTAAATCTGCTTCTCTGGGATGCAGGCAGAATGGCGACGCTTGTGCCAGATGGACAGGACTCACAGGTTCTGTCTCAGAGACAATGTTGGAAGCTGGTTGGTGGTGAAATTCCATTTTGAGGCTCAGCGATCTGTGCCTCTTGGAAGCGGTCGGTCGGTCAGGGCCGAGCCATCTTCCACTTGATGATCATATGGACATGTTGACGGATGATGTGGGAGTGCGGCAATGAGTCCGATCCTGCAAAGTTCTTCCCCCCGCTGCCGATGATGGAGGGGGGAAGGAATAGAAGTGCAGATTTGGCAAGAAGGAAGATGCTCAGTTTCGAGCCGAAGCGGTGGTGTTCAGAACTTGAAGTGGAAAGAAGGTTGGAGTGAGGGTCAGTCGTCCGTCCTCCCGTCGTCGTGTGATTTGTCTCCGCCTGTTGTGCACTTTCCGTGGAGCTGTTGTGGGCTTCTGGAAGGTGGGACCGCCCGGGTCCGTCAAGGTGCTCCAATGCGGGGCAGTTCCACCGGCTTGGCGTCTCCGTAGGGCAATTACGGGCAAGGAGGGGCGGGGCTTGTAGCGGCAGGAGCTCAGGCGGGGTCCGCCAGGGTTGCACGTGGAGCTTTCCACATTTTCAAACTTCACGCATCTGAGCTGCGCCTTCCAACATTGTGTTGTATCACCAACACCGCATTTCAGTCTCAAGGCAGCCGTCCGGTCAACCATTGCTCTTGCTATCCTGCTATTTTGCCTACCTGCCTGCCTCTTCTACAGGTTTCACCGCATTGTTTCTCCGTGCCTTCAATTTCAAACGAGGTTCGGTGAGTCCTCGAGCTGACGGGTCGTGACTGCGTTGAGGAGTGAGAATATCTTTCGCGCAACACAACACGACTCGGCGAGCATCCCGAACTTGGCCGGATTGGCAGAAATTGACGGCAATTCCAACGGGGCGTATGAAAAGTTGCACCGCATCTGAGTGAGGTGCCAAAAGGCTCGTTGAGTTTCTTTCCCCGCACTTTGTCTTGAGCAGTCTGTCGCCGTTACCTCACTGTTGTGGTCCCGTCTGGGGAAATGACTCTGGCAAGTCTGACCTCACTTCACTTCTGCCATTTTTGTTTGCTCCCGCAGCCTACTGCCAACTTCATCACTTCTATTTTGTCCTCATGACCTCGGCAGTCAAATCCAATTCCCGTGCTTACTGCTTTTCCTACCACGCTTCTGCACTGAAGTCACTGGACAAGCATGAGGATGGGATGGGGGTATTCCACCCATTCAAACATGTAGGGCGAAAGAGGGTCAGAGATGATATTCACCGTATGGTAAGTGTCCGTCATAGGTACACAGTTTCACGAACTGACAGTACCAAAAGCACTTTAGATGGTGACGAGGCCGTCGAGAGCTGGCTGACATGTTTGGCTTGGAATAGCCCTCTTGACTCCCTTGAGGTCGCAATGAGCGGCATTCTTTCACCGAAATAACCAAATACGGCTCCGGCGGTTCCAATAACCCGGTAATGAACACACCACTGCCATCTATACGTCTGCCAGATCAACCTATCCCGAGCCTTCAAATACAGATATATACTATGGACGACTTCAAGTTTGGTACCCTCAAGTGACGGGATTACCGCACATTGCACGCTCCTCACCGCATTGTCCGTTGGTGATTGCGGCCCGACCATGTGGACGAAGAGCTGATGCGTCAGACAAAAGCAAGTGATCAGTAACGGATGCGACCTACGCGCGGCAACTCGACCTCGAGGGTTGCACAAGTTGCAAAGGCTCTGGGCCTGGCGGGCAAGATACCGAGAGTTTGCCAAGCCTTCACAGTAGTCAGGCATTCAGAGGCTTGAAGGGCAGCAGGAATGCGCCCATGACAGCGCTTCCAATTTAATGACACTGTAGATCGTCAACTTTCTTATTCCTCACGACTCGAAAACGAACGCCAAGATTCATTCTGCATAGGTGTGTGGCTTGCCCTGCCTTGTCCGGGACACCACGAAACCGGTACCTGGGAGCGAGCTGTTGGCAGTGGCCCGATCGACGGCGTTGGGACAAATTGCCGGTAACCCCCATTACCCCCCTGACTCAGAAATGGCCAATCCTCAAAGAGAATTCCCATCTCAGGAGCTATGATGCATGTAACGGTGGTCATGGCTTATACCTACCTACTTTGCTGGCCCTTCCTCCCACCTTGGGTTGCAATCTACTTCCAACTTCTACAGAAGAAGTATCAAGGATGTCCACTGCAGTAGTGATCGATCAGTAATAACAGGGTCTCAGTAATAACTGTAATAACTGTTTCTGTAAGGAAAAAATGGTGATTCAAACGCGGCCGTGCGTAGACCCATTTTTTCTTTGGTGTTGTTAGTAGCCTGACTGGCCATACAAACCCACTATGAGTGCCCTGTACGTGGAGGGCACGGATGGGTGCACGGACCATTGTTTTAGCGGTAATTACTGAAAATGTAAGGGTAAGGAAAAAATGGGATACTTTCCGTTCCTATCGATCACTACACTGTAGTGGTTGGCACATTACTGTAAAAGATCGGATTAGCACGAGTGGTCAGATGACACGACCCTATACCCAAAGCTTCCTAACCTTATAGTCCGTATATTTATATATAAAATTGGTCTAACCTACAAAAGAAAAAGATTGATATAGTTATTGTAATACGTATTTGTATGGAATTAATTCAATATATCAAATTAATAATAGTAATTCGAATAAAGTCCGATAATATATTTATAATATATTTAGAATATATTTTAAGCTATAGACGAGGAAATTAGGCTTTATAGGCTCATCCGGGTCGTATATATAAAAGTCCCCCTATAGAGAAATAACTTTATTCGCTCGCTTAAAGTTTCTCCGTAAAAAAAATATAAAATCCAATAATATATTTATAATATATTTATAATACATCTAAAATATATCTTAAATCGTAAACGAAGAAAGAGTAAACTCCGTAGGCTTATTCGAATAGCGGCGGAATTCGTACCAAATAACGCAGCTCCGGCCTTTACCGCCCTATTTAGGACGGTAAGGAAGAAGACTTATAATAAATCGATAATTAATAAAAGATTTATTAAAGATATATCTAAAGTAAGATTTATAAATATATTTAAACTCTTTATATACTGCGTAAATAAATTTAACGGAGGAAACGATATTATCGCGCTTCTTATATATCTTCTTTATTAATTGGGTATTAACTTAAATATTAATTAAGTTAGCCAAAGATAATTAAAGGATATATTAAGTATAAATCAACGATTTATTAAAAATAAATTTAAAATACTTATATTACTATTCTTCTAAAAAAGGATTTCTATAAAACCGTCTTCCTCTATATCCGCCTCCTCTTTATTCCCTTTCTCTTATACTTCTTACTATTCCTCCTCCTATACTTCCTATTACTCCTCCTCCTACTCCTCCTCTTATACTTCCTACTACTCCTCCTTCTACTCTTCCTCCTACTCCTCCTCCTACTCCTCCTCTTACTCCTCTTCCTACTCCTCTTCCTACTCCTCTTCCTATTCCTCCTCCTATTCCTCCTCTTATACCTCCTACTACTTCTCTTCCTATACCTCCTACTACTCCTCCTCCTCAATTAACAATAAGTCTAATAAGTCTAATTCTTCGTCGATAACCGCTACTTTACGTTTTTTAAAAATAACCGGCTATAAAATCCTACTAAAGATAGGGATAGTTATAACCTAACTGGAAATTATAAAAATTATAAAATTTTTATACTATCTTAAATTTATCCGTAATTAATTTCAAATTATTTAAGAATTAATTAGGAATAAATTATATATTAATAATAATTATATAAACCTTAGCCTTAATACCTCCGATTAAAATGTTAAATAAACGCTCTTTGAAGATATTGTAAATACCCTTTAAATATCTAATAAAATTACTATGAATAATAAATATTATTTAAATAAATTAAATATTAATTATTAATTTAATATTAATAACTTTCAAATATTATTTATATTGAAATTATATTAAATATCCGCGCTATTACAATCCGACTCAAGCTCTTTCTAATAGTAAAAAATCTTACTAGGGGCAATTATATATACGCCCTATAAAGTAATTAGTAAGGATAAATTAAAAATAAATTAGGGATAAATTAACGATTAATCTTAATATTTATATATTTATCGGTTTCTAAAGGGGGTATTACGGCCTAATGTTTACCCTTATCCTCGAATTTAGCAGGTTTCTAATTGCTATCTAAATATTCTTTATATATATTAGAAGTTATAAATTTGTAATAAGCGGGAGCTATTATAAAAAAATAAATCGTTAATAAATTTCTAATTAATTTCGATAAATTTTGGAAGAGCGGCGGGGGGTAGACAAAAGTAAATTAAAAAATATTTAAATAGTCGAAGAAGAATTACGGAAACAAAATTAAAAAAAAAAAGATTTTAATTAATGTAACAATTATTCCTCTTACTAAATTAGTAAATACGAATACGTAATTATATTATTTATATCGTACTATATATATCCGCTAAGAGGGGTAAAATATTGGATGAAATTTATAGTATAGATTAATTTTAAAAAAAATTAGGATAAATTTAATTTTATTCGTTTAACTATGTATACCGGCCTTGATTTTTTAAAATAATATTATTTAAACTTTATATAGACCCGGTTAGCGATCGTATCATAAAATTTAGTACTATAGTATAATTAATATTTATACGGATTATATTTTTAAGAGGCTATTAATTCGAATTATATATTATTATTTTTATATTTAAAAAGAAGATTATAAAGTATATTATAAGTTTAAATATATTAAAATACTATATATTAAAATAATAAATAGTAAAACGCTTACCGGTAAATATTCATGTATAAAGAAAGTTCTAATATATAAACTTTAAATTTAATATAATTCCCTACGTAGAAATATTAAATACCTAACCTCTATTTATATATATAAAATAAGAAAAGTCTTTAATATAAAATATTTATTATTAATATATAAAAATTAACCGACGGGTGGGAATATAAAACCCAATTATTATTTTATAATATACGAATAAATATAAGTAAAATTTAATATTAAATTTGAATATCGAACGGATTTACTAATAGATTGGCTAAACTGTAATATAACGAGGACGGGATCTAATTATTATTTATTAAAATAGGACTAAGCGTTAATAAATTCCTCTTTTGCGTTCTAATTTTAATTTTAAAATTAAATAGAAACGAATAATTATATAATATAGAAGTCTGTAAATAAAATCGAATATAATTTAATTAAAAAAATATTTATTCAATATTATAATTAAATACCGATAATTATTCGAATTCTATAACTGAATTATTCATCCTTTATTAGATAAATTCCTAACCTGACTCTAATTGTAAAAGGTTTTACGTATCTTTGTCTACTACGTCTATTACTTTCTCTATAATAT